CTGGAGTATATAAGAACTCAAGTTTTAACATCAGATCACTTCTGATGAAGACACTAGACTGGAGTATATAAGAACTCAAGTTTTAACATCAGATCACTTCTGATGAAGACACTAGACTGGAGTATATAAGAACTCAAGTTTCAACATCAGATCACTTCTGATGAAGACACTAGACTGGAGTATATAAGAACTCAAGTTTCAACATCAGATCACTTCTGATGAAGACACTAGACTGGAGTATATAAGGACTCAAGTTTGAACATCAGATCACTTCTGATGAAGACACTAGACTGGAGTATATAAGGACTCAAGTTTTAACATCAGATCACTTCTGATGAAGACACTAGACTGGAGTATATAAGAACTCAAGTTTTAACATCAGATCACTTCTGATGAAGACACTAGACTGGAGTATATAAGGACTCAAGTTTCAACATCAGATTACTTCTGATGAAGACACTAGACTAGAGTATATAAGAACTCAAGTTTCAACATCAGATCACTTCTGATGAAGACACTAGACTGGAGTATATAAGAACTCAAGTTTCAACATCAGATCACCCCTGATAAATGCTGTGGTATACAAGAATTTAAAGATAACGTCTGAGGAAATACGAAAACTGTATGTGTGAGAAACAATGATCTTCTAACATTTGCTAAGTAAGCTCCATAAGTAAACTCGCTTGGTATTCCTCCATTTTCATCACCCATTGATAAGCTCGAAATTCTTCCCCTCCGTCACACGCGAGGTTACCATACCCCCAGGAGCAATCCATGAGAACTTGTTGAGAAAGTCGAACTCTCTTGCCCGTCTACAATGCAAGAAAAAGTTAACAGAAACGTATTGCAAACTCTTGTTTATCATTGATAGCTACCAACCCAGTCGCCCACATCTTAACTGAGGATTCATATTGAACTTATTACTAACACGTAAAAATAGTGCTCCTTCTATAGCCCCGGTAGCCCCAAATGACCAACATGATCCACAGATAGCCTGATCTTTCACTGGTGTCACGGCTCCTTTCAGCCTCCAATCCATGGACTTGGGTACATCATCAAGCATGACGCTAGGATTGAATGGTTTCCCTCCGTTGTAACCTGTACTACGTTGACGACCTCGCATCATTTTCAATTCGTCGTCGTGTCTGTCTGCTAGATGGTTGACCTTCAGGCGAAATCCAAGATTTTGACGATTTTTGAGTGTATGAACCTTGAGCAAACAGTAAATGGTTCATACTTCGTTCCAAGTCAAAATAATCAGAGACCACAGACCTAGGGAAGACCGGGGGTGTGGACTTCAAACTTTTCCTTTGACAAGCACTTTATTGGGTTAATTTGCGTCTCACCCTTTAATTTAATTAATTATTTTCTCGTGCTATTCTCTCTTACCAAGCACCCACTTTAACCAGGCTCTGCTGTTCCTGATATTTCCATTCTAATACACTATGTAATTTCTTCGAAGACAAAGTCAGAAGATCGCTTGTGAAATGCTAACAGCTGTTTCTTATATTATTCAAGGTATGACAAAGGCCCAAAGAATGGAGCTCAAAGGCAAAAGATGCAACTCCTGATAGCTGGACAGAGAGATAAAAGAAGCGACTATGTCTTGCTGTAAGACTAATATCAGTTATCGCCTCGCTTTTGTTACGAGTTAGTTCCTTGTTTTGAACAATATTGCGTTTTCACCGTATACGTAAGCTAATGTGAAAGTCGTCTTTGTTGTTTGTTTTAAAAACAGTCACAAAGAGTTTCAAAACCATCAAGGGCCGAATGCACGAAGGTCGAATAGCGCTATCCACTGGATAGCAAATTTTTTTGAACGTTCAAAAAATCTCTTATGAAAGAAAATTATACGATTTCAACTGTGCAATAACTGAAATAAAATATTTTTTGGAAGATTACGAAATTTCTTTGTCGTAAGAAAAATATAAACACCACCATTTCTACAAGTTTGGAGATTTTTGCTATCCAATGGATAACGTTATCCACGCTTCGTGCAACCGGCCGTTGTCTTAGTAATAGTTTTTCGTTGCGAGAAAATTTGTTCAGTCTACCATCCTTCTCAACTACTGACCTTAAATTCTGTCTGAAGTGACCTTTTCTGCGTTCGAATTCTTCATAATCCGCTTCATCATAGCCTTTTGGGAATTTTTTCAGGAAATCTTTGAAGACGTGATGAACGCGATCCTCTCCCGTGGGACCAAAGTAGTCTCGCATCGGATTGGCCACGATAGCAGACTCGGCTCCAGGCCCAGGGAACCCATGGCAAGCCATCCCTGTATGTAAGTTTAAAAATTTACACAAAATAGCACGAAAATAATTTCATGACGAACAAAGAAAACGGTTCTAGGCAGTAGGGACTTGACAAGTCCATATTCGTAAGTTTTAAGTTCAATGTTTGAAACCTGTGTGGCACATTTCTTGATCTATGTTTGGTAGTTATGTTGTCATTGGCACACACTGACGCTAATTCCGTTTTCCGATCAGATAATTTTTATCAACTTAAAATTGAGGTATTAACAGTGGCGTAGCCAGCCCTCATGTTTTGGTCCTGCTATGTAAATTTTAGAACACTAACATTTCTTTAGAAATCTGTTGTTTTTACATTGAGTAAACACAGAAAAATTAACTCAGTTGGCCAAAGTTGCGGGCTGGCTACGTCACTGGGTATTAAGTCATATCCATCAAAGAAATTTATTGATAGACTCGTATAAACGAGTCTTATACTGCTTTCTTTGTAGCTGTCTTCTCTTTCGAAATCATTATTTGTACTTCAATATTTGGCAGCATTCAAAGCCATAATTGTTCCTAAAAATCGTACAAACCTTTTGGGACTTCAAATATATCATCTGATAGCGTCGTTGCGTTGAACATCGTGTATAAGATCTCGTATTTATCATAATGAGAGCCAAGCAATGTATCGTATCCTCGCATTTCATAGCGTTTTGGAGCACTGGTTTTTTGTTCGACTGTTAAAGTGTAAATGTTTACTTTTTTGCCGATAGTTGCTTGCATTCTGAAGACATAACACGGAATTCCTTCGAAATCATCTTCGCCTATATACTGGTGATTAACAGATGTATTAGTGTTTTGAACTTTTCTGTTTTTTAAGATATTCATGTTCTCTGTTTTTTAAGATGTTCATGTTCACTGTTTCCTAAGATTTTCATGTTCTCTGTTTCCTAAGATATGCATGTTCTCTGTTTCCGAAGACATTCATGTTCTCTGTTTCCTAAGATATTCATGTTATCTGTTTCCTAAAATATTCATGATCTCTGTTTCCCAAAGATGTTCATGTTTTCTGTTGCCTAAGATATTCATGTTCTTTGTTTCCTAAGATATTCATGTTCTCTGTTTTTTAAGATATCCATGTTCTCTATTTCCGAAGATATTCATGTTCTCTGTTTCCTAAGATATTCATGTTATCTGTTTCCTAAAATATTCATGATCTCTGTTTCCTAAAATGTTCATGTTCTCTGTTTCCTAAGGTGTACATGTTTTCTGTTGCCTAAGATATTCATGTTCTTTGTTTTATTAAGCCCTATTTTCCACTTCTTTTTTCCTGAACATTCTTGTACTCAGTTGTACACGTACATACCTCGTATCCGGAAAGATTGTAAGGTAAAACTGACTGTGGTTTTGCTGAACCATCTATCTCAAAACATGTCTCCTCGGCTGATATCTCCTCAGTTGCCCAAGGAGAAATGAGATAGGATTTCTGCTCCTGTCCAAGCTGATACGACTTATCCATTCCTGAAAATATCCATTCATTTAAAATTTTTTCGCGAAAGATTGCCCGTTTGTTATGTGACCAGAACGTTAAAATGGTGAAATATTTGGTGAAAAATGGGTCAAAATGGAAGTTTTTCACGGAACAAAGCCATAATGAGTAAAATAAAAATTGAAAGAACGGTAAAATGGTGAAGTATTTGGTCAAAACAGAAGTTTATGCTCGGAACAAAGTCATAATGAGTAAAATAAAAATTGGAAGAACGGTAAAATGGTGAAATATTTGGTCAAACAGAAGTTTTCCTCGGAAGGAAGCCATAATGAGTAAAAGGAAAATTCAAAACTTTACAAAAAATATACGAATTAGATCAGCAAGCAAAGCAAGCAGTTTGTTCAGATGCAAGAGCTTTGGACTCGTCATGTGACGCTTTATATGATATATGACATTTGAAATGAGCTGCAATTCAACTCAACGATCGATGTTGCTTCACTGTATTTGGGAAAGAATTTGTTCAATATTTATGTTAAAATGAATTTTGAACATACCGTCATAGTAATCAATTCGACTGCGTTGGTTTCCACCATCATACCACGCTTGGAAAGGTTCACCAATTTCTGCGTATGGTATATTTATAACGCCTTGTGCAATGTAGGATGTCGCAAATTTGGGTGGTGTTGGATTGCCGATGCGCATAGCTTCTACTGCCACGACAAGAAAAATGACAAGAATATTTTGCACATCGCCATTTTGCGTCTCATTCGGAATATATTGCGTTTTTATATTAAAAATGACGAGATATTGTTTGGCTTGTCTGAAGATCCGTCGGAACACGTACACAAGATCACGTGCCTGAAATATGACCACGCGTTGTTTTATCTGTTTTTCATGTAAAAAATTTAATGAATTTTTGTATAAGGTTTTTTTGCATTGAAATAGTATTAAATGTCTGCAAACGTGCGGGAAATTGTCTGGATTTTATTGCAAAGTGAAAATCTTGACATTTTTTGCGTTAGTAAATTGCTGTTGTAGTTGATTTGAAAAGTTTTAAGTTTTGTTTGGAAATTGCTCATGACCTTGGGTTTGACAGGAAGCGAATCATATCAACTGTCTTCGTTTACCACTCTAACGCAAGTTGGACTTAAATTTCATTTTGTTGGGTGCAATTGAATGAAACTGAGGACTCATGTACAATGCAGCATCGTATCATCTGGTGGTGGTGGTGGGAAGGCAAGTTCTGATTCGGAAATGGCAAAATGCGACTTTTGCATAGTTTGCGTCAATTTGAATGACATCATCATCAGATACAGAAGCAGAGAAGACTAAGGCGAGCGTGAGCATGACGTATGCTCTTTGTTTGATTCTTGATGACAACAGCAGAAATATGGCGACGGGTGTTAGTGAGAATTTTTCGCAGGAAAACGACGATTTAAAGCCTATAAAAAGCGATGTAGAGCTTCAAGAAATATTCAGAAAGCTGCAAGTCCATCGTAGAATGTGAGTACTTTCGAAAACTATGCATTTCAGCTTTCTTGTCTGTGAAAAATATTGTATTTTTGTCGGCTATTATAAACAATGGTGGCATTTTCACAGCTTTACGTTAGCTTGGATTACTTCTCCTGGATTGATTATTAGTCATCATAACCTTGAGAATCCACCACATCAATGTCAAAAGGCTCGAGAGGGAGACATGAGTTAACTTTCAATGGGGAAAAGTTTCACGAAAGATTGCTCGTTGTTATGTTAGATTGCTCGTTGTTAGAGATCTGCTTTTACTTCCTAAATTTGAATGTTGTTGTTCGTTTTTTTGAATTCAGAAAAATATTATCGACTGGATATGGAACAGTTGCAGATAGGAGGTCTTTTCCAAAACATTGTGGAAGTTTACCCGAAAAACACAAGCGAAGAAAGCTTTTAAGACCAGCAACTTTTTCGTGGCATAGTGGAGTAAATAGTTATGAAAAGAAAATGAAAGAGGAACAAAATTCGAGGGGAAAGACTGGCAGTCGACCTGAATGTAGATCAATCACTCTTTGGACCTCACAGCGCCCAGTCCAAGGATGTGGGGAACAGTTTAGAAAGGGAGTTAATGTAAAAGCTTCAGAGTCGTTGAATATGGACGACACTACACCAGATGAACTTGCTGCGTACGTTGACCAAGTACTTCACCTTCCTAAACCGATGTCACAAATGGCTGAAATGATGTATACTTGATGTAGACTTTATGTAGATGTAATGTGGGTATGTGGTTGTTGAACAAATCAAGAAATCAAGGTCGCTTGTTGGTAAATGCTACTTTATTTTGATGCGTGTTTGTCAGAATGTTGTTTTGATAAATTTTGCAAGATTTTGGTGCAATGCTTGGTTGAATCTTTTGCAAGAATGATTATGACACAAGTCTCTGTTGTAATACATATTATTTATTGATAATATTTTTCCATAATTCGGTTCACATTTTCTAAATAAAAATCATTGACTATCTTTATGCTACCTGCTGCACAAAATACTAAAGTCATTAGTGCAAAGGTCCATGTACTTTGGCTTTTGCAAAGATATATTCACTCAATTTATAAAAGACTAGTAAACTTTATTAAAACCTATTTATTAAAGCCTGTTTGTCTTTTATTGCTAATGATGCTTATTAACAACGTGACATTGTGCTTGTTTACACATTGTCACACACAGTTGTGACATTGTGTTTGTAAACAACATTGACATTGTGCTTGTTTACACATTTTCACACACAGTTGTGACATTGTGTTTGTAAACAACATTGACATTGTGTTTGTTTACACATTGTCACACACAGTTGTGACATTGTGCTTGTTTACACATTGTCACACACAGTTGTGACATTGTGTTTGTAAACAACATTGACATTGTGTTTGTTTACAAAGCACTCATTAAACAGCTTGCTCGTTAACATTTTGCTCATTATCAATGTGCTCGTTAACAGGTTCTTTGTAGAGTAAAAGTGGAAACATGCCAATAAAACAACCAAGGACAATACCAAACGCTCGGCCCTAAAAAATAAAACCAATACAGTGTGCGAATTAATTCAGAAAAAACGATGTGCAATTTTTTGACAAAAGTGTTTCTTTAAAGGCATAATCAAATCGATATTACGTTAATTATTATATAACGCTAATTGCTAAATTAATATTTTTAAACATGAACAAATTCATATGATTTACAAAAGTGTTTTTCGTTAAAACTGCTTATTTTTGCACAGCGTTTGAAAAAGTGATGTGCAATTGTTTTCATTTTAGCTAAAACAATGTGTAAATTGCACATTGACACCGTTAATTCGCACACTGAACCAATATACTAGTAATATGACACTTGAAGGCGATGATTCTTATAAATATTTTGTAGAGAAAAGAATTTAGTACCAAATTTGTTGCTATAACTGTTCTTGTCATTTGAAGTTGGGATGAGTTTAACTGTGGCCCTTCAAATCCAAGTTTGGTGGTAAGCGATTCAACATATCCTGCCAATCTAAAAAAGTTTAGATTTGTTGTGAAGGTTGTAATTATTTTGATCTGTAATGATTACAAGTTGCACTGACCCTAAACCAGAAACGTCAGACACAATGTTTCCAAGGGCTGCAGCTATGAGAAACAAAAATGGTGAATTTGACAAAGAGAAAGTAGTTTAAAGTACATTTGCGGCCATTGTGCTTGTTACAACACATCAATATATTTTTCACAACATTTAACGGCAAAATGCGAAATATTTTATGAATCATCATTGGGGCTTTTTTTGCATGGCCGTGGCAGAATATGTAAAAGTGGGGCAACATACATAGCTGTCAGTTTGAAATTTTTGTGAGAGGATTACGCTCTAAGCTTCCCCTGGCAAGGATGAAAAATTATGTTGATGTTGATATGTACCTGTATATAAGGAATAATCTTCTTTATCAAAGGTAATTTGCAAAACCAATTTTGGGGGTATAATGAATTCCAATTGTGAAGATGTATCAATTTAGTTTAATTTTGGGGGTATAATGAATTCCAATTGTGAAGATGTATCAATTTGGTTTAATTTGGGGGGTATAATGAATTATAATTGTGAAGATGTATCAATTTAGTTTAATTTTGGGGGGTATAATGAATTCCAGTTGTGAAGATGTATCAATTTAGTATAATTTTGGGGTTGTAATGAATTCCAATTGTGAAGATGTATCAATTTAGTTTAATTTTGGGGGTGTAATGAATTCCAATTGGGAAGATGTATCAGTTTAGTTTCATCTTACCAGCCATCGTAGATATTCCCAATGTTACACCAATCCTTAATTCAATGTATTCTCCCTTAACAAAAAGTAAATAATCTTTGCATACATCATCCCTTTGTAAGATTTCCAAACCCTCAAGTATGTAAACAACATGGGTGAACTAAAATCGTCGTGTCTTGTGGTGATTATTAAAACTTGAAGATGATCAGAAAATGGAAATTCTTTTCAAACTGTGATACATACAGCAATGATCATTATAGCATTGTCAAGGAAACCAAATCCCACAAATGGTATTGCCGTGTGGTAGGCAGCTTTAAATAGAAAAAATTTATGAATTTAAAATACACAGTGACTAAAAATATGAGTACAGATGACTTGGTTTTGCTGGCAAACAGATTTAGTCGAATGCTTTTAGACAGCACAAGGACCAATGGTTAAACATCTCTTGGGATTATTCTGCCTGCCAATAAAACGTAAACAAGGCAAGTCATTTCAATATATGTTCATTTTATTCCAAAGCCTTCACCTAATTTAAGCTGATTCCAAGTTGGTGGATTCGTATTATTTGGATCTAAATAAGTCATAAGCCATGTTACATAGTGGTTGATGTTAAAAAGGGTCTTTAAAATGGCAAAACTTCACCTTCACCGGATGTGTTGTCAATTTTATGCAACGCTTCCGTAGAACGAGTCGATCAGACTTCGCAAGTGATGCGACAAACAGCTCGGCGTGTTGTGGTGAAGATACCACCTTGGGTTGATAATGATGCATCTTATGATGAGGTGAACATGTGAAAAATCCTCTATGTTGCAATTTAGTGAAATTCGTTAAACGAGGCAATGTACGTTTAGTATCATTTGTAAACCGTCTTTTGGCGAACAGAGCGAATAATTGATAAAACATGCGGTTTTCCCTCATTTCACTGTCGAAGTTTTTTGAAAGTTTCACCAAACTATACCGACTCTTTAATTCGCTTAAATTGGCAGTTTAGACATTCCTTTTTTAATGAAAGATTTTAATAAACCATTGTTACATTTGTTTTTGTTATGAGATAACGATTTACATAAATATCGAGCCCGCGATACAAGAAAGAATTATCAAGTCCAACAACAAAAACCATGACCAGCCGACAATTTAAAGAAATATAATATAAAACAAATTCCGAAGAAGCAAGACATCTTGAGATTGCAAAATATGAATCAAAACAAGACGAGAAGTGAACTGTAAATTTTCGACTTTATTTCAAAGTCATCCTCAGACAGAAATCAGAGTCGGTGTTTCGGAGTTTAGATCCAAAGACCAGCCGACATAAAGAAATATAATATAAAACATGAGATGTCCTGCTTCCCTTTATTCAAAGTACCTTTTTTCACTTATATGTCATGAACTAATACATAAAGTTTGAGAAATGTATACTTTCTAAAAACATAGAAATGCTGTTGAAGAAATTTTGTAAAAAACCAGCGTTTTATTTTTCTGTTTTGTTTATAAATAATCAAATGTTCTTAGGGCAGGGATAGCCTGGGACTAGGGTTAAGTTTTTGGCGGAAAATGAGACGAAATCAACTGCAGACGAAAGTGTACATACTTACATACCAATATAGTTAATATAAAAGCTGATTTCTTTTTCATTTTTGTGAATTTTAGAACTGAAAGACTGTTAGATTGTAAACTGTCACGATGGATTTTGAAAGCAATCTTAAAATGAAGAAAGAAATCCCAAATATTTCGAGACTTCAAATGTACAAAATTCAACTGGTTCATAAATTTCTCTCAAATTCTCTGGGACTGGAAGACTTTAGTCAATCGTAAGTGCTGTCTGGTTGATTTTCTTTTTCTCGGTCTTTGCTCTGTCCTCGTAGTACAACTGCGAGTTTCTTCAAATTTTGTGGGCAAAGCGAAGATATTGACAAAAACTTACTTTCTAATGGAAGTTGTGTCTCAGTGACAAATAAAAAGTGGGAGATGGTTTACTAAAAAATATCGAAACTATTGTTGTGTAGAAAATAATGTAGTGAAAACTAAAACGGGATACAATGCAATGCAAAAAAATCTAAATAAAGAATAAACGGAAAAAATCGTCTCGAGAGATGGTATAAAGTTATACATCAAATACATTTGAATTCATAAATGTAATTTTCTGATACTTGAATAACAAACTTTTTAATAATTATGTATAATAGAATAGAAAACTTTATTTAGCCACGCTAATAGGATATAATTAAAATAATAATAGCAACACATTAGAACAACGAAACATACTAAATTAAATTTTATCAACTACAATGAAACAAGCTAATGTTTCATGTGATCATTCCCAGCTTAAAAGTTTCACAAAAACAATAACCTGATCAAACAGTTCACCGAACAATCAATTGAATAAATGTGGTCTTGTTTTTTCACTTTTGAACCAAACTCAGTCTATCCTTGTTGACTTCACTTTCTGCTGTTGGCAAATGTTAGCATCCACCGAAATATTCTTTAGCGTCCTTGTAATCTGCTAGGAAGTTGATGGCATAGAGGGCTTCCTTGTTTTCACGATTCTGTGAATGTATCCACCTTTAACAACAAGCAGTTTCTACTTCAATCAAAGTTTATAAAATTACAATATATTGGCCAAAGTAATGAACACAAAGTAAGATATAAATTAACAAGTGACAGAGCAATTTGTCTCCCTTTATCAACGTAAGTGCCATTTAGGATCATGGGTTTCACGAACATCGTGGAATGGTTTCAACAGTTCCCTAATCTGTTGCGCAAATTAACTAACACGATACTTGAAGAATGAAGCGAGTTTTTTAAACCTGCGAGTATCGTTACATGTTTTTAGATGTATGTAAATCGTCCAGGTTAGTAGAGTCCTAAAAAGGACTGTTGGTGTTGGTGTTGATGTTGACTGACGTTTCGACAACCTCATTGGTTGTCATTTTCATCATTTTGACGCTAAATATGACAACCTCTGAGGTTGTCAAAACGTCAGTCAACATCAACACCAAAATTCCTTCTCAGAACTTCACTCACCAAGAAGATCTACATAAATAATGTATTGACACAAGCTTTCCAATTGACATTTTATGCAAAACTAACCCTAACCCATCCCAACTCTAATCCTAATCTTAATCCTAAATTGAGAGGGAAACTGAGCTCGAAGTAGACCACATCTAATGAATTAATCCTCGGCTTGAATCACATCCCTGCTGCCAAGAGTTTATAAACAAAGAGTTTTAGCGGTGGTTATTTGTGGCGACAGGATTTAGTCAGTCAACAATATTCTGTTATCGAGAACTAACCTCAAAGTGTTTCTATAATAACCTTTCCTGCGTTCGAATTCCGCATAATCTTTTTCGCCATACTTTCTTTTGTATTTTTTTATGAATTCTTTGAATGCTTCATGAACACGATCCTCCCCTATGGGGCCAAAGAAGTCTCGCATCGGATTGACTCTGATATTGGACTCCATTCCAGGCACAGGCATCCCGTGGCACGTCATTCCTACATGTAAATTAAATATTCCAAGTCCGAAGATCAAGACGCGGAAAAGCGAATATACAGAAAGCTTATTCTGGCGTTCAACACGTTCTCATTTCCATAGTTTTTGCGGTCAGTTGAGTAGTTTTTTCATTGAACTAAAGCCTGGTTCTCATTAAGTCGCTGAGTATTCCGAGTCGTTCCGAATCTTTCCGAGTTTTTTCGTTGTTTTTCAAAACGACTGTGACGACTCGAGCTGTTGTACTTCTCATATATTCGTACTAGAGCCACCGAGAGACTGTTTAATTAATTTCTGTGCAAAGAATTTGAAAATGGCAGTTGCTGTTTATCAAAGACAAAGTCTTTTGGCTAGTTATTTGCTTCTTCAAATCGTTTTACGCCATAAAAAGGTCGCTTGCATTTCTCAACGGTCGTTTCGGTCGTACGGATAGAGCAAAGTTCTATCCAAGCGACCTTAGTCGTCTTAGTCGTGTGAGTCATTTGAGGTCATCCCGTTCGCCTCTGAAATGTTCTCATACAGTCACAAGGGTTGTCTATGAAATTTTGGTACGACTGAAACGACTCGGACGACTATATGTGAACCAGACTTAACATGTGTAACTGGAAACGTCGAGACACTCTAGTCTGAGAATCAAGTCCCGCATTCTAGCTTATCGTTAAGTGTGAACTTTCATTTGACCGCGCATGGAAAGATTGGAACTAGCTAAATTGCAGGCTTCAAATTTTTGGGCCGGAAGAAGCCCTCCAGTTATATCGAGTTCGATGTTTTTCACGTTTTTCCAACCACTAAAATAACATGACGTCATATTTGGGTAAAAAAAATGGAGAATTTTTATCAGACTTAAGAAAGGACTTCAGGTTATTTTAGTTCATGGAAACAAGTAAAAAACCCTAATCAATTGGTTGGAAAAATGGCGGCAAAATGCGCAGGACAATATGCGCGAAGACAAAAACGTCAAAGATTCGAGGAGAGTGTCCCTTCTATATATATCTTACTCAGTAAGATATAAACTTTTATTCCAAATAACCTGACTTGTGTTTGATTATTATGCTGTTATTTTGCCGATTAAAATGCAAACGCGCCTGATGCAATTGACTGGAGTGAAATCAAATTTGCCGTTCTTTCCAGTTTACTATCTGATCATTTTTATCACGGATATGAGCTTGCGAAAATTTCAAATTTTAGGTATTCAAACATCTTTTTTCTTTTTCTTGTTGATGAAATCGAAAGTTCTTTCACCAAATCACCAAACTACGTGTTCTCTTTGTGATGTCTAAAAGTCATTATTTGTATCAAGTTCACATTAACAAAAATGAGTGTAATACAGTTCCTTTGCAACTGTCTCGAAATCATTACTTGCAATTCAATGTTAGGCAGTATAGACAGCCGGCGACAATAAAACCTTTGTGAACTGAAGTGTACGAAAAAATCGTACAAACCTTTTGGGATTTCAAATACATCATCTGATAGCGTCGTTGCGTTGAACATCGTGTACAAGATCTCGTATTTATCATAATGAGAGCCAAGCAATGTATCGTATCCTCGCATTTCATAACGTTTTGGAGCACTGGTTTTTTGTTCGACTGTTAAAGTGTAAGTGTTTACTTTTTTGCCGATAGTTGCTTGCATTCTGAAGACATAACACGGAATTCCTTCGAAATCATCTTCGCCTATATACTGGTGATTAACAGATGTATCAGTGTTTTGAACTTTTCTGTTTTCTAAGGTATTCATGTTCTCTGATACATGTTCTCTGTTTTTGAAGATATTTATGTTCTCTGTTTCCTAAGATATTCATGTTCTCTGTTTCCTAAAATATTCATTTTCTCTGTTTCCTAAGATATTCATTTTCTCTGTTTCCTAAGATATTCATGTTCTCTGTTTTCTAAGATATTCATGTTCTCTGTTTCCTAAGATATATTTATATTTTGCTCTCTCAAGCCCTGCTTGGTGCTTCCATCCTTTATGAATATTGTCATAGTCAGTTGTTTATATACCTTAAATCCTGTAAGATTGTAAGGCAAAACTGGTTGCGGTTTTGCAGGATCATCCGTCGCGTAGCAACTTGCGTTTGTTGTATCTCCTACCGATGGAGAGATAAGTAAGGTTTTGTTCTCTTGTCCAAGCTGATAAGTCTTATCCTTACCTGAAAATATCATAATATCTTCTCATATGTTGAATATGCTCTCTAAAAATTTCTCGTTGCTATATAGGATTACAACGTTAAAATGTTCTTGACAAAGTCTTCACAAACAGCTCGGAAGAGAGCCGTTTTTGTGTTAGCGAAACTTCAACAAAAAATTTCAACCAAAACAAGTGACAAGCGTCTTGCATAGACCATTACACGGACGTTAAATTACTTTTAGTGTGGGGAAAAATTGTGACAAAGTATTAGTCTAGTGGCGAAAAATTGAACAGTTGTTCAATAGTTCATTTTTATAAATAAATTGTGGATTTACCATTACGATAGTCAATTCGACTGCGTTGATTTTTGCCATCATACCATGCTTGGAAATGTTCACGAATTTCATCATCTTCATCATCTGGATGTGGTGTATTTATAATGCCTTGTGCGATGTAAGATGTCGGAAATGTAAGTGGTGTTTGTGTTGCAGTTATAGGTATGGCTTCCACAGTCATCAAGAGAAAATAGGACGAAAATATAACGCACCTCACCATTCCGCCTTTCATTGTTGCGACGTTTCTTAAATCTACAACTCACTGACAAATTAATAAGCGAACACAAGAGTGTCCTGCTGTTTTTTCATTTTCAAACTTAATTTCAATTTAATTCAGTGACGTGCATAACGTGCGTATTTAACTAAATCTGGAAGCATTTGCGAACATCAGAGGATATAATTACTGCTAGTATCATGTTCTCAATATTTCAGCCTGGTTTTTGTATTGATGTTGGAAAAAACGACATTGTATTATGTGAATTCGTGTTTATTTCATCGCCGAACGTGTTAAATTCAGCATTGTTTTCAAATTCATTGTACAGATTGTTCAATGTAGTTTTTTACAACAATAACAAAAGCATAATAATAAAATAAGAACATCAATACTTGTGGTAGTTTTTGGCAATAGGAAATAGCTTATCCTAGTGTCACAAGGATGCGAGATTAAAGCTTACGCAAGTAGCACTAATTAGGTTAATGGTGGTTAAGTTTCAAGTTCCTTTATACGTATGCAGCTTGTTCAGAAAAAATTTAAAGCCTTGTATCAAAAGGGTGTGAAAAAAGTTGTTCATTAGCTTTTGTCTGTTTAGAAGCTCAATGCTTTAACGAATTTGATTTTAACTACCGACATTATTAAAGTAAATGGTTTGAACCCGGGAGTATCGTTACATGTTTGTAGAAGTATATTGTCCAGGTTGGTATAGTTCTGAGAAGGACTGTTTTTGTTGTTGTTGACTGACGTTTCGACAACCTTAGCGGTAGTCATCTTCAGATGTAGTCATTTGACTCTGAAGATGACTACCGCTTAGGTTGTCGAAACGTCAGTCAACAACAACAAAAACAGTCCTTCTCAGGACTATACTAACCTGGACGATCTACATTTACAAACATGTACCGACATTATTGTTACAATTGTTTTTGTTTTGGCATTAGACGAATATCGAGTCCACGATACAATGGTTTGTTTATCTAGAAAGGGTTTGTCCGTCAACAACAAGTACCTTTTTCAGATTTTTCACTCGTATTTCATGAATTAACTTATTCAATCCGAGAATTGTGTACTTTATAAAGAGATCTAGAAATTGCGATAAGGAAATTTTGTAGAAAAACCAATGTTTTAATTTCAATGTCATTGTTTTGCTCGATTTTGAATTTGAACTTATCAATTGCTCTCATGGCAGCGAAGCGACATGGAAGTCTGGGACCGGGGTTAAATTTTGGCGGGAAGTGGAGGGAAATCAACTGCAGAAGAAAGGAATAATACAAACATACAAATATATATAAAAGCAGATTTCTTTAAATTTTTGGGGAGTTTTTGAACTAAAAGGCGTTGGACGTAAAATGATTTTTTCCAAGGGGTTGGACGAAAAAAAAGAGGAGCCTTCAAAACTTCATATGTACAAAATTCCACCGATTCATAAGATTTCTCTGGAAGAATTTGAGTCGGTGGCTATTGAACGACTGAAACGTAAGTGAAGATATTTTGCATCGATATAGTTGACATTAAATATACGTTAGTTCCTGCAGTGAATGGATTAGCCATGTGCTGCTTGGGGAATAAGTCAAATATTTCATTTTTCAATAAATAGAACTGAAAATTCAACAACTATTTAACCTGTATCCTCTTCAAAATCAAAATCATATGCTGAAAGAATTGTCTGCCATCGTCAGGCGTCAGTCATCATCTTTCGAGAAGCATTACTTTATGAAAGAGTATCCATGTACTTTGACGGCACCTGACTTGTCATTGCCTCTCTTCTTGGCCTTTGATTAATCTTTAAGACTAGGTTCAATTCGTGGCAAAGTTTAGCTCTTAATATAATCAATATTTTTAATAGTTTTGAGAGATGTGGAAACCTTTGGTATTAGGTCTACAAAGGACAGTTCTGAATATGAGAAAAATATGGGTGATTCATTGAAGAAGTTCTTGAAGTTTACTTATTCAACAGTATGTTAATGTAATGTTTGCATTGTTCTGACATATGAATAGAACTTACATAGACTCATCATCACTGGTGAAGGTCAGCTTGCAAGTTTTGTCATGCAATATAAATTTCAGATTATTGGCGATCTCTATTTCTTTAGAAATTTATTGTTTTTACATTAAGTGAATGCTATAGTATTTCCATAACATGAACTAACTTGCAGAAGCTCTGTCTAAGGCTCTGCTGAACACTCATTTATATTAAAGTGTTTTTGTATATAGGATGACCAAAAAACAATAAAAAGTCTAAGCTATCATAAAGATCTGGAGGAAGAGTTACGGAAAGACAAAACATCTCATTTTATTTTGCGTTTGGCCTATTGTCGATCGTAAGTTGTTCATAGCACTCCATTATGATTGTGGCAAAATGTATTTGAATTTTCCAGTCTTTTTTAAGAAATAAAAGATGTTTACTGTGTCTGTGCAGGCTTATGCAAACTAAGGAGACCTTTGGGAGAAGTCAAGAGCTGATCTGTGCAAGCCCAATGTTTGCATAAGCCTGTGCAAACATTATAAACATCCTCTATTTCTTTTATAAAATAACAATAGTATGAAACAAATAAATTTAAAACAAACATTTTAATTTTTCCCCCCAAAATGTTTTCATGATTGATTTGCAAATTCTCATTGATTGATTGATCGATTTGATTGGATGAGCTCAGATCTGTCTCCACAGGCTAATGCAATCACAGCTATTGACCAATCAGCACATGCGTTTTAATGTGTTTATTTTATAATTGGGAAATAAAATGTATTTTTCATGTTTGCACAGACTTATGTTGACTGAGGGAACATTTAGGAGAACTTGAGAGCAGATTATTTTGCACCTGCTCAAAAGTATTATAAAATATCAACAATGCCAAACATATAAATCTAAAACAAATGTTTTAGGGATGAGCTGAGAAGATGGTTTATTGCCCAAGAAGTCGACTTGTTCAAGTATCTGCTTGCCATATTTTTTCTAGTTATAAATCATGAAGAAGAATATGTGTAATTGTTAACTTTATGTTTCAGGTATCGGTTTCAACGTGAAGAGTTTAAGGAAAAGGAGAAGTTCCTGGAACAAAATCAGCTTAATTATTCTCCAGTAAGGAATTTCTAGAATTTACCTGCTTTGTTTGTGACTAGGACAGATGCAGTTTTTCATTCATTGAAAAGTGGATTGGTTATAGAAATGTTGCAGTAAAATAATATTTTCATTGGCCAGTTGTTTAACCATATATAGAAATGTCGTAGTAAAATAATATTTTCATTGGCGAGTTGTTTAACACATTCCTCTCTGTTATATCAGAGACCGCGCTTGGGGGCAAATATTCATATATTCGTATGTTTTAATCTTTGTTAATCCCTAGCCACAATTGATTTCAATAGAAGCTACTAAGGTAAAACATGCATTTGAATATTCACCCCCCCTCCCAATTATTGAGCTTGCACAGCCTCTGTATATCACTTTGATTTTGGATTGAGTTAAAATCTACATCAGGCTATCACAATTGTTGGCTTGGACAATTACTTGTTTAAAATGAGTAAATTTTCCAGAGCTTGCATTCATATTCTAAAAGTCAAGCAAGGAGGGGGTGGAAAAAGCTACATGCATGCATGATTCTTGCTGCGTCCATAGGTTAACATCTCCCCCCTGACACCTACAGTCCCTTTACTCCCTTGGTTTTAGCAGTTAAGTTCAGAACTTAAGCAATAGTAAAATACCACAGTTAACCATTTATAACTCATGGTGGGATTAGATTCTGAGACCTTTTCAAACTTCAAACTTTGTCAGGCATTTCAGAAACGAAAGATATAAACGATCCAAATTTTTTATATTATTTTTTAGTTTGTTCAGCACATGGTAGGTTTGTTTGAAATGTTCTCGATTATGCCGTCTTAATCGTTAAGCTTTCTTTAAGATTTCCGAAGAAGAGAAGAAAAGTATTTCTACTAAATTAGCTGATTCTGAATACAAAATGAACGAGAAAATTGTGGAGGAAACCAGCTTCTATAAGGTATACGCACAAACTTTAGTTCATCAACTTTTATTTTTTATCATTTATTTTTCACGATTTCAACATTTTCTTTACAGGTGCCGTTCACAGACGCTTTAGATCTTGTCCGTTCGAGAAAAGTTTTTCTAAAAAAGGTATCACAAATTTCATCTTTAATGTCATTAAAATTATACGCGTATAAAACAAATTGTCCGTTTTTTTCTCGTAGGGTTTTGCGTACGTTTCCCAATATAGCCTGGTTTCTATCATCAGCAATTGTTTCAAGATTCATCTGTCTGAGGCTTTAGCGGTAATTACGTTTTTTATGTCATAACGTCGATTCAGAGTTTAAAACACCGTCTTCCATTTCCTCAAGCTTTAGCGGTAATTACGTTTTTTATGTCATAACGTCGATTCAGAGTTTAAAACACCGTCTTCCATTTCCTTGCGAACGCTTTGAAACATTTTGGAACGATGCTAAAAACGGAAAAAGAATAAAACTGTGTTTTGAAAAATTCTGTTGTAGACCAATATAAATCATACCAACATGTGTCGGAAACTGATATGGACATCATTCTTCATAAGTCAGTAGTATGCACGAAATATCAGTAACCAGGACAAGCAGACAATTTCAAATAATACAAAATAAAACAAATTCCGATCTTTTTTGATATTTATTACATCATCTTTTGTTTCATCATCTTTCGTCAAGAAATACCATCTTTTGTTTCAAACTCTTGTAATATCTTGAATATCAAGAAAACGAGATGTCGCTCTTCGGAATTTCTTTTATTTTGAAATATCAATAATGACGTCAAGAGTAAGAAGAGATAGTGGAAGAGAGTGAGAGAAGCGAGTTAGTTGTGAGACGTATGTGACCAAACGGAGTCCATTGTTCAATACAGTCACGAACGTACTTATTATTTAGAGAGTTTTGCTAGTTGATATACCTTTGTAAACCTTATTGTCGCGTGATTTCATTTGGTTTACTTTCATCGATTGTCTTGTCGAGGACTACGATTTTGGAAGCACAATTCTCGGCACACGAGCTAATGACAAAATGTGAAACAGCGATTGAACAATAAGCGTAGCATGAATTTTCACTTTTTCGACCAAACTCTTTCACTTTTCACTTAATTTTCTTAAGTGGCTAAGCAAACTTCATGATTGGAGAAGGGCACATCATATTCATATGGCGTATTAGCGGCTGTTTACATGATCCCGGCTGACCGGGATTCAGTGAGGCGTGAGAGGATTTTGAGTCATTGAAAAGAGGCAAAATATTTAGCGGAAAAATTACAACTGTTCGTAAAGTGCCACAAGTTATTCCAATGGTAAAACTGAAATTAGACCAAATTAGTTGTTTTCATTTTAAATGCTTGCGTATTTATAAAATCAAAATATTGTGAAATTGCGGAAGAAATTTATCTGATGATAAGTATTGAATCGTTTCCATTTGCCAAAATCATTGAACGCTTGGCTGAATACCGGCTATCCGGGATCATGTAATCCGCCCCTTAAGCTCCTTTGAAATCTGAAATCTTAATTTTCACGGATTAAAACATTTATCCCCCAAATTATCGAGTCTGCTAAACTACTTCTTTGTTGTTCGCAAATATTACGATCTGTAACTATTTGACTGGAATTTATCTTTTTGTAATTTTCCCATTGAAAATAATTTAAAAAAATTTTTATTTTTGACGTCCTGTAGCTGACAGCTCGCTCTTTGCCCTATCTTGACGAAGACGAACGTTTGCTGCCCAGGTTGACCAGTTTAAGGTATGAATGTTGTGCTCTCTTGTTTACCTGCTATTTTCTACGATGCATACGTCTTTGGGGAGCTTTAGCAAGAGTATGACTACGACGAGTACGAAGTTTGACCGTGTAAGGGAATGGCACGAGAAAGTTTGTTGTCGTTGTCGTTTAGTCAAAACTTTGTTTTAGCTATAAACAACAGAACGAGCCTTTTTATTGTGAAAAATACCGACGTTTGAGAAGTAGCTACGGCTCCATTTGTCAATAATGATATCAACTAAACAGTAATACTGGTTTTGCGAGAATATAGGACTCTTTCGAGTGAAAAATCTTCACTATTTTAAGTTTTATGTACGATATATTTGTACTATTTTATTGTTTGTTCATCGTTCACTTTGCGTACGAAATACATGAAAGTTTTCAGGTCATATTTTCCATTTAAATGTACATATGCGTCAAAAAGGTTCTAAATAAAGCCTGGATGCTCTAAAATAGTTTTGTAAACTAATTTCTCACACAAATCTATCATGAATAGATTTTTGAGGAAAAATTGAAATGTTTTTCTTTTTCCCATTATTGTTATTTTATAATTAAGAAATAAAAGATGTTTTTCGTGTTTCCACTGGCTTATGCAAACCTTGGAGACATTTGTGAGAACTCTCGAGCATGTATAACTCTCGTCCTTCAGTCTCGGGCTTGCACTGATCTGCTCTCGAGTTCTCCCAAAGGTCTCCTCAGTTTGTATAAGCTTGTGCAAGCACAGTAAAATTTTTTATTTCTTAAATGAATATTTCATAGATTCTAATTTTAGTTGACCACGGAACTTGTGATCTTATCTTTTGTTCTTTAGTTGATCACGGAACTTGTGACCTTATCTTTTGTTCTTTAGTTGATCACGGAACTTGTGACCTTATCTTTTGCTCTTTAGTTGATCACGGAACTTGCGACCTTATCTTTTGTTCTTTAGTTGATCACGGAACTTGTGACCTTATCTTTTGTTCTTTAGTTGATCACGGAACTTGTGACCTTATCTTTTGTTCTTTAGTTCACCACGGAACTTGTGACCTTATCTTTTGTTCTTTAGTTGATCACGTGGTCATACTTATCTTTTATATATTATTTTGCAGTCGTCAATATCTTGGTGAAGGTTATGATAGCAAGAAAGAAATGCCAGGTGGAAAAATCACTCTTGGTCAAATGGACCTAGTAAGTACGAGATATTCACAGTCTTCGGCGACTCAATGTGACGATGTGACGTCACTGGTGATATAAGTCAGACTACCCCAATATTTCGAAGACGACGCGGGTTTTGCATGAAAGTTCTTATAAAGCCTGATTTCCACTATTGGTTTATCACGATAAAAGCGATAGCAATAACTTTTATTCGCAATGGTTGAACGATTAAACGTGTTGTTTACATTATGTCGGATGGCGATAATTTTGTGAAATGGCTTCAGTAAAAAAACACGATCTGGTAGTAATTTCAGTAGCTTATGTTTTATGGAGGCGGCAAAGATGCCGTAGAAAGGCATCGAAGAAAAGAAAACAACGTTTTTGGATTCGCCATCTTAAATTCCTAAATTTTCATTCAAGATGACGCCATTTTGGCGATTAACGCGAATGAATATCAAAAATTTTTGATATTTTGTCGTGTTTGTCGCGATTGTTAGTCGCCGTTTGTTGCGATTATTACCACGTTCTCATATGGGATTATCGCGTTTAAAGTTAATCGCTGTCGCGTTTGTCGCGTTAAACCAATCGTGGAAACCAGGCTTAAAGGAAATATAAATACACAACGTGAACGACGCATCGTTTTAATTACGAGGAAAGGGCGTCCCTCTAACCTGACATAAAAATCAATGCCCAACATAAAGTTTTATTTATCCTATTTATTAATTATATGAAGATGTCTTGTCGAAACGTTACAATAAATTCAATTTTACAATTTTTCGTCTATTTGTATGGCTCTAATCAAAACTTTATGTTCTGCATTAATTTTTATTACACGAATTCGATTTCCGCTCGGCAATTCTCTCGCAACTATTTTAAATAACCTGACATGCCTTAGCAATTTACTACGTAGTTGCTTTAAATTATCAGTTTTCAGTAGCTCATTGCTCAGAGCGGTACACTGGCATTTAATTGCTCACAATTGCTTGTAGCCTTGTTCGCTGGTTTGACTATTTAGGAATAATGTCGAGAATTGCGTAGTGCATGAAAAATAACAATGTTCTTCATTACTTAAGAAATAAAAGATGTTTACTGTGTTTACACAGGCTTATGCAAACCAAGGAAACCTTTGGGAGAACTCGAAAGCAGATCAGTGCAAGGTCGAGAGTGAAGGTCGTGGGTTGCACATGCTCGAGAGTTCTCACAAACGTCTCCGAGGTTTGCATAAGCCAGTGCTTACACGAAAAAGATTTTTTATTTCTTTTATAAAATAAAAAATGCGAAAATACAAATATATTAATTTTTCCTCTAAAATGTATTCAAGATCGATATGCAAATTCTCTTTGACTGATTGATTCTTACGATTGATTTGATTGGTTGAGCTCAGATGTGTTTCGCACAGACTAATGCAAAACAGCTCTAGACGAATCAGCGCACGCGTTTCATTGTGTTTATTTTATCAATAGTTATCAAGAACATCATTTCCTCTGTGTATGAGACAGTTACACGAAGCGTTGAGAAAACATCATCATTTGAAACATGGAGGTCGCCTTCAATATGGTCTTTTTATAAAGGTACATCATTAACCATATTGTCCCTCAATGTACCCACATAGCCCTCTACTTAGTCTGCATTCTACCATCTTGTCTCCCCTGCCTTGCGATGGATGTATCATATTATATTTCAATATCCCACATTGTCTTGTAATTAAACTTGTTTGAAAATAAACATGTTTTTAGGGTCTTGGTTTGACTTTAGAAGAGGCTTTAGCATTTTGGAGAAGTGAATTTGCAAAAATTATGGAGGTGGATAAGGTGACTAAACAATTGACGTGTTTCTTTCTTTGCTGGGTTGAATGGTTTAGCAAGTGACTTTTTTTTTACATTCTTTGTCATGTTTGTTACCTACAAATATAACCCACAACACCATTTAAAATACTGCATTTACTCGAATAAACGCCGCGAAGCTTAAACCAGTATATTCATGTACATATTTGTACGTAGATGTAGTTCGTCCAGGTTATTGAAATCCCGAGAACAGTGCTTCCACTCCGTATATGCACATTTCCCCTACCAAAACCTTATTTTCCCCCTACGACCATTTTCCTTGTTTTCCCCCACTTTCCCCCTTCACAACAACATATTCCCTCTATTATATACCTACGTCGGGTCGGACCATTGAATTTTTAGTCTGTTTGTAAAAAAGTGAATACAAAAAAAATTGAAAAACATCTGAACTACAATGTTAGTAATTTGGCGTAAGACGTTGTGACGTAATGACATGCAAGTGACGGAAAAGACACAGTGTGTTTATGCTAAATTGCTAATCTTCTACTGCCATATATGGTCACAAAATGTTCCAACAGAAAGTTTCTGCTAGTCACTTCTTAAATAGTGAGGACACAGGTAGAAAAGAGTATTTTGGGCAAAAATGAGAATAGACATTCTCATTTATAAACGATTTTCTTTACTCCCTACAATCCCCCTACATTTTACAGTTTTTCCCGTAGGTTTCCCCTACCACCTACAAACCACTAAATCCCCCTACTGTACAGGATTTCCCCTACGAGAGGCAGCACTGCCCGAGAAGGACACTTGGCTTTCATGTTGACTGATGTTTTGACATCCTTAACGTTACTTATCTTAATTCTTCACTGCAACTAAGGATGTTAAAATATTAGTCATCACCAACAGTTCTTCTCAGGACTACATCAAACTGGACTATCTTACGTCTACGAACATAGAACCTGCATTCAAAGTATTTACTTACGTCTGTAGTTCTATCCCATTCATTGTTTAAAATTCTTCTCGTGTTTATTTCCATTGTAGTTTGAAAAAAGTTACTCCTACAGCGTTCGCCACAGTTATGGAAAGGAAGGAAAAAGAGCAGATTACACTCCCTACAGTTGCATGAAGATCATAATGTCCAACCACCCCGGAAATGGTGACTATCACGGTAAGATTACACGTCGATACAAGGGGGGTGTGTAAAATTTTAACGAATGTTCCGAATTTCATTATGTGCGTTGTTCGTTACAGGTTGCCCCTTCCGTCATTCTGATGTTGATATTTTAAGACAGAAATTGGTCAACTATGGTATTCCTCAATCTGCCATCATAGAAGTATAAATTCATCATGCAATGTTACTTCATTTGTGTGTCATTTGTCAGCAACAAACAATTAACGTTTGTTTTTCAGATTCAAGAACTCGTAACAAATTCTCATTATCAACTTGCTTGCGCTCGATATTTTGAGGTCACACACAAGGTAATGATTTTCAACCACCCCTAATGCCACCTCTCACTCTTCCTATGCATCCTCTGACCACCATTGTACAACCCCTCATTTTCTCGCACCATCTTCATACCACTCCTGACCACCCGCATACTACCCCTCATCAACTTCATACTACCCCTCACTACCCTCATACTACCCCTCATCACCCTCATACTACCCTTCACCAACCTCATACTACCCCTCACCACCTTCATACTACCCCTCACCACCCTCATACTACCCCTCACCACCCTCATACTACCCCTCACCCTTCTTTTTTTCGGACAGTTATTGCCAATATTTACAAAATAAAATGCTGTTTGTTCTGGTAATAAATATAATTTGTACGGTCTTAGTCATGCCATCATGCTCTACATTGTACCATCTCATCCCTAATTATACCATCATCAACAAATGATACAAGTTCTGTAGTCATTACGTCTTGTCAAATATTCCCAAAACCTGAAATAAAGTCTTGGTTTCTTTCTTGAAATTCTTCAGTTAACCTTATCGCAATCTGATGTTATCAATCATCCCAATAAATATGTCGAAGAAAGTCGACGAATTCATGAAGAAATTGCAAGTGGTAATAAGAAAACAGAATCCATTGCACATTCATCTATTTCACACATATATGGCAGTGGAAAGACAAGAAAGTTCAAGTTAGTCAATCCAGTTCGCAAACATCATCCAGTGTCAAGGGAAATTTGGAAATCAATTTGGATGATGATGATTTTGAAATATCTGAAAACTTGAATGCAATGGGATATTAAGGTTAAATTGAAATGATCAAGAAATGTTTGCTTAAAAGAACGACATTTGGAAACCATCAGCAAATCATGAACATTGTTTTTGTTGAACAACAGATTTCCTTTTCAGATGGAAGGAGCTCTCTCTGTTCTGACCTCTAACTCTTGACCATTGGTGCAAAGCCACTTTTACCATAGTTTAAGTAATTTATATATATACATGTAGCTCGTTTGAACTCTGTTGACCCCATGAATCCTTTAAGCAGAAAACTTTCTAATACTCTCCAAACAACCACCATAAGAATGGTAAAATACATATTTATCCAGAAATTATTCCTATGTATCCCATTAAGACCTGTCATACCTATATACAACCCTATGCCTACCATGGATAAGTAGAATATATACCAAATCATGTGACATAAATCATTGACGTCATTGGCCTCTACAATTATCAAACCTTCTGCAGTCCTCTTCAACACCTGCTTGCAGGTTGTCTCACCAAGTCCAAGAAAGATTTTCTTGATATGATGTTTCAAAATTTTGTAATCTTCCGAGTGATAGCCAATTATGTTTTGTATCAGTTCATATATAGAAATAAACAGATGACTTTCATCCAGCCTTTTATAAAAATCACTACATATTGAAAAAGTGTTGCAATTTCAAAGGCCAGCCTTGTGAGCTGTCGACATCCATAGAAAAGGATTATTGTCATCAAGAATAGGATAAGAAATATCGCATAACCAGTGCTTTGTGCAGACCACGACATACAATGAAGCACAACTATACATTGTATCATATTCAACCCGGGCATCGTGCTTAGCCATATTCGAAGCCTTCTATAGAACCAAAGAGGTTCCATTGTGTTGCTTATCTTGTTATCAGACATTTAATACGGACAGAGGTTCAAAATTTGACGGTTTTACGTCAATGTTACGAAATTTCATTAAAATAGACAAATTCTTTCTAATTTATGACTCAATGTTGCAATTAGCCTCGATGGAACTGCGTGTAACTTCTAATTAATTTCTTCTTTGCCATCCGGTTCATTGATGCATATAGAGATCAGAGTGGCGGGAAATTAAAAATATGGCGGATTAAATAACGTGCATGGTATTTAAGTTAAGTACATTTTCGCTCTCAGTATTTGTGATGTATCATGTTAAGGCCAAGGAACGTGTTGTGCGGAAGTCTTTGTCGTTGAAAAAGATCAGAAATAAGGTAAAAAACCGCCGGAATATCTAATTATATTTTGGTGGCACTACATGGCGTATGCTAGCTAGTTTATTGTCCCTTTATTTAGGATGTTGGAAATAATAGCAAAACAAAAGATATTTCAAGGTACTTTCAAAAGGTAGCCTATTTTCTTTAAGTTTTTAAATTTGTGTGTTCATGTATATGATTGGTCTTCGATCATCTGAAATATTTTGGCTTTTGTAAAATTGCTTCAAATTCATCTTGATTCGTGTGAGATGCATGTTAATTTCAGGCAAGTAAACTTTCAGAAAAGCAAGAAATCGGGAATTGTGACGGTTATTTTGTTCCAACATCTCAAGATGCAGCCATCCAGCCTCTAACAAAACGCAGAAAGAGTTTAGAATGAACTTGAAAATGATCGTGAAACCGCATCCATTTCTTCTGGCCTACAACGCACTTTAGGAAATTTTCCCTCTGAACGCGAGAAACAGAATGTGGCAGATAATCATCGTAAGAACGGTTTGTACTCACTTTTTACCTCTCCTTTATGTGATGTCGACGAAGTATTTACAAAAAATAAAAATATCGAATTAGTTAGTGATGATGAAAGACACGAAAAATTTACAAACGGTGATGACATTTCTTGTGAAAAAAATTCAAGTAATTTAAAATTGCCGATTAGTTCTGTCGACTTGGAGTCAAATGTGGTCATGGATGTTTCGATGATTCTATAATACCACCAACTCCATCACCCGACTCAAATATTTCAAACTCGAGTCGAATAAAAACACAATTTTCTAAAGTAAACTCTCAAAAACAAAACTGTGGGATTCCTGCAGAGACCTGCTGTGAAGTTGCAATGGATGTGTCAAAGAAAGTTGAAAGTTCGATGGATGTTAAAAACAGCAATGATGTTGACTCCTCTATGATTATTGATAATGGTGTGTTATCTTCACCTTTGATTTACTGTAATGGTCAGGATGTTGTCCATGGTTGTTCTAATACTGATGAACCAAAAGGTTCAACAAATCTATGACCAACGGAAAGGATTCATGCAATGAAAAGTCTTTTAGGACATCATCATTACAGTTGGCAAAAAAGAAATTTAAGTTACAAAAAGCGAAAAGACCAGAGAGTAAGACTATGTGCTATAATGGCAGCAAAGATGACAGTGAATGTAAAGGTTTGATACATGTAGAGGGACATGCTGAGGATTCTGTGTTGAAAGGTTATGGTTTGCAGGGGATAACTGTGAACAATGATGGACACAAAGAAAATGATGATAAGAATGAAACTAAAGAAATGTTTAAGGTTTGGCATTTTACTGTTTGAAGAATTTTTATTACTGATGATATTAAAATATAAAAGCACTCAAGCATTTTATACATCAAAGTTCACAGTTTGTCTTGTAACTCAGTTGGTGTGTGAACAAAGAATGTTATATGAAGTATTATAAAATAACAACAATAAATCCTTGTGCCATTATTGGGCTCAATCAATTAAATCAATGAAAGAGAATTTGCAAATCAATCATGAATACATGTTAGAGGAAATATTAAAACATTTCTTTTTAATTTATTTTTTCGTTATTGTAAGTATATGAAAGAAATGAAAAATGTTGTTTTTGTTTGCACTGATTGTCAAGTATGTGCAACCCTCGACCTTATGTCTCGGAGTTACACTGATCAACTCTCAAGTTCTCCCAAAGGTCTCCTTGGTTTGCATAAGACTGTGCAAACACAGTAAACATCTTTTATTCCTTAATAAGTGTCGTTACTAGAGAATAAATTTAAAATAACATTTTCAATTTAAGCTCAACACTCGACGGAAACTCTCCCTGGAATCATCCAAAGATGATGAACTTTTAGATGCATCTGTTGTGAAAATATTTTCACCCATTAAAAGAGAAAACAAGAATTCAAAAGAAGACGACATCGTTGCTTTGGAGGACATGACTGACCTACAAGCAGCTGAATCAAACATTTCAAGGTGGTCACGTGACAAATGCCCGGACGTTTCGTTCGATTGTGATGACGTTGAACTTTTAGTCGGCGACATCACGTGGTCACCTATGGAGATGGGCTCAGCCAAGAAGGAGAAGCGAGTCAGTTACGAGAAGGATAAAGTCTGTGATTATGATAAAGACAAGGGTCGTTGTAATAGCGTTGCTCGTTTGACAGACAAGTTTGTCAATCTTTCCAATGGTTGGTTTGTCAAACACCATCTTTTTTGTGATGTTTGCCATAGAATGATATAAACTACTCTGTTTTACTCCAGGTAAACCTGAGCTCAGTTATCGACGTTTTATCGTACAGGAAGTGACGAAACGCGAGATTCGTGATAGTACGACCGCAAGATATGCCGGTATTGAGAAAGTTCTGCGATTGTTCGATGAAACTAGTGGCGAAGAAGTGTTCTGTCGATTGCGCGAGGAGTGGGAACAAACGGAAGTTGTGAACGGTGATGCTGTTAATATTATTGGTAGGTTACAGAAATGGTTTAATAGATCGTTAATTGGGGGGCGGGGGCGTTATTCATGTAGACTCGCTGCTAACGGTGCCCATGGTGCATTGCAACCCTCTACGTACTGCGAACTGATCCGTCCCACCCCCTCTTCACCCCACCCACCCCCACACACAATTGACGTTCTCGGGACGGCTCTGCTCACCTTAGTTTTTTTTAATGTTCTGAAAGTAACGATTTTCATTTCTTACGAAACTATCTCTTTCCTCACGAGGTGAAAAATCCGAAGTCAATGGTTATATTTTGGATAATGGTAGCGATAATTACCTCGTCGTGTACCCAGATATCCTTGTTACTCCCACTTCCATTGCAACGTCAGTAAAGTGTCTTCGACAAAGTATCTTGGATAAATATTTCAAGACCGATGGACCTAACGAAGTGATGTTCGTGGGAACTTTGGTTCATCGTATTTTTGAGGCGTCTTTAAAAGCACAAGGTTTGTAACATAGGTTCTTATTTTTCCTTGAAGAGGCAATGATTATCTTGTTACTATACCAGAGCACATCACAACAACGTCATGTTATTATCTATGATATCAAGATATGAAAGAAACTAGAACTGTGTTTTAAAATATCATCATTGTCCACAGTTGATGTTGTAGTTCAGTTGGTAGAACTTTGGAGACAATGATTATCTTGTTACTATACCTGAGTACATCATAACAACGTGATGTTATTATCTATGATATTAAGATATGAAAGAAACTAGAACTGTGTTTTAAAATATCATCACAGTCCACAGTTGATCTTGTAGTTTAGTTGGTAGAACATTGAAGACAATGATTATCTTGTTACTATACCTGAGTACATCACAACAACGTGATGTTGTTATCTATGATATTAAGATATGAAAGAAACTAGAACTGTGTTTTAAAATATCATCATAGTCCACAGATGATCTTGTAGTTTAGTTGGTAGAACATTGAAGACAATGATTATCTTGTTAACTATAGAGTACATCACAACAACGTGATGTTATTATCTATGATATTAAGATATGAAAGAAACTAGAACTGTGTTTTAAAATATCATCATAGTCCACAGATGATCTTGTAGTTTAGTTGGTAGAACATTGAAGACAATGATTACCTTGTTAACTATACCAGAGTACATCACAACAACGTGATGTTATTATCTATGAAATTAAGATATGAAAGAAACTAGAACTGTGTTTTAAAATATCATCATAGTCCACAGATGATCTTGTAGTTTAGTTGGTAGAACATTGAAGACAATGATTACCTTGTTACTATACCAAAGTACATCACAACAACGTGATGTTATTATCTATGAAATTAAGATATGAAAGAAACTAGAACTGTGTTTTAAAATATCATCATAGTCCACAGTTGATCTTGTAGTTTAGTTGGTAGAACATTGAAGACAATGATTATCTTGTTACTATACCTAAGTACATCACAACAACGTGATGTTATTATCGATAAAAGAGACTAGAACTGTTTTTATAAACTCGTTTAATCGTTTGTAGATTTTTCAAAAAAATTTGTCACGGAGACAACCGAGCACTTGCTTCGTGAACCGTCGTATCTTACCGAATTGTATGCCTTGGGAATAACAGAAGAAGATGTCTCGACGAAAGTTTCCGAATACATTCCCTTCCTCAGCGAGTGGGGAGCGAGATTCTTCAGTGACGAACCTCATCTTGTTAACGGTCTGATCGATTTCAAAGATGGCGGGAAATCAAACAACATGGGCGAAGATCACGTGGCTATTTCCATTTCTCGAGTTCTTGATATTGAAGAATGTGTGTGGTCACCTGTTCTCGGGCTCAAAGGTAGAGAAAGCTATTTCGTCAAAGGGGGGGAGGGGGGGTGAGAGCACAAATGCTTAAAATGGCTGGGTAAAATTTAAACCGCTTACAGACGAGCAAGTTTTTTTTGGCAAATTTTTATGTGGAAAATGTCATTTGCCCATCTGTATGGGACTTTTTAGCAAAGTTTTCTTCGACAAATGCATTTGTTCAAAAGCTAGCATGTCAACTTTTGATTAAATGCATTTGTCATAGAAAATTTGCCACATGACTGATTTTGTTCGTCTGTAAGGTCTACAAAGATTATATGACAAATCAACCCAATGTGATATGTTGATACGTACAGACGATCAAAGAAAATTTGCCACATAAAAATTTGTCTTAAAAAAATTGTTGCCCGTATACACAGGCTAACGAGTATTTGTCATAGAAAATTTGTTCGTCAGTAAGGCGCTTTAAAGTAGTTTCCCTCGCTCCACCATCAAATAATCTTTAACTTCCATACAAATATGAAGCTGTTTAATAGAGCTAAAAGCTAATGAATCTCCACCACTATACAAGAGTAATATTATTTGTTATATGTTTGTAAATGATGATCGTCCAGGTTAATAAAGTCCTGAGAAGGACTGTTTTTGATGTTGTTGACTGACGTTTCGACAACCTTAGCGGTAGTCATCTTCAGAGTCAAATGAGGAGTAAACGTCAGGTTAGCCGTATTTGTTGTCTGGTTCTTACGTCATTGTATTGTGTGTCGTTAATCCGTGCCCGTATCAGTCGTCTGCTGGTGGATTTGATAATCTGAATAGCCTCTTGTGTGTTCAACGGAGACTTAATTCTAAGTCCTGCCCGTATCAGTCGGGCACGGATTAACGACACACAATACAATGACGTAAGAACCAGACAACAAATACGGCTAACCTGACGTTTACTCCTCATTTGACTCTGAAGATGACTACCGCTAAGGTTGTCGAAACGTCAGTCAACAACATCAAAAACAGTCCTTCTCAGGACTTTATTAACCTGGACGATCATCATTTACAAACATATAACGATACTCCCAGGTTCAAACCATTTACTTTAATATTATTTGTATAGAAAATTACGAAAAAGAGCTAGCGCTAACAAGAGAAGCCCGTATTGTTGCCCGTATACACGGGCTAACGAGTATTTCTCATACAAAATTTGTTCGTCTGTAAGGTGCTTTTTACCCGCTGGTCAATTGTTCAAAATATTAACTCTGGATTACGTTAAATATTAACTCTGGATTACGTTAATCTCCAGCAACGTATCAATCAACCCAGGTTTCTCTCAAGCTATTCTTTAGCGTTGATTGTCTTCTAAATAATCGGTCCCATGTCTTTATACTCGGCCAACCATTCTTTAAACCACTCGCCCCAGGCTTTTTAGATGATATTACTAAGATCACAATAAAACAATCTTGTGTAGGTCAAGTGGATTCATCAGTTGAAGTGAAAATAAATCGTCCCAACATCACGAAGAAGAAATCATCTCACATTCAAACCTGCGTTCTTCCTTTGGAATTAAAAACTGGAAAATGTCAACGAAAACTTGGTATTAATGTTTAAAGTAAACTTTTTTGGCTGTCAGTTTTATCGGAAGAATTTACTGCTTGCATCGTGGGAGGTTTTAATTCGTCAGAAACCAGTTCATATTTAGGATTAGGATTAATATAGGATTAGCTTAGGATTGTATTGCCAACCCGAATTCCATATCCCAAATTTCAATCAATTTTCCTTTCTTCCCAGGCTCCCTCGAACATCGTGCGCAAGTGATTCTCTACAGTCTTATGATGATGGAGCGATACAACTGTACCTTAGATTCTGGACTTCTTCTCTACCTGAAGGCTGGGCACATGTTGGGTGTGCCTGCGTACAGGCATGAGAAGCGTGCTTTGATAATCAAGAGGAATGAGCTTGTACGATATTTGTCACATAGCGGAATAAATGGCCCTATAAAGATGCCTGGTAAGCATTAGTTCAAATGAATTAATAAAACAGTCTTTACACTATCTAAAATATATAAGAAATAAGATAACGTGTGTCAGTGTAGGTAGTGATGAATGAACAACAGAGAACGAGAACAGTCTTTACACTAACTAAAATATATAAGAAATAAGATAACGTGTGTCAGTGTAGGTAGTGATGAATGAACAACAGAGAACAAGAACAGTCTTTACACTATCTAAAATATATAAGAAATAAGATAACGTGTGTCAGTGTAGGTAGTGATGAATGAACAACAGAGAACAAGAACAGTCTTTACACTATCTAAAATATATAAGAAATAAGATAACGTGTGTCAGTGTAGGTAGTAATGAATGAACAACAGAGAACAAGAACAGTCTTTACACTATCTAAAATATATAAGAAATAAGATAACGTGTGTCAGTGTAGGTAGTGATGAATGAACAACAGAGAACAAGAACAGTCTTTACACTATCTAAAATATATAAGAAATAAGATAACGTGTGTCAGTGTAGGTAGTGATGAATGAACAACAGAGAACAAGAACAGTCTTTACACTATCTAAAATATATAAGAAATAAGATAACGTGTGTCAGTGTAGGTAGTGATGAATGAACAACGAAGATTACATTCTATATTTTACACACAAACTATAAAATTTAAATTTTTAGGAATTCTTTGTGATGAACATAAATGTAAATATTGTCCTCAGCTTCGAGTCTGTTCCTTATATCACAGAGCGGTTGAGAATGGCGATAGTGAGAATTTTGGGAATAATCATCTCCTCCATAACTCAACTAGTCATCTTGGCCCAAAACATTTGAAATATTTTTCTCATTGGAATAATTTAGTCTCACATGAAGCTCAAGCGATGAAGGTAAGAATCTGCGATTTTCTCTTTCTGTTATTAGCTATTTCGTTACTATACCTGAGTACATCACAACAACGTGATGTTATTATCTATGATATTAAGATATGAAAGAAACTAGAACTGTGTTTTGAAATATCATCATAGTCCACAGTTGCTTTTTAAGTGTAAAGCTTTGGACTTGAGAGTGAAATATTTTTGGTTGAAATTTTAACTGTGATCAGATAGGATGTACCTATTGTCACTGTTCTCAAATTCCTACATCCAGGAAAAAGACATGACCAGGATATCTGGCGTTTAAGAGGGATAGAACGTGAACAATTGGGATATTGTTTCAGTCAAATGCTCCTAGTATCGTGCAGTGTCACTGAGGATCCTGAAAGATACTTAAATACGTTCAAAAAGATGATTTCAAATGTTCACAGCTGGTTGTAGCAGATACGCACTTGTGTAGTGGTGATTACGTTGTTGTCAGTCAAGATGGTGGTACTATTGCTTTGGCGACAGGTATTAAGCTGACGTTTTTTGTATTCTGCTCTGTTTGTGTGATGTGGTATTCGTTGGTTGTATCAGGCAATTTGATCGATTGTTTTTGTGGAGTGGATTTCACGATTTGGGAAGTGAGCTATAGTGTTAAAAGAGCGGTTTTATTTATTCAAAAGACCGCGATTCGACAGCCTTAGAAGTTATTCAGCTAAAAAAACATATTTATAGCTGATGTTTTTAATGAGCTTAACTAAAGTTAATGTTTGTTCTTTCAAAAATTGGGGACATTTGTGCTGTCAGCTGGGTAAAAAACGCTAAAAGAAAAGCAGGTTGTTTTGGGAAAGGCTTTGCGTCTATAGAAAAATGACGTAACGAGTTTTATTGTTACATTCAAACAGATCAAACTAAATAATAAAGACCCCAAAACTTTTATTGCAGTTAAACAATGATGGCTAATCATAAATTTGGGTCATTTGAGTTGAGAAAAGTTTCCTTTGATGCGAACGAAAGAAAGAGCATGAAATGTATTTTATTTTATAAAGGATTCCTTAAAGATGTGTCAAACGAAAATCTGTCTGTCTTATTGGAGAAGGATCTAACCCAGAGGTATTTTTGAAACGACAGAGATATTTGTATTTCATGTGGGGTTGTGCAATAGAAGAGCATTCTTAAATTTTAGTTGTTGTAACTGATCTTTTTCACTGAAAAATAAATCTATAACATCTATCAAACTTCAGGGTGTTATCTCACCATCAATTGAAAGAATGGCTATAAGCTTCTGCCTTTTTTACCCATAACTACGTGTGCTCTCTCTGCCTTTTTTGCCTACAACTATGTGTGCTCTCTCTGCCTTTTTTGTCTATATCTACGTGTGCTCTCTCTGCCTTTTTTGCTTACAACTATGTGTGCTCTCTCTGCCTTTTTTGTCTATAACTATGTGTGCTCTCTCTGCTTTTTTTACCCACAACTACATCGATTTAACACAACATCATGTCACAGTATCACCTGTGCTCTCACGTCCACCCGGTACAAAATCTTGCTCCCACTCAACAATGGAAAACTCGTTTCCTTATTGAAGATTTTTTGTCTAAATCTTCAATAAGGAAACGATTTAAAATCTGAAAATACCTTCTTCGAATAGTTACGAGGGGATTTTGAAGCTTCACTCAGTGTGTGTGTGAGAAAGAGTTAGCTTTGAGGTGGCTATTTCACCCTCAGGAAAATAATCTATTTAGATAGAGTTGACTATTTTAAGAACATTCGCAATATATTTTATAAGACGGAAATTTGATCTTCCTTGACTTTTGTGTGTCTAAGTTGGCTTTTTTCGTGTTTGACCGTGAGGTGCTGTGACTGGGTCTAGCTCACCGGAAGTGACGTGTATTGGAAAACACGCTGCTTTTTAACGCTGTAGTTTTACAGTGTGATTCGATAACAAAGTGCACAATATAACACAAGTTTAATAAAAAATAAATTTCTTGACTTCGCTACAGATTTCACTATAAACTACATCGTTAAAAGTCAGCGTGCTCTCCAATGTACGTCACGTCCGGTGAAGTAGACCCAGTCCCAGCACCTCGCGGTCACACGAAAAAGCCAACTTTGAGGAGCAAAAAGTCAAGGAAGATCAAATTTTCGCGTTAAAAAATATATTACAAATGTTCTTAAAATAGTCAACTCTATCTAAATAGATAATTTCCCTGAGGGTGATATAGGCACTTTAAAAATCCAGTCGTATGAATTTGAGACTTAAAACTGCACTTTTCGTTCACTAGTTATCATCATGGACGTTGCTCCGACGGTCGACGACCTTTATACCGTATCGATAAGTCAGAAATTTCGACAGGAGCAACTATACAATGGTCAAATCTTGCAAATTTGTTCATTACCGAGAACGAACGTTGCGCTAAACTACGACGTCGTGTTGTTGATCTTGAACCGCCAACATTCGCTAAAGAAGTTGAGGAAATTCATGTCGCTCCTCGCGGCCGTGTTTCTGATGTCTGTAGCAGTGATTTCTCATCAGGGTATGTTTATAATCAACTGCTCTTTGCTTGGCCAGCGGTAGCTTAGCTACCTTTTGTAAATTATTGTTTAAAACTTTAGTAAAAGTACTTCGATGGTTTCTTATAGTTCTGCGTCTTCACTTGTAAACAAAAGTCAAGAAAACACTGACGAGTTGTCGAAAATTTTTCATCTTTTAAATTCTAACCAAAAGGAAGCGATCAAGAAAGTTCTTACAGCTGAAGATTATGTGTTGATTCTTGGGTGTCCTGGTGCTGGCAAGACGCACACTATTGCTTGTCTTGTTCGTGCTTTGATTTCTCGTGGAAAATCTGTGTTGCTTACAAGCTATACTCACTCGGCTGTTGATAACATTCTATTGAAACTTCTCCAGGTAACTGACGCAAGTTATATAATGTTCTTTTTTGTTCATTCATCACTACATACACTGACACACGTTATCTTATTTCTTATATATTTTAGACAGTGTAAAGACTGTTCTTGTTCTCTGTTGTTCATTCGTCACTACCTACACTGACACACGTTATCTTATTTCTTATATATTGTAGGATCGAGATGCATAGAGCTTAGGTTATGCTAATTATTATGCTAATTATTATGAAAAACAAAAAGGGACCCGTATAAAAGCATGGTTCTTGGGGTCTTTTGAGATTGAGCACAATTCATGTATAGTGGTGTATTTTTTGTACATGGATGTTTATATTTAGTGGCCAAATTACGAGGTAACGATGATTACGGCTTTAGGCCTCCTTGTCGGTTATGTTAATATCTATACTCTGTCGTTTAGAACCGTACGTTTGACGCATTGCATTGAAATAAAGATTTATCTGTATACCGGTCGTCGTTTTAATAGTAGTTTATGTACGAGTATCTTGCTGGTCACATAAGCCTGGAATTGTTGAAGCTTATATAGTTCTCGTAATTGTTGTTTAATCGATCAGCAATGACTCAGAAACGAAAGGGTCAAGGTAAAAAGTCGAAAATTAAAGGCTTATCAAAACGCGTACTTCAGCCGTCTGGCGAACAGTTAAGTCCTCCAGGTCAAGTGAGTCGAGCTAAATCTGGAGAGAATTCGCTTAACAATACGAATCAAGACATGATTGAATCCGCTGAAGATGACGGTAGCGAGCGAGCTGAAAGCGGACCGAACGTCGTCGTACAAAACAAGCAAGTTGTCGTTTCTGACGAGGCTTCGACGAGTTTGGGTTCGCCGGAGCGAGTAGCAGACGAACAGGAACAGGAGCTTGAACTTGGTCTAAGTCAGGTCGCTTCATTTTTGAAGGATAATTCGGTTTTATCGCCTCTTGCTCCTGTATTCCAGTCCAATTCTAATATCGGTAAACAAGCAGCTTCTCACGTGAACGTCACGCGGACTGCTCGTGCGTGGGAAAAGCCGACGCAAACAACAAATTTTGAAGACAACGGGGCTGGAGTAACGAGCGCGCTTGATTCAAAATGGGCAGAACGGTTTCGTGAACTTGAAGAATTGGAAATTAATAGAAGAGAAGAGCTGAACAAGCAGATGAGGGAGGCAAGGCTTAAACTAGAGAAAGAAATGCATCAGGCGAGAATTGAGCATGAGATGGCTATGAAGAAACGGGAAATACAACGACGTCGAGATGAGCTTCGGAAGCTTGAAGAAGAAGTTTTTGGTAATGATATTGAACATCAACTGTCGGACAGGGAAAGTAGTAGTAACGCTCGTGAACCAGATAAAAACCCAGTCCAGCAACCTTCAACCCCAATCGACAGAAGCAGTTTAAGTCAGCGCTTGGCGATACCTCCTACCGGAAATTGTGTACCCCAAGAAAGTATAATAACCAGTGGAACTGGATGTCAAACTCAGCAAAGCTTGCAACGAGACAATTCGTCGCAGTTACAATATCTATTAGAGAAGCAGCAGATTACGATGGACGAAGTAGTGAAGGGATTAAGAATGCCTCAAAGGGAATACATGAGTTTTGATGGCGAACCTCGCAACTTTCCGTTGTTCATGAAGAATTTTGAAGTGAATGTCGAGAGTAAAGAAAGTAATGATGCAGATCGACTGAATTACCTTATTCAGTATTGTAAAGGAACAGCAAGACAAGCGATAGAGCATTGCATCATTATGCCTCCGGATCAAGGATACAAGCGTGCTAAGGAAATCCTGAGAAAAAACTTTGGTCGAAATCACATCGTAACCCAAGCATTCCTTGAGAAAGTCTTGAATGGACCGCCAATTAGAGTAAACGAAGCCGAGAAATTGTCGCAGCTAGCAAGAGATATGGAAACGTGTCTCCTTGGTTCTATTCAGTTAGGAAATCGGGCAAGTATCAATTCGATGGACACTCTGGGAAGGGTAGTTAGCCGCCTTCCAATGCATCTCAAGTCAAAATGGGCTGATAAAGCAAGCCATATGTACGACAATCACATCACACCAGATTTCTCTCATTTAACTGAATTCATACAATCCCGCGCAGCCGTGGCTAGTACGTACTTTGGTCAAATGATTACCTCGAAAAATGAAACCCGAAAGGATGGAACTGACAGATTGAAGAAGAAATCCTTCTTGTTTAGTGGGAATAGCACAAACTTAGCAACTCACAGCCAGAGAATATTTGACAGTAGTGAATCAAAGGGAAGAAATTTATCCTGCGTACTATGCAAAGGCACACACCATCTTGAACGCTGTCACAAGTTCAGGGCTCAAAATCTTCAGCAACGACAAGACCTAGTAAAGACGCACAAAGTTTGTCATGCTTGCTTGAGCCCAGGACATTTCGTGAAAGACTGCAGAGGTGCCCGCATATGCGGTGTTGAAGGTTGTCAGAGAAGGCACCATCCTTTGTTACACTCATCCGAAATAAAGGCTAAGGATTCTAAATCAAGTGAAAGGAGTAATCCAAATCCTGAACCATCTGAAAGCGACAGCCAATCCAAAGCACTCCCAACGTCTGGAGTTGGCGCGACAAATTCATCATATAGCAGTTGTCGTATAGGTTTGCAAGTTATTCCAGTTAAGGTCAGCGCACCCTATGGTAGTCGTGTGATAGAAACTTATGCGTTCTTAGACAGTGGCTCCAACACAACCATGTGCTTAACCAGTTTAGCTGAAGATCTTGGAGCCGATTGCTCACCCATCGAATTCACGTTAGCGACTGTTTCAGGCAGCCACAAAAGTAAGGGTCAACAGTTATCTCTCGATGTGGTTGGAGTATCCACGGGCAAAGGTGTCAGACTAGATAAAGTTTGGACGACCAACACTCTTCCTGTTGCTCTAGAAAGTATTCCCACGAACACTGATGTAAAAAGGGTGGTCTCACCTTAAAGGCGTTAATCTAACCGATTTAGTGGATAAGAAAGTCACTATCCTTATTGGAAGTGACGTTCCCGAAGCTCTTTGCCCCCCTTGAAGTGCGTTCTGGGAAAAGAAATCAACCCTACGCAATACGGACAATCCTCGGTTGGACGGTGATGGGACCTCTGAAGGGAAAACCTTATCAAGAAGCTCAGATGAACTTCATTCATGTTGATCAAGCTCTTGGGTGTATGGAAAGGGAAGATGGTATGAGTTCCATTCGTCAGCAATTGCAAAATCTCTACAATTCAGAGTTTAGCGAGTCGGCTGCTGACGTTAAAGAATGTCTGTCGGTCGAGGATCGTCGCGCAAAGGCAATAATGGATAGAACTGTCAAGCTAGAAAATCATCAATATGAAATTGGTCTTCCTTGGAAATACGATGACCCACTTCTCGTACAATAAGTCTATGGCTGAAAGGAGACTTGCTTATTTGAAGAAACGACTTGAGAGGGACCCCATACTTCACGCAAATTATAAGGCAACGATGAAGGAATACATCTCAAAAGGGCACGCTAAAGTAGTTCAAGTGGATAAACAAAATACACAGGACGAGTCACTCAAAAAACTGGTTTGGTATCTGCCTCATCACCCTGTGACACACCCGCAAAACCAGAAAAGACAAGAATCGTTTTGACTGTGCTGCGAAGTTCCACAACGCATCCCTAAATAATCAGCTTCTTCAAGGACCAGATTATACCAATTCATTAGTTGGTGTATTGTTGCGGTTCAGGCAGGAAAAGATAGCGGTAATGGCAGATATTGAGAAGATGTTCCATCAGGTGAAGGTTAAGCCAGAAGACTGTAATGCACTGAGATTTCTATGGTGGCCAGAGGGAGATCTATCCAAAGAACCAGTAGAGCATCAAATGACTGTTCATTTATTCGGAGCAACCTCTTCCCCAAGTTGTTGTTCTTACGCGTTAAAAGAACAGCTTCAGATAATCGGAAAGAATTCAGCAAACAAGTTGTCGACACAGTTGATCGTAACTTTTATGTAGATGACTGTCTCAAGTCTTTACCAGAAAGGAAAGAAGCAATGAAGTTGGTAGACGAACTACCAGTTTTGCTGTCTCGCGGTGGATTCCATCTCACAAAGTGGGTGTCAAATGATCGAGAAGTCTTATCTCACGTACCTAACAAAGAAAGAGCGCCATGCGTCAGCCTTCAGTTGGAGAAGTTGCCGATGGAGAAAGCATTGGGCGTTCAGTGGAATACGGAAAGGGACACGTTGGGATTCCGGGGAAGCAAATTGAAAGCAGAGTCAAGAAGAGGGATTCTATCGTTCATAGCTTCGGTCTACGATCCCCTTGGTCTAGTCGCTCCTGTCGTTTTACCAGCCAAACGCATAATGCAAAACCTGTGTCGAGTAAATCACGGCTGGGACGAAGATCTCCCAATCGAGACAAGCGAAATATGGCATGACTGGCAAAGCGAATTCCATTCCCTTGTGAAATTAGAAATACCTCGATGCTATAAACCGCACGAATTTAACAAGACAAGGAATGCGGAACTCCACTATTTTGCTGACGCATCGACTGAAGGATATGGGGTAGCAACGTACCTTCGGCTGGAAGATACCCAAGGAAGGATTCATTGTACCTTAGTTATGGGCAAATCAAGAGTTGCACCTCTTAAAACAGTCACGGTACCCAGATTGGAACTAACCGCTGCAACATTGGCCGTGAAGCTGAATAAACAAATTTGTGATGAGTTGGATCTGTCAATAAGTCAAATTGTTTTCTGGAGCGATTCAATGATAGTGCTGCGTTACATTAAGAGCGAGAACAAAAGGTTTCAAACCTTTGTAGCGAATCGATTACAAGTTATTCACGATGCTTCTACTCCGAATCAATGGAGACATGTGCCAACCAAGCTCAACCCAGCCGACCTTGCATCAAGAGGTATAAGTCTTGGTCGCGCAACAGGCCAAGACCAACGGGACTTGCAGTTTTGGTTGAACGGACCCGATTTCCTTTGGAAAGATCCCAAATTATGGCCAACGCAGCTAGATGACATACCAGACGTAGAAGACACAGATGTGGAAGTAAAGAAACCTAAAGCAAGAGTTGGTGCCGTCATCAACTCAAAGGATGCACCCTGATTCGCTAATACAACTTATCCATCGAACATCCGAATGGTACAGATTGCAGAAGTCGGTTGCATGGCTGCTAAGATTCAAACAGTACATCTTAAGCCGTTATCCAAACGGTCCAGGATTAGAAGTACAACGTGGTCCTCTAAAGGTAAAAGAGATTGAATCGGCAACCCAGGAAATAATTAAACTTACCCAACGAAGTTCATCTATCAACGAGAAAACTATGAGAGAGAGATACGCTAAACTATGTCCAGTCATCGCCGGAGGAATTGTGAGAGTTGGTGGACGTTTGGATAAATCATCGCTGCCGGAAGAATCTAAACATCCCGCAATTCTTGATTCCAGTCATCACGTTACAAAGCTCATTGTCCGGTATTACCATGCAAAGGAAGGTCACGCTGGAACCAGTCAAACTCTAGCAGCAATACGGCAACGCTTCTGGATAATAAAGGGACCTAGCACTGTGAAGAGTATAGTCAATAATTGTGTTCCGTGTCGTCGCCGAAACCAGTCTCCAGGGAAGCAGATAATGGCCCCACTGCCAAAGCTCGTGTGAAATCTGGTGAGTACCCGTTTTCATCTGTGGGAGTCGATTATTTTGGACCTCTTAAAGTCAAATATAAAGAGGAACTGAAAAACGATATGGCTGTGTATTCACTTGCTTAGCCATAAGGGCCATACACATTGAGATTGCACATGACCTATCGACAGATTCCTTCATTCAAGCCGTATGTAGGTTCGTCAGTCGACGCGGACCGCCGAATGAGTTGTTCAGTGACAACGGGACGAATTTTAGAGGAGCGGAATCTGAAGTTAAGCAAATGTTGCAAAATTGGAATCAAGCTAGAATATTAGATCGTCTAAGAGAAAGGGAATTCAATGGCATTTCTCTGCTCCGAAAGCAAGCCATAGCGGGGGAGTTTGGGAGCGCATGATCAGAACAATCAGGAAGCAAATGCGTGTTATAATAGGAGACCGAGTTGTTGATGATGAAACACTCCTTACAGTAATGTGCGAAGTCGAGAAAATAGTGAATGATCGGCCTCTTGTACGGCAGTGTGATGACCCTCGAGATTTATCAACTCTTACACCAAACACTCTACTCCTGCGTTATCGAAACATAAGCACAAGTGCAAGTTCTTCACCTACGGCAAATAACCCCCGAGAAATATGGAAACAAGCGCAGAAGTTAGCTGACCAATTTTGGGCAAGGTGGTTAAAAGAATACCTGCCAAGTTTGCAAGAACGACAGAAATGGCTACACCCAAAACGAAACTTAATCAAAGGTGATGTCGTTTTGATGGTGATGGAAGATACTCCCAGAGGTGAATGGCCTCTAGCGATAGTTGAAGAAACATTTCCCGATAGCAACGGACATGTTCGGCAAGTAGAGATCCGCACGGCGAATCAAAGTCGTTATCGTCGAGATGTCAGGAAGTTGTGCCTATTGGAGACTGCGAAGTAAAGCGAGAAATTCTTCAGAAAACGAACGTTATTGTTGTTGTCACTTAACTGTTATTATTATTTTGTTTACGTTAAACGACGGTATCTATTGGTTTATGTTTGGTTATTCGACAAGATTGGTGGACACATTGTTTAAAACTTGCGCAAGTTAACATTGAAAACATTTGTATTGTAGCTCTCGATCCTTTTTGAATTATTGAACGACGTATAGTAGGTCGTTCGGGGCTGGTATGTAGGATCGAGATGCATAGAGCTTAGGTTATGCTAATTATTATGCTAATTATTATGAAAAACAAAAAGGGACCCGTATAAAAGCATGGTTCTTGGGGTCTTTTGAGATTGAGCACAATTCATGTATAGTGGTGTATTTTTTGTACATGGATGTTTATATTTAGTGGCCAAATTACGAGGTAACGATGATTACGGCTTTAGGCCTCCTTGTCGGTTATGTTAATATCTATACTCTGTCGTTTAGAACCGTACGTTTGACGCATTGCATTGAAATAAAGATTTATCTGTATACCGGTCGTCGTTTTAATAGTAGTTTATGTACGAGTATCTTGCTGGTCACATAAGCCTGGAATTGTTGAAGCTTATATATATTTTAGATAGTGTAAAGACTGCTCTAGTTCTCTGTTGTTCATTCATCACTACCTACACTGACACACGTTATCTTATTTCTTATATATTTTAGACAGTGTAAAGACTGTTCTAGTTCTCTGTTATTCATTCGTCACTACCTACACTGACACACGTTATCTTATTTCTTATATATTTTACATAATGTAAAGACTGTTCTTTTTCTCTGTTGTTCATTCATTACTACATACACTGACACACGTTATCTTATTTCTTATATATTTTAGATAGTGTAAAGACTGCTCTAGTTCTCTGTTGTTCATTCATCACTACCTACACTGACACACGTTATCTTATTTCTTATATATTTTAGACAGTGTAAAGACTGTTCTCGTTCTCTGTTGTTCATTCATCACTACCTACACTGACACACGTTATCTTATTTCTTATATATTTTACATAATGTAAAGACTGTTCTTTTTCTCTGTTGTTCATTCATTACTACATACACTGACACACGTTATCTTATTTCTTATATATTTTAGATAGTGTAAAGACTGTTCTAGTTCTCTGTTGTTCATTCATCACTACCTACACTGACAAACGTTATCTTATTTCTTATATATTTTAGATAGTGTAAAGACTGTTCTCGTTCTTTGTTGTTCATTCATCACTACCTACACTGACATACGTTATCTTATTTCTTATATATTTTAGATAGTGTAAAGACTGTTCTTGTTCTCTGTTGTTCATTCATCACTACCTACACTGACATACGTTATCTTATTTCTTATTTATTTTACATAGTGTAAAGACTGTTCTAGTTCTCTGTTGTTCATTCATCACTATCTACACTGACACACGTTATCTTATTTCTTATATATTTTAGATAGTGTAAAGACTGTTCTTGTTCTCTGTTGTTCATTCATCACTACCTACACTGACACACGTTATCTTATTTCTTATATATTTTAGATAGTGTAAAGACTGTTCTTGTTCTTTGTTGTTCATTCATCACTACCTACACTGACACACGTTATCTTATTTCTTATATATTTTACATAGTGTAAAGACTGCTCTCGTTCTTTGTTGTTCATTCATCACTACCTACACTGACATACGTTATCTTATTTCTTATACATTTTACATAGTGTTAAGACTGTTCTTGTTCTTTGTTATTCATTCATCACTACCTACACTGACACCAGTATTACTTTTGTGTTGCTTTTCTACCTTGTTCATTCACAGAATCAAGTTGATTTTCTTCGTTTGGGCACCTTTCAAAAAGTTCACGCAGATATTAAACCGTATGTTGTCAGCAAGGCAGCGAAACACATAAAGACAGTTAACGAACTCAAAGAATTTTACGAATCAAGGTTTACTTATAAGCGTGTACAATTTTATAGTCTTTTACCATTTTAAATAGATATTCTGAAGGAAGAATTAGGTTAGATTAGTTAAGATTTGTGTGTATTCTCTCTGCTTCTCTCTGCTTGAATACCGAATTTAACATTAACATGTTGTTCCTTTCATAGCTAGTCGTCGCTACGACTTGTCTTGGAGTGAACAACGCCATCTTTAGACAAAGATGTTTTGATTATTGCATCGTTGACGAGGCTTCCCAGATCACTCAGCCAGTTTGTATCGGTTCATTACGTCACGCGTCAACGTTTGTTTTGGTTGGTGATCATTATCAACTGCCTCCGCTGGTCGAGAGTTCTTTTGCAAAGTAAGACTTGGGAGAAATTTTGAATTTTTTGAAGATTTAGATGATTAATTTAGTACTACTATTTTTCGTTCATTGCCATCTTCAGATAGTTAAGAGAAACGTTTAGATGATTTTGAAAAGCCTTAATTTAGTTTATAGAACCTCAAGATGGTTTAGAGAAGCATTTTGGATAGCTTAGAGAAATCTTTAGTCAGTCAGTCAGTCAGTCAGTCAGTCAGTCAGTCAGTCAGTCAGTCAGTCAGTCAGTCAGTCAGTCAGTCAGTCAGTCAGTCAGTCAGTCAGTCAGTCAGTCAGTCAGTCAGTCAGTCAGTCAGTCAGACAGTCAGTCAGACAGTCAGACAGTCAGTCAGTCAAACAGACAGTCAGACAGTCAGACAGTCAGTCAGTCAGTCAGTCAGACAGTCAGACAGTCAGACAGTCAGTCAGTCAAACAGACAGTCCGACAGTCAGTCAGTCAGCCAGCCAGTCAGTCAGTCTGTTAGTCAGTCAGTCTGTTAGTTTGTTAATTCAGAGAAAGCTTTCAGATGGTTAAAGACATTTATTTGGCACATTTCACTACCTACACCAATGTTCAACTTTTGCTACCAGTCGGTAAAATGCACTCTTATTTTTTGTAGAAAGAATGGAATGGAAGTAAGTCTATTTAAACTCCTGTCTGAGACGCATCCCCAAGCTGTAGTTTATCTAGAGTATCAGTATAGAATGCATAAATCCATCATGGCTGTCTCCAACCACCTCGTTTATAACAATCGTCTAAAGTGTGCCAATGACGACGTTTCCGAGAAATTACTGGATTTGCCAAACTTCGCTACTTTACTTCGTGATATATTGTCGAGAGAAGATCGCGGTATGATTAAATTTTAGAAATCTTTTTACATCACATTGTTCATTTGCACTATCAAAGTTGCGGATGCAGGTTGCTGTGTAAATAACTCGTATATTAACGCTCCTTTACTGCACTTATTGTAATGCCTATAACTGAGCGTCTAACACTCTCCAAGGTCTAACACGGCTACGCCTACAAAGCTCTAACACGGCTACGCCTACAAAGCTCTAACACGGCTACACCTACAAAGCTCTAACACGGCTACGCCTACAAAGTTCTAACACGGCTACACCTACAAAGCTCTAACACGGCTACGCCTACAAAGTTCTAACACGGCTACACCTTCAAAGCTCTAACACGGCTACACCTACAAAGTTCTAACACGGCTACACCTACAAAGTTCTAACACGGCTACACCTACAAAGTTCTAACACGGCTACACCTACAAAGCTCTAACACGGCTACAAAAAGATGATATTTTTTGTTCATTTGCTGTTTCAACTTTCGCCTCATTGTTAAATTTTTCCTCTAGGTGATTACACGTGGTTGTTACAAGTTCTTGACCCGCAATCACCCGTCTTGTTTCTCGATACAGACCGTCTGCCCGCGCCTGAAGTTCGTAATGGTCGTAATGTGCTAAATAAAATCGAGGCAGACCTGGTTGCGACACTAGCTCACGGTCTGATCAAGTGTGGGCTGGGTTCTAATGATATCGGAGTGATTTCGCCGTACAAACAGCAGTTAAAGGCGATCAGGAAATGTCTGAATGCAGATCACGTGATAGAGAAGTTAGTTGAACGAATTTACAGTTGAGGGTGCCTCTGATCTTAGGTGTTAAACTGAAGTGATTTTCGCTTTGTGTAATCCATATGTTGCCAAACATCTCTGTCCTGCTTTACTTTTCCTCTTTGCTAAGAAATTGTTAAATTTACTTGGAGGTAAGAACGAAGAACACCTGACTGATAAAACTGTTCTTTTGTAGGAATTCCTCTTCTGCATTCAACATCGAGATCGACACGGTTGACAAGTATCAAGGTCGCGACAAACGTTGCGTTATTGTGTCGCTGGTCAGAAGTAACGCAGACGGACATGTGGGTGAACTCTTGAGAGACTGGAGAAGAGTGAACGTTGCTGTCACTAGAGCCAAACATAAACTCGTTTTGCTTGGTTCCAAAAGCACCCTAAATCATAATGCATTGTTCCAGGAATTATTTGCTTTGCTCGAAGAGAACAAGTGGGTGTATTGTCTTCCCCAGTCTGTCGGCCGTGGCTTGTTGCCATGGTGACCTCGGAACAATTAGTTAGTTTTTCATTTAGAATTTTTCAATTTTAAAATGGTTGAAAAGGCGATGATGGGAACTTATGTAATTTAAAACCAGTTATAAATTATGAAATCGTTCTTAACAATAGCAAGTTCATAATGTTCTCTTAATTTCTATAAGCAAATATTTATTTTGAAATATATTTAAGATTTTTTATTTTGCAGTTTAGAATTTGTAGACATGATTGTGGTTATTAAGCCCTTAATAACCCAACGCGAGGTCTTTACGGAAAAAAATCAGACCGAAGTTTTTTTTGTACTGATTGAGCACGGGCAGTAAGTATATATGAATGAAAAATTGTAGAAAATTGTAAACATGCGGAATGAAAAATGAAAAATTGTGATGAATTGTGGAAATGCATGAAAATGCGTGAATTATTGTCTTTTTGTGAAAAATTGTGAAAATTTGTGAAAATGCGTGAATTATAATCTTTTTGCGAAAAATTGTGAAATTTGTGAAAATGCGTGAATTATTGTCTTTTTGTTAAAAATTGTGAGAATTTGTAAAAATCCGTGAATTGTAGTCTTTGTATGAAAAATTGTGGAAATGCGTGAATTATAGTCTTATCATAATTTCTAATTAGCAGCAATTTTAAAAAACACTTGAGAAAAACGACGATATTTTTGAGAGCAAACATGTTTCGACATTATCAGAATGCCATCTTCAGTGCAGAATGATTAGTGTTAAGTAATATGATACATAATATGATATGAGTCTTCGTTATCGTAGTTCGTAGTAAACGCTTTCGAATGTGGTATGTATCTCGATTGTCAACATTAGGCAGTGGAAAACACACGAACTTTGGAAAAACTCCAAGTGAATTGCAATCTTTAAGGAAGGCGACATGAAGTTCAGCCTTACGTTTCTTAGTTGTAAGCTTTTCATAATTTCGAAAATCCGACAAGGAAACCTTTCCATGATGTGTGAACTATAGTCCTTTTGTGAATAATTGTGAAAATGCGTGAATTATTGTCTTTTTGTGAAAAATTGTGAAAATTTGTAAAAATGCGTGAATTATTGTCTTTTTGTGAAAAATTGTGAAAATTTGTGAAAATGCGTGAATTATTGTCTTTTGTGAAAAATTGTGAAAATTTGTGAAAATGCGTGAATTATAGCACTTTATGAAAATTGTGAAAATGCGTGAATTATTGTCTTTTGTGAAAAATTAGTGAAAATTTGAAAAAATGCGTGAATTATTGTCTTTTGTTAAAAGTGTGAAAAATTGTGGAAATGCGTGAAAAATGCGTGGATTAATTGTCTTTTAATTAAAAATTGTGAAAATTTAATAAAAATGCGTGAATTATAGCCTTTGTATGAAAAAAGTAGGAAGAATTGTAGGAAAATGCTTGAATCTATAGCCTTTATTATGAAAAATTGTAAAATTGTGAAAAGTGGTGTAATCTTTGTGAAAAATTGTGAAAATTGTGAAAAGAAATGCGTGATTATGTCTTTGTGAAAATTGTGAAAATTTGTAAAAATGCGCGAATTATAATACTGTATAAGAAAAATTGAAAATTTAATGAAAATGCTTGGTCTCTTTGAATGAAAAATGTGAAATTTGTGAAAATGCGTGAATTATAGCCTTTGAATGAAAATTAGTGAAAATTGTGAAAATGCTTGGTCATAACTGGAATGAAAAATTGGTGAAAAGTGTGCGTGAATTATGTCTTTTAGTGAAAAAGTGTGAAAGTTGTAAAAATGCGTGAATATATGCTTTGTATGAAAATGTGAAAATTGTGAAAATGCGTGAATTGTCTTTGTGAAAATTGTGAAATTTGTGAAAATGCGTGAATGTGTCTTTTGTGAAAATTTGAAAATTGTAAAATGTTGAATTATGCCTGGATGAAAAATTCGTGAAATGCGTTATAGCCAACTGAATGAAAAAATTGTGAAAATTGTGAAAATCTTGAATTATAGCTTTGAATGAAAATTGTGAAAATGCGTGAATGTGTCTTTGTGAAAAATTGTGAAAATTGTAAAAATGCGTGAATTATCATCTTTGTATGAAAAATTGTGAAAATTCATGAAAAGGAAATGCGTGAATTATAACTGGATGAAAAAGTGTGAAAATTTGTGAAAATGCGTGAATGATTTTCTTTGTGAAAATTGTGAAAATTTGTAAAATGCGTGAATTATAGCCTATGAAAAGTGTGAAAATTGTGAAAATGCGTGAACGTAATCTTTTGTGAAAAATTGTGAAAATTTGTGAAAATGCGTGAATTATTGTCTTTTTGTGAAAAATTGTGAAAATTTGTAAAAAATGCGTGAATTATAATTGTAAAAAATGCCTTTGTATTTTGAATTATAATTGTAAAAAATGCCTAAAAAATGCCGTGAAAATTGTAAAAAATGCCTTTGTATGAAAAATTGTGAAAATTTGTGAAAATGCTTGAATTATAGCCTTTGAATGAAAAATTGTGAAAATTTGTGAAAATGCGTGAATTATTGTCTTTTTGTGAAAAATTGTGAAAATTTGTAAAAATGCGTGAATTATTGTCTTTTTGTGAAAAATTGTGAAAATGCGTGAATTATTGTCTTTTTGTGAAAAATTTTCACATTTTCAAAAATTTGTAAATATGCATGAATTGTAGTACTTGTTTGTAAGGGGGTAAAAGTGTGTAAAACTACATGAATTACAGTCTTCGTGTGAATTTGTGTAAAATTAAGTGAAAATGGGTGAATTGTCTGTGTGAAAATGTGTAAAAATCTAAAAAAAATGAAGAACTATAGTCTTTGTGCGACAATAAGTAAAAATGTGTAAAAAACATGAATTTTATTCTTTGTATAAAAATGTGTAAAATTGCATGAATTATAATCTTTGTGTGTAAATGTGTAAAAATATGTAAACAAGTATGAATTATATGAATTATATAAAAATGTGAAAAAAAGTAAAATTTACATTTTTGCATGCAACTGGTATATGTTATATCTGACAAGTACAGTAAGATTTTATTTACATACTTTTGAAGACCTAATTGTATATTGTTAGGCAGGGCTTCAACAAATTGCCTTCGATTTGCATCACATGAGCAGCTTTTAACCAATAGGTTGGTAATCGATGGACAAATGCAAATGAATTATGCTGAAGTAGATATACATGCAGATCATAGTGTCAAAAAATAGTATCATGCAAAACAACTGAATTTTCTAGAAAAACAGAAACAAGCAATATCATTTTGTTGGGTATATTCCCAACATTGAATTTACGATGCTAAAATTTGACATTACTCTAATTGTTCTTTTGTTTGCATTATAATCATGAACAACAAATGATTGCTGACATGATACATTTGATGCAAAGTCAAACTGTAGCAATAGCCCAGTGTAGTGGTCATGGGAGACAGATGACAGTGAAACAACAAGTATACAGTAATTATTCATATTTACAATTTCAAAAATATCATTTAATGTATTTTTATGCTGATAAAGTATTGCTACACAGTGTTTCATGCTTATGCAATTATCAAGCAAAGTGTTATTTATAACACATTAAAAACATGAACTAGTGGTAAACAGTATAAAGTATAACTGTATAAGTGAGAACTACTTGACTAAGTTGACATGGTTGTTTAGATTCCTTTGTAATAATAGAGATAGATTGCTTGGTAAAGATATCTTCAGAGTCCTACAAACACAGACCATTATTTAATTTAAAATGTGTACAGACTTTTAATATGTGTTAAAATAGTACATGCCTTCTTTAAATTACTGCAAAATTTTTCATTTATTTCTAGTGAAAGCACTCATACATATGACCATATCCAATGACTTTTCATGAGAAACAATATCAATATATACATTACAAACCTGTGTTTTGGTGGTTAACTCTTTGTGCTTGTCATAATTGTCAGTAATATCTTCACTTTGTTCATTCTACATATAAATGAGAGAAAAACAATGAACATAATATATTTTTCACCAACATATTTTTACAATAAATGTAAACATACGTACCAAATCTCCAATTCATTTTCTTGCTCAAAACATCGACATTCATATGACACACTGCTGTTCTATTAACAAATATGACATTGTTATTGAAGGAAATAGAGAACACGGACTTGTTTTCAGAATAATTTCTCCCTGCACAATACTTGTGGGCATAAATAAATTTGTACAAGTATTTTTGTTAATATGACTGAAGTCATATATGTAAATTAACCTAAATTTGTGCAACTACAAACAAAAAGAACGCTTTAAAAGTTCATACCGCATCATCACTTTATGTGCTTCCTTTCCTCTCCACGTTCACATTCTGTCTGAGGATGACTTTGAAATAAAGTCAAAAATTTACAGTTCACTTCTCGTCTTCTTTTGATGCATATTTTGCAATCTCAAGATGTCTGGCTTCTTCGGCATTTGTTTTATACTATACTTCTTTAAATTGTCAGCTGGTCATGGTTTTATGAGAGCCCTGTTGATCGATTGCCTTGCTTCAAACTTTTGATGTTGCAAACTCTTAAAAAACACGGATATACAAAGAAATATTGTTCACATACATGAAATTTAAAATTGTACTAAATGAAGGCCTCTGGAATTTCTTTCTTAAATGGAAACATATCACGCATGCGCAAATAAAATAAACCATTTTGCCACAATGCCTTTTGGGACAGTTCCTTCCCACGTGTCTTTCTTTAGTATTTCTTGTCGTTTCTTTACCAGTATATTTTCCTGGCTCACCGCTGTTCTTTTACGATTACGTCGGCCAGAACTGAAAAATGGTGAGGTTTATGAAGATTGCTAAAGAAATTCATCGTTTTTCTTTTCATAGGACTGATTTCTAAACAATATATTGATTATTTGAATCATTTATGACGAATACTGCGAAGCCATTTTTCGTGCTGTATTTTCATACGTACATCCTACAAGTTTCATCATTATTTGCAGTCTTTCAAAGAAAAAGGAGGTCCCGAGGAAGAAACTCAAATACACAGAATCCGCATCACGTTGACCAGCAGAAACGTCAAAAGCCTCGAGAAAGGTATGAATTTCATGAAAGTGTAGAGCAGTCACTCCAGTCAAGACTTCACTCAGCGGAGGAGTATTTCTAGCTCAATAAATAACGTAACATGAAGTATCCTTCTTTCATCAGTGCCTCTCCCCCCTAAAAACCCTCGAACTTAAGGATAGTATGCATTATACATCAATTTTTATAAATCACTGAGTATTACAACACAGTATCTTAAAAACAACCATCAAATGCTCATTGCTCTATTTTTGTCATTTTTAGTGTGCAGTGACTTGATTAAAGGAGCCAAAGAAAAAACTTGAGGTGAAGGGTCCTGTCCGTTTACCTACAAAGCGTTTGCGTATCACAACTAGAAAGACACCTTGCGGAGAAGGGTCCAAGACGTGGGATCGTTATGAGATGAGAATTCACAAAAGATTGATTGACCTTCACAGTCCGTCGGAGATTGTAAAGCAAATTGTATCCTTTCTTTATGATTTGTTCTGTAACAACCTCAGTATCATTTGTTCCATGGCCATCTTTTCTCTACTGAACTAAATATATAACTGGAATGCTATTATAAAATGCCAGATTCTGGCATGTGTTAAAATGGTTTCTTGTGTACATCCTAATGTAAGTGTAAATAATTCTTGATTTTGTGTCTCTATCGAGGGATGTAGGAAATGTTAAGATTAAAGTTGGGATTAGTTTTAGAGTTAGGATTAGGATTGGTTTTAGAGTTAAGAGTAGGATTGGTTTTAGAGTTAAGATTAGGATTGGTTTATATGCAGATTCTAAAGCCTGAATCTTATTTTAACATGATCATGAAGGGTAGAAAACATAACAAGATATTTTCATGTAAGAAATTATAATCATTGCACTGCCATTCTTAAATTATTGACCAATAAACTTCCATTTTACACCTGGGCATTCAAGTAATGATTTGCTCTAGATTGGATGGCAAAGATATTTGCCAAGAACTTTTTCCTAACATGTGGCCCAAATATATTAATTGTTTTTAACCTTGGAGTATCGTTACATGTTTGTAAATGTAGATCGTCCAGGTTAGTATAGTTCTGAGAAGGATTGTTTTTGTTGTTGTTGACTACTGCTAAGATTGTTGAAACGTCAGTCAACAACAACAAAAACAGTCCTTCTCAGGACTATATCAACCTGAACAATCTACTTTTACAAACATGTAACGTGGCCCAAACTTAGGAATAAAAGATTGTTTATGGTTTAACTAGTCTGTCTCTTGCTAAAGTAACATCATTAATGTATATGTTTGACCTTAACATCACATTTTAGACATCAATCAGCATTGAACCTGGTGTTGAAGTTGAAGTGACAATTGCTGATGCATGATCTTGTGATGAAAATAATTAAAAGTTGAAGTTCATCAATAAAGTTTTGGGAATCATAAACTTTTTTCTTTTTCTTTTGCACTTTCGTTTTTGATCAATATGACTAGACTGGCTCTGTTATGGAATTATTGGATGTTTGTGAATTTATGTGTTAAAGATCAACATGCTGTTTTTACACATTGTGAACATGTGTTAAAGATCAACATGCTGTTTTTACACATTGTGAACATGTGTGTAAAGGACCAACATGCTGTTTTTACACATTGTGAACATGTGTAAAGGATCAACATTCTGTTTTTACACATTGTGAACATGTGTAAAGATCAAATGCTGTTTTTACACATTGTGAACACGTGTTAAAAATCAACATGCTGTTTTACACATTGTGAACACGTGTTAAAAATCAACATGCTGTTTTACACATTGTGAACATGTGTAAAGGACCAACATGCTTTTTAAAAATAATTTTCAAATTACTTCACATAATGGTACAATATCTGTTACTGTCATCAATATCTTCCTACTGAGTTGATCCACAATCTCATGAAGATGCTGTTAATTTTCTGCAGAAATCTTTGAGTCTACATAATATATAAACATATTAATCACAATTGTTGTGTGTTGACAATCTCATTTAAAAATGCCTGCATTTCAATTGCTAAATGCGAAACTCAAAGGAGCAAACAAACACACGAAGTAAAGGGTTAAGATCCAAAGACTTGAAACCTTCAGAGAACAATTACTCTGTTTAACGATTCTTACATTGAATGGTTTGAACCAGGAGTATCGTTATATGTTTGTAAATGTAGATCGTCCAGGTTAGTATAGTCCTGAGGACTGTTTTTGTTGTTGTTGACTGACGTTTCGACAACCTTAGCGGTAGTCATCTTAAGAGTCAAAACAATGACTACCGCTAAGGTTGTAGAAACGTCAGTCAACAACAACAAAAACAATCCTTCTCAAGGACTATATTAACCTGGATCTAAATCTACAAACATGATTCTTACATTGTATTAATATTCATCGTTGACTTTTTCAGCCAGTTAAAGATCGTTTCATAGTTTGACTTCATCCAGTGTATGTTCGTCTTTATTTTTTCAATTGCTTTCCTTCCAGACCTCGTTTTTCCAAATAACCGCGAATGTTTCTCGATAAAATCGCTTACCTGTAAAAAGAATTGCCGAGTTGGTTAAATAACAACATGAATTTCTATTGGCTTCCGACAAGCTGCTTGGCTTGTGTCTGGGGCTGTTTAAATTGTTAAGTTATCTTGCCGTAAAGGTGGCGTACCTCTTGAAGTTGAAACTTTTTGTTGAAGGTGCTTGTAAGACTTTCTAGCATTAAACCAAAATCGCTGGAATCCTCACCCACGCTACATGAAATGGATAAAGTAAGAAAGGTTTGAAAATTTAGCATAGAACATGAATATCTTAGAAAACAGAGAATGTAATTATCTTAGGAAACATAGAACATGAATATATTTTAGGAAACAAATAACATCAATATCTTAGAAAACAGAGAACATGAATATTTTAGGTAACAGAGAACATGTATATCTTAGGAAACAGAGAGCATGAATATCTTAGGAAACAGAGAACATAATTATCTTAGGAAACAGAGAACATGAATATCTTAGAAAACAGAGAACATGAATGTCTTAAGAAACAGAGAACATGAATATCTTAGGAAACAGAGAACATGAATATCTTAGGAAACAGAGAATATGATTATCTTAGGAAACAGAGAACGTGAACGGCTTAAGAGATGTGAAAACATGCAGATTGAGTATTTTATTTTTTAAAGAGCGCCACTCACCTTTTGACTATTTTATCAAAATTTTCTTTATAAAATTCCCAAGCTTGTAGTCGCCCAACTGAATTACCGCTGACGCCAAGTATTGCTGACATCATATCCTGCCGTCGAATTGTCTTCCCAACGAGTGCATCATCGAGAATTCTGCAAATGAAAACGGCAATAATTTGGTAACATTCAACTTAAGAAGAATCAGTTTTTTCTACCTTTGCAAAAGCCAAGGTTCCCGTGATGAAGTCAATCCCAACAATATTTTTCGTTTATGTGTAGCGTCAGTTTCTTCATTATACTTCGACCATAAGAATTCCCACTCCGTCATTCCACCATTTCTGATGACCGTAGTGTAGACGGTTTGCCGTAGATGAGGAGATATGGAGAGCCTGGGGACGAGATTACCATTTTAAGAGCGTGAAAGTTGTTGCCAGGTCTATTGCAACAAACCGAACAAATTCTTTCTTACTTTTCGTCATTATCGACAAACTTTGTGAAAAGCTCCTGCGCAATGTCGATGCATCCTTGATCACCTTTATCACAAAGAGAATTCAGTACCAAAGCTCGCAGATATCTTGAAAAATAAATTTCAAAGTCATCTTGTGTCGTTAAAGATAAATAGTTGCATGTTTGTAGATGTAGATTGCCCAAGTTAGTAGACTCCTGACTCCTGAAAAAACTACGGGTTTTCGTGTTGACTGACGTTTCCACAACCTTAACGGTAGTCTTCATTTGACTCTAAAGATGACAACCACTAAGGTTGTCGAAACGTCAGTCAACATCAACAACAACAGTCCTTCTCAGGACTATACCAACCTGGACGATCTACATCTACAAACATGTAACGATACTCCTCGGTTCAAATCATTAATTTATTACGATAAATAATGTTGTTTCTGTAGCCTGCTGAAAATCTTTGTTTATATCTATACTTAACCGCAACTATTCTTATATGCCATCTCATTTTGTTCTTATAAAAATTGAAGTACCTAACTTATCCACAGCTATACCTTTACCATCTCATTTTGTTCTTATAGAAAATTGAAGTACCTAACTTATCCACTGCTATACCTTTACCATCTCATTTTGTTCTTATAGAAAATTGAAGTACCTAACTTATCCACAGCTATACCTTTACCATCTCATTTTGTTCTTATAGAGAATTGAAGTACCTAACTTATTCACAGCTATACCTTAACCACCTCATTTTTTCTTATAGAAAATTGAAGTATCTAACTTATCCACAGCTATACCTTTACCACCCCATTTTGTTCTTATAGAAAATGTAAGTATCTAACCTATCCACAGCTATACCTTTATCACCTCATTTTGTCCTTATAGAAAATTGAAGTATCTAACTTATCCACAGCTATACCTTTACCACCTCATTTTGTTCTTATAGAAAATGTAAGTACCTAACTTATTCACAGCTATACCTTAACCACCTCATTTTTTCTTATAGAAAATTGAAGTATCTAACTTATCCACAGCTATACCTTTACCACCCCATTTTGTTCTTATAGAAAATGTAAGTATCTAACCTATCCACAGCTATACCTTTATCACCTCATTTTGTCCTTATAGAAAATTGAAGTATCTAACTTATCCACAGCTATACCTTTACCACCTCATTTTGTTCTTATAGAAAATTGAAGTATCTAACCTATCCACAACTATTCCCTTAGCATTTCACTTTTTTCTTACAATTTTTCTAAGTATAATACCTATCCAGAACTGTTCCTTTGTCTTCCCACTTCATCTTCAGTTCAAGTGGTTTTAATTTCTTCACCAAATATTTCTGCAGTTTTGAAGAAGAATGACGTTAAGATTATTTGGTGTGGAGAACAAAGTCTTCCCGCCAAGTTTGTCATTGTTTCCTGGAAATCTGATCTTACAATTCTCGTATTTTTAATTTCTAATTGTACAACTAAATCATCGATGGTAATTACCTTATAAAGTCCATAGGACTCGGTCAGCGATATCATTGATCCGATATAGGACAAAGAACCCAGGGCACTGTGCCAAGGAAAATATTCCGTCTCTTTATTGAGATAGCGAGTCAATTTCAGAGGAACTGTCATGGAAACGAGTCCAGCCCTGAAAAGGAGTTTGCAGACGGGTTGCGTGATTTATTTAAAGAGTGAAAACTTGTCGATTGACTTCAATTGAATTCACTTCAAAGTCAGTGGAAAAGTTAAAGGACCATATTGGGATAATGGTGTAAAATCACAGCAGTGCGCATGTTATGGATATTACAGAGACATTTTTGTATGTTTTTTTAATCTCCGAACATACATTCTTAAAACCACAAAAACTTATCAACAAGTATCTACTCTCTTTCAGTTTATAACGCTTTAAAACATAAACGAACTGTTTTTTTAACCTCCGAACATACATTCATAAAACCACAAAAATTTATCAACAAGTATCTACCCAGTTTTTGATAACGCTTTAAAACATAAATGAACTGTTTTTGTTCATTTTCAACGTACCTTCCCAGATTAAATGCATCATCCAGCAAACCACTTCTATCAACTGACGTAAATACCTTCATGAAAGAGAAGAGATGAGATTGTTTGCAAAAATGATAAAGAATAGCGTTGGTATTAACTTCTAAAATAGCGATTGTGATTGATCATTCTTTAGAAAAATTAACTAAGGCTGAAGTAACTATAATGAACATTAACACTCGGCTGTACAACAGCAAATAAACGTGTGATAACAGATTCTCCTCCAACCCCAGGAAAATAATATATGTTTCTATCAACACTGTATGTGCTGCAGTGTTGTATATTGTACCGTATGGTTTTGGAGAAGTTGCTGACTCAGTAGTTCCCAGTTCTCCTCGTCGTAATTGACACGATACAATCCCATGTGACCGACATTTGCTTTCAACCAGCCTGAATTCTTGAGAGAAAACGAGCTGCCTGTTGCGAGGAAAAGAAAATCTAGATATAACAATTCTATCCTCTTAAACCTAGGTGAACTGCTCATTTCGTCTTCGTCAAACGGTCATTCTCCTGACAAATGCCTTTACCATTCAACTTAACTGGCATGTAAAACAAAAAAAACGCTCCTAAAATTATAGTCTCGTCCGAAAGAACTCGTTAAATAATCGTTTTTGCACACTCATGATTTTGAAGATATTTGCACAAAGAGTTGATGCAAATTTATAAATACCTTTACAGTTGCTGCAAAACTTTTGCATAAAATACCTATGCAGAATTTTACACCATTAACACTTCACAACGACAGTAACTCTGTCAGGTTAATGTAACGTAAAAGCAGATATCCTTAATAATTGAAATTCTCATTATGAATTCTCACGTGTGACGTCACTTTCTCTACATACGTGACGTCACTTTCTCTATAAATCGGACGTCACAAAACTTCAATATTTCGAGAATGCAAAGAGATATGATCAAACTGTTATAAAATTCACTGTCATTTTACGAATTCTTTTCAATAAAACAATAACTTTAATAGCAAATCTTTCGTTAAACTGGCCCTCAAACGAAGAAACACAAAACTTTCTCCTACTTGAAGTATGGTTGATCCAAAACGTATGCTCTATGTCCGAATCTTGCGTGATGTAGGTCAGCGGTATGTACCATTTCTTGTCTCCTATCTCGTTTTTTCGTTGATGTCTATTCAGGGAAGAATCGATGAGGAAACGTTCTTGTGTTACTTCCATTATTTTTTCTATTCTGTGTTTGTCGTGATGAAGCTTTGATGCTTTAATTGTAACAACAGGATAACCTTTCTGTTTTATCCAACTATCCATTATTGACTTCACGTCCAGCTTACTAACCTGGCAAGAAAGTAATAAAGACCAATCATACTCGTCGAGACTTCTTGATTAGCCAATCGGATGCTTTGATAGATTGCTAATATACCGTATTCCCCACATTTTTTTCATCAGCCTCATTTAGCCACCTCCCTCATCTAGTAATGCCGCACTTGAAAGGTAGCACAAAGGAAGAAAACCCCCAACCTTCGAAAAGTCAATCTCGTGGTGAAATCATCAGAAAATATGAACGCTAATTAAGCTTTATTCAATAAAATAGAGACTTTGTCGTGGTGACAAATCTGAAAATAGTCCCAAAGATAGCAAATACCATAGTGAATGGTAAAAGTAATATAATAAGTTGATAGTTCTTAAGAAAGCAAATACCATAGTGAAAAGAAATAAGAACTATCAACTTGTTATCTTACTTATACCATTCACTATGGTATTTGCTATCTTTGGAACTATTTTCAGATTTGTTTATTGATATAAGCGTTTGCTTATATGAAACTTGCGAATGTTAAAGTGAAAATGGCGACTTGCTTTGAGTCAAAATTTCAGACAAAATCATTAATTTTTCCTCTAAAATGTATTCATGATCGATTTGCAAATTCTTTGACGGATTCATTGATTTGATTGGTTGAGCTCAGATGTGTTTTACACAGGCTAATGCAAACACCCCTCTAGACCAATAACAGCACACGTCTTATTGTTTCTATTTTATAAAATAGTTTGAAACAAGAGTCGTGTTACTTGTTTGTAGATCTTGACCCTACAGGTTAGCACAATCTTGAGAAGGACTATTGGTGTTGACTGAAGTTTCAACAAAAACATTTTCTAGTCATAAAACTTGGGAAGTCTCAACTTCGAGGGCAACAAAATCACCAACGTCAACCATATCGAAACTATACTTTGAATCTGTCTAAAATTAACTTCCTATATTCCACATACCTCGCTGAGCGCTTTCCATAAATCGTCTGCAACAGCATTTTCGTAAACATATCTCTTTAAGTAATGCTGAATTGTGTAACATACATAAATTAAAACTGACTTGAAAAATACAGACGTCAACAAACAAAATTCGCACCTGGAGACCCTTACGAAAGTTATCATTTCCCAGAAAGCTTCTCAACATGCGAATCACAGAAGAACCCTGGAGATTTTATCAAAACTTCTCAATTTAATCAACGTGTTTGCTTGCGTACTTGTATAAAACGAATATGGATTATGGCTTTGTGTTACCTTGTCGTACGAAATGCCATCAAAAATTTCGTTGATTTGCGCAGGATTGTCGACTGGTACAGATATAGGATGTGTGTTGACGATACTGTCAAACTGTAACGCTGATTGAAAGGTATCCGACGCAAATTGATCGAGCTAAAATTGGGAGATGTATAAGATAAAACTGTGCTTTTAGGTAATGTAAGAAACTGCAGTATGTAAGAAGTTTCAACATCAGATTACTCCTGTTGAAGACACAAGGCTGGAGTATATAAGAACTCAAGTTTTAACATCAGATCACTCCTGATGAAGACACAAGGCTGGAGTATATAAGAACTCAAGTTTTAACATCAGATCACTCCTGATGAAGACACAAGGCTGGAGTATATAAGGACTCAAGTTTCAACATCAGATCACTCCTGATGAAGACACAAGGCTGGAGTATATAAGGACTCAAGTTTCAACATCAGATCACTCCTGATGAAGACACAAGACTGGAGTATATAAGGACTCAAGTTTTAACATCAGATCACTCCTGATGAAGACACAAGGCTGGAGTATATAAGAACTCCAGTTTTAACATCAGATCACTCCGGATGAAGACACAAGGCTGGAGTATATAAGAACTCAAGTTTTAACATCAGATCACTCCTGATGAAGACACAAGGCTGGAGTATATAAGAACTCAAGTTTTAACATCAGATCACTCCTGATGAAGACACAAGGCTGGAGTATATAAGAACTCAAGTTTTAACATCAGATCACTCCTGATGAAGACACAAGGCTGGAGTATATAAGAACTCAAGTTTTAACATCAGATCACTCCTGATGAAGACACTAGACTGGAGTATATAAGAACTCAAGTTTTAACATCAGATCACTCCTGATGAAGACACTAGACTCTAGTATATAAGAACTCAAGTTTTAACATCAGATCACTCCTGATGAAGACACTAGACTGGAGTATATAAGAACTCAAGTTTTAACATCAGATCACTCCTGATGAAGACACTAGACTCTAGTATATAAGAACTCAAGTTTCAACATCAGATCACTCCTGATGAAGACACTAGACTGGAGTACATAAGAACTCAAGTTTCAACATCAGATCATTCGTGATGAAGATACTAGACTGGGATAACAAGATCTATTCAACGTTTTGGCGACATTAGAACGGACTTATCTTAGTTTCATCAATATCCTGACAGTGGCGAAGAAACTTGTTGATTGAGTGGGCACATATTCATATATTCATGTTCTGCTGCACCAATTTCCTTTGAAATCCATTGTTTTCAAGGTATCAAAACATGCATATATGAATTTGTGCTCCACCACCTCCCAAATAACGAGTTCGCTACGCCACTGTATCCAGAACTTCGTCAACAATTATTTCTCACCATTTTCCAATCTTTAGCATAAACATCAGCTCCCACATACTCGATGTAGTTTGCAAATCCCTCGTTTAACCAAAGATCATTCCACCATTTCATCGTCACAAGATTACCAAACCACTAAAATACAAAAAGAAATGATTCAGAGATTCTAAAGATATAAAGATTGTAAATACAATGGTCGTATATAAAGAAAGAAAACTTGCTACAAACTTTCGTGCATTCTGGTTTTAACTACAAAAGACTCCGACATTTCCAATATCATTAGATAAACATATTTTCTCGTTTACAGGCCTTTTTGTGTGAAACTTGTTCGAAAATAAAAGTTTGACAACGTGAAATTTGAAAGGAAATGTGTTTTACATGTCATTATGAGTAACGTGTTGATATCGCGCCATATGAAATTTCCTTCCTCAGTTACATTTACATTTTTATACATTATATAAATAAAAAAGATCAAATAAGAATATAAGGACCAATAAGAAAAAGGACAAAAAAACTACAAACAACACCAGAACTACAACATTACATTCTAATAATATTAACACCGATCATATTAACAATACACGAAAAACCCATGGCAGCGCATTCCACACCATCCAATCACATTAATTCACACGCTAATCCAATTAGACGCGTCTACAAGCTAAAGGCACATGTAAATAGTAACTTCCTCATTCTGATGAAGGCTCGAAGCAACGAGTCGAAAGCTCAATAAAATAATTTTTAAACGATCCGGAGAATCTTTCATTTTTATACATTATATAAATATAGAAGTATTTGAGTAACCTTGCAATCACGCGTTTTGATGCTTTGAACTATTTGATGTTTTATAAATTGAATGTCCCATGACGTGCGTGGGCGCCGCGCGTTTTCGTGACTGTTGCAAGCCGATTACGTGTGCGAAGCTTCCCAAATTTTCCCATTTTTCGTTAGCGCGTGTCGTCCCGCGAGGGCTTATTCACACATAAAAGCCGCGCAACTCCTATAAAAGCGCCTGGGTACGAGGCTGTATTTGGATTACCTGATGTGCCAACTCATGCGCAATAACGACCGTCACCATTTGACGGTCGCTGGCGCTTCCTGATTTTGGATTAAACAGCAAGAGCGTCTCACGAAACGTCACTAGTCCCCAGTTCTCCATCACACCAGCGATGAAATCGGGAAGAGCGATTAGATCTGAAAATTTTTACATGATTTGCTATTTAGATTTATAAAATAAAACAATAAAACGCGTGCAGTGATTGGTCTAAGGCCGTGTTTGCATTAGCCTGTGCAAAACACATCAGAGCTCAACCAATCAAATCAATCAAAACAATCAATCAGTCCAAGAGAATTTGCAATTCGATCATGAATAATTTTAGAGAAAAAATTGAAATGTTTGACTTTTTTCGCATTATTGCTATTTCATAAAAGAAATAAAAGATGTTTTTCGTGTTTACACTGACTTATGCAAGCCTCGGAGACGTTTGTGAGAACCCTCGAGCATGTGCAACCCACGACTTTCGGTCTCGACTTTGCACTGATCTGCTCTCAAGTTCTCCCGAAGGTCTCCTCGGTTTGCATAAGCCTGTGCAAACACAGTAAACATCTTTTATTTCTTAAATGAAAAACAGTAAGTCTTTTGAATGTAAAACAACGATGTTCTAACTTTAAGTGAACTTTTGTAGATTTTGATCGCTATTAATCAGACCATATTTTCAATACAACTGTTGTTTGATTTAAGTTCACTTACCCATTTTCGGTAACTGGTACTTTATGTTGAAGAATTCTTCGTAATATGTCAAAACATGTCGCGCAACATCCAAAGCATGCTTCGTGTCATTTAAAGCCTGTTCCTTCGCCCAGACACGGAGCTAGAATGAGGAAATGGAAAAGCAGTGAATGAATAATGACTGAAATAATATGGAGATGAAATAAGGAGAGATGAAGGAGAGTTGGTCAGAGATGTTATGAAATGAAGAAATGAGAAGATATGGAATGGTGGACATTACAGTGAAGATGAAGGAAGGAAGACTGTGGTGATGTTGAGATGAAATAAGAAGAGATGAAGGAGAGTTGGTCAGAGATGTTATGAAATGAAGAAATGAGAAGATATGGAATGGTGGACAATACAGAGAAGTTGAAGGAAGGAAGACTGTGGTGATGTTGAGATGAAATAAGAAAAGATGAAAAGTTAATGTAGTTTTGACAACACTGATACCTTAATACCATTTTTTGTCGTAGTTTCCGTATATTTAAAATCGCTGACCACATACGCAACCAGGTACGTGCTCATCTTGACTGTTTTTTCAAAATGATCCAAAAACATCCCCTTTGCGCCGTGGTCTTCTTCAAAGGCATGTTGGAGATGGAAGAGTACTTTGCACCACGCAAAATCTTTATCTCAAACGTCGCTTTGAGCTCGGGCTCATCGAAACATGGGAACGCTGACCGTGCGTATACGGGCTCAAAATGAGTTGCGGCGAGCACCCTGAAACACAAGTTTGATATACAGAGAAAAAGGATAAGAGAGACAGAAGACGAGTCAAACAATAGTACTTACCGTGTTTCGCCATCTTTTGTCCTATAGGAACTCTTATAAAACCCTTCCATGTTATTTGATATTTCTCCTTCAAAATCCATACTTAGAACGTACTTCCCGTTCATTTTCAGCTGATTTTCCAACTCCAAAGTGACTAAGTTGAGTTCCTTGTTTTCGGCAATGTCTTTCACCTTGATTTCAGTATTGTCCTCCCCAGTCTCCTCACGAGTCAACTTTATCTTTTCATATCGAAGATTTTTTACGTGGAAAATCACACGACGCGTGTTTTTAAAGCAACGCATTTTTATTCGAACTCTGCCTTGAAAAGTGAGCTTCTCGAGGTTGGGATGTATAAATAAGTCGTAATGAAAAGGTTTGACGTCCTTTGGTATACGTATCGATCTATACTTAAACTCTCTTCCCTTTGTGTCAAATAATTTCTTTCTAATAACTGTCTTGTCCCTCGCAACATGTCTCTGGAGACTTCCGTCTGTAATCGAAATACAAACGAGCAAAAATATGACTCGAATCAAAGTTGAACTAGAATTTCGATGACTCATATTTTCTTCCAGATCTTCAAATTATTTAAATGTACTTTCGTATACATTTCCAAAATTCAACAGGTAATTCATTCGCCTGGAACAAGATGACAATACCAGCAAATGCGTGATTTATTTCATTAAAAATTATTGCACAAGCTTTGTTGAAAACTGGTCAATAAAGTCGAATGTTGTCATTTCAAAAGACATTTGAAAATGTCGTTGTTACATAACAGGCGAGTCAACAGTCTCTGGGAAGTATGGACCAAAACATGGATGTTTTGTTTTAAAAAATTTCTCTTTTGTCTACGAAAGTTCCTCTCGCTAAATAAACTATAATATCCAAGGATACGGTAAAATTTAGTTTAGGAAACTTTAAAAATATAGTATATCCAAACATAACTCTTTCATTTCCTGTTTCATGGCAAAGAAACTGCTTTTATTGTCAATAAGAACGTTGAAATAAATAACAAAGTCCAGGACTTTGACTTAAGGCGCATCTCCACTAGACGATTTTTGTGACGATCGTCTTAAATTTTAGCGACAATATTTCGAACACGAATTATAGGACGATTTTGTTAGTCATCTCCACTAGACGATTATTTCGCGGTGTTTTCCAATAAACAAAATGGCGTCTATAAATAAAAGATATATTCTATATTTGCTGCTTCGTAGAAGATATTTATTTCTTAACAATCTTCACCAAAAAATGCTCAGGGAGAACACCAAAACAAGAAAAAGGAAACGTCGATTTTGGATAAGAAAGCTGTACGAAGAAAGAAATGTGAAAGGAGAATATAAGTTATTGATAAATGATATGCGACTCCACGACCATGAAAGATACTTTCGTATGTTTCCAAAGACATATGAAAGTTTGCTAAAGTTGATAGGACCCGACATAATGAAAGTTTCGACGAAAATGAGAGAACCTATTGGACCTGACCAAAGACTTGCAGTGACACTACGATATTTAACTAAACTTCTGTTGTTTCTTCGTTACTAGTAGCCATGTTGAAATCATTAATATGAACTGCTAGGTTGGCCATGTGCAGTGTTTGCTCATCTCTGATATTTGATTGGCTAAAATTTTGACGATCGTAAAGCGCTTGACGAAAAGTTAAAACAGTTTAAACTTTTCGTCAGAATCAAAATCGTCAAAAATTTCGTCCGAACGAAAAGCTTTTTGCCTCTGCGCATGTGTCGTCGCGTAAATTTAAGACGAACGTCACAAAAATCGTCTAGTGGAGATGCGCCTTTAGAAGTGTTCTTTTAATGACAGACACAATTAGATCCAAATTGTTACAGTCCAACGTTGTTGAATCATTAAATCGTTATGAACTATTTTAAAAACCTTTTAAAAAATGAATCACTATTTGATTTTGTGCAAATATTCCATGTAGTTCTTAAACATAAACTAAAAGAAATTAGTCATTGAAAAAACTTTCAAACGCCACCTTAGCAACTTACTAACCATTTATTATAACTAATTATAAAATAAACACAATGAAACGCGTTCGCTGATTGGTCTAGAGCTGTGTTTGCATTAGCCAGTGCAAAGCACATCTGAGCTCAACCAATGAAATAAATCTAAACAATCAATCAGTCAAAGAGAATTTGCCAATCGAGGAAAAATTTTAGAGAAGAAATTATAATTTTTGTCTTTTTCGCATTATTGCGATTTTATAAAAGAAATAAAAGATGTTTTTCGTGTTTGCACTGGCTTATGCAAACCTCGGAGACGTTTGTGAGAACTCTCGAGTTCTCCCAAAGGTCTCCTCGGTTTGCGTAAGCCTGTGCCAACATAGTAAACATCTTTTATTTCTTAAATGAAATACAAGTAAACATGAAAAAGGCTGACAACGCGTAAACATGAAGAAGGCTGACAACGCGTAAACATGAAGAAGGCTGACAACGCGTAAACATGAAGAAGGCTGACAACGCGTAAACATGAAGAAGGCTGACAACGCGTAAACATGAAGAAGGCTGACAACGCGTAAACATGAAAAAGCTGACAACGCGTAAACATGAAGAAGGCTGACAACGCGTAAACATGAAGAAGGCTGACAACGCGTAAACATGAAGAAGGCTGACAACGCGTAAACATGAAGAAGGCTGACAACGCGTAAACATGAAGAAGGCTGACAACGCGTAAACATGAAGAAGGCTGACAACGCGTAAACATGAAGAAGGCTGACAACGCGTAAACATGAAGAAGGCTGACAACGCGTAAACATGAAGAAGGCTGACAACGCGTAAACATGAAGAAGGCTGACAACGCGTAAACATGAAGAAGGCTGACAACGCGTAAACATGAAAAAGGAAGAAGGCTGACAACGCGTAAACATGAAGAAGGCTGACAACGCGTAAACATGAAGAAGGCTGACAACGCGTAAACATGAAGAAGGCTGACAACGCGTAAACATGAAAAAGCTGACAACGCGTAAACATGAAAAGGCTGACAACGCGTAAACATGAAGAAGGCTGACAACGCGTAAACATGAAGAAGGCTGACAACGCGTAAACATGAAGAAGGCTGAAAACGCGTAAACATGAAGAAGGCTGACAACGCGTAAACATGAAGAAGGCTGACAACGCGTAAACATGAAGAAGGCTGACGTAAACATGAAGAAGGCTGAAAACGCGTAAACATGAAGAAGGCTGACAACGCGTAAACATGAAGAAGGCTGAAAACGCGTAAACATGAAGAAGGCTGAAAACGCGTAAACATGAAGAAGGCTGAAAACAAACATGAAGAAGGCTGACAACGCGTAAACATGAAGAAGGCTGAAAACGCGTAAACATGAAGAAGGCTGAAAACGCGTAAACATGAAGAAGGCTGAAAACGCGTAAACATGAAGAAGGCTGAAAACGCGTAAACATGAAGAAGGCTGAAAACGCGTAAACATTATCACCATGAATGATTTATTAAGCAAAACAATTTGTATCGTCTAAATTGAACCTCCCTTTCAACCATTATGTTATAAAATTTTGATTCATTTTGGATAGTAAATTTCTTTTACCTTACAATATTTTCATGATTCAATCTAGAAAGTGTAACCTCTCTTCTCGAGTAATTTTGCGATTAAACAGAACACTTCTCGGATTCAAAGAAATTCTTTTGATCGCATAGAGACAGCCTTCCAATATATTACGTACCTAAGCGCATACAAAGCATTTCCAACTAACGTACAAAATTTCCTTCACATGACCAAATTACCGTTTACTTAAACGATGCATGTAATAAAAAGTTACCTTGACAAGCAAACTCTCTTTTTTCCAAGCATTTGCAACACTTCAAATTCATTCCGAACTCTTGAATTACTCGTATGGGCATGGGCATCAAATCAGGAGACTCATCTCCATCATAACACCTATTTTGATTTCTCCCTTGATCTTTTTCAGCGTCAAGTTTATCTGAAGTGATGTTATTTGCTTAACCGTGCGACATGGGACTCGGAGGGATAAAAGGATGTCCAAAAAGCTCCTGTGTTAAGCATTGGTTAAGGCTCTCCGGATAAGGACATCTATACAACATGTATATGACATTAAAAAACAGTTTTTAAATTCTTTGTCACTTCAATGCTTGTTTTTCTTCATGATCTTCATTTTTTCAAGTGTAAGCTTTGAGTGGAACTTTTCAAGCATGGCTATCATTATACTAACAAATACATATTCCGAGAAAGATAACTCTCTTTATAAAAATGCGATTATTCGATGAAAAGGAACTTACAAGTCCAAAACGAGCTTTTCAATGTAACCAATGACCAAACTCTTTTCCTTAACATTAGTTTAGTTTTTAAAGAAAACACCAAAAAAATGTAAAGAAAGAAAACACCTAAAAAATGTAAAAAAGAAAAACACAAAAATGTCGAAACGCGTTTACTGAATCATACCCTATGGGCAAAAATTAGAGAAAAATAGCAAATAATAAGTCTTTATATATATTTATTGAGCTAAACGAAAATTGTTCACATCTTTTTTCATGTTTAGATACAATGGAAAATTTTACCTGAAAATGAACGCGAACTAATCCTTCCACAATCTCACGGAGAAGCCACCACATTCTCTGTTGGTTCTTGTAATATCTCTCGTCAATAATATTCCTTAGAGTACTCTTCTTACAATACTCCATCTGTATATAGAAAGTTTGCAGAGTACACTTTCGAAATCAGATTCGTCGTCCTAAAGGAAAGAATCGGGTAGTTATTTTTACATATCTTCAGCAACATCATCAACAGTTGCCACTACTATATAATATTTCCATAATTTCGTAAAAGCACTATTGCCAATACACATTTAATATAAACGACAACTTTTTTGAAAATAGACATGTTTCGACATCTCATGATGCCATCTTCAGTATGAATGAAATAATAGGTGATACAGGGTTTATATAAAAGTAATATGATACATAAACGTATTATAATACGCTCGGACGCTCCTCATTATATTATCTTATTTCCTTTTTATTGTTCTAATTTATGTATCATATTACTTTTATATAAACCCTGTATCACCTATTATTTCATTCATACTGAAGATGGCATCATGAGATGTCGAAACATGTCTATTTTCAAAAAAGTTGTCGTTTGTATTAAATGTGTACTATATAATACCTGAGCCAACAAGCTTCCAAACTGTATATGTGATTCATCGATATTTCTTTTGAACATATCTTTAGTAGACTCGTTGTTATTAATAGATTTTGTTTTTTTATTGTAACCTCAACCTTGATAGAGCTTTTATCGTCGTTAACATGCTTGGAATCATTTGTGTTTTCATTGGTCCACGAGTCTTTATCCAAAACTCTTTAGCGTACGCTATGTGCTTGAACTACGTTCAATTTTATCAAGCTTTCTTCAACCTTAGGCGACGTTATTTCTCCTCTGTCATGCTTCATTTTGTTTCACGGTGGGAAGTTTCATTTTCAAGTATTTCTTTTACCTAAATCCACGAATTACAACATCTGTCATAAATATTAGAGCAATGTTGATGAGTTTGATATGCATTTGTGAAAACAAGCTTAAGAAGACAAAGAGCGTGCCAAAAATATATGATTGAAATCTGCTAAGCGCATATACAAGCAGCAATTTCAGAGCTTGCTCCGTCACAAATTAATTGAAAATTAATCTGAGCATGCGTACTCAACTGCACCAACTCTCCAAGTTCATGGTCATGGCAAACGACCAACTAGTACCAATTGTAGAGTAATTAGCTCGCTCAGTCACAAATTTCCAGATAAATCATCTGCGCATGCGCAGTATGCTTGAGCATGCGCAGTCGACTTGACCAGCTGCCTAAGTTCATGGTCATGGCAACGACCAATCAGGGGCGAAATTTAAGGGGGGGTATGGGGGGGGAACTAACCCCCCCAAAATGTTAACGTTGCAGGGCAACGATTGGATTTGCAGGGCTAATTACAAAACTAAACACTAGGATACGTGCAAACAGTTATCCACATAGTTTGAAAATATAGTTCAGTTTTAATTTAAGCTGGATTTGCACTTCATGGGTAAGAACGGTAAACGGTACGCATCAAGGAAACTTTCCGTTTATAAATTTCCTGTTGTTTTGGCGGACATTTTAAAAGCAGATATGCATCATCATCGGAAGTGTTCGTAAGTAAAATTATTGAAGTTTTTATATCTTAAGTGGAAACACCATACTATATTTTTACATCAGTAAACACAAACACTAAGATAAATTTTGTTGATTTAAATTGATTGAAGCTTTTTAGTAGCTAGTGTTTGTATAGTTTATTTTACGAACAAGGAAAGTCAAGGATGAATGGTAAGTAATAGCAATTATTTAAACAAAAAACCCGAAACCAACAAATGTGTAAATGTGATTGGTATTTATTGTGATTATAACAGAAAATTCCAAAGTTATCAAGAACAAGAGAAAACGGCCGTATCGGCAAAAAATTAAGTGTTCTGCATGTAATAAAGAAATGTTCAATGATAATTTTTCTAAACATAATAATTCCACTCACAAAGGAAAGGGCAAAGTTATTAACATCGTTGATCCGTCACAAAAAAGACTCTCATTTGCGTCGTGCATTGTAAGTTAAAATTTGTTTGAAGTTCATAAAAGTGTAGTAACAAAGGACTTGTTTTATAAAGTCTGTTTTAAACTAATGTTTAGAAAAGTCTTTAGAGTCAAGCAGCACCAGCCTTAAAGAGATAAATGAAACAGCTGTCGTTGTGTATGAAGAAAAAAACAAAGATGAGTTGAAGTCATGTGCTGTTTCAGAAAATCCGTTTACTATTGAAGACAACACGTCTGGTACACATGAAATAGCAGAATTTGAGGCAAGGGTAGATGATAATATAAACGAAGAAGTGGAACTTTGTGTGGCTATTGAAGAGCCATTATTTGTTGACGACGACACTTCTGTTAACAGTCACGTAGCGAGATTTAGAGCAGTAGAAAATAGTTGTTTGCTGAGTGATGATAGCTCAAATGAAGAGGTAGACGTTAAGATTAAATCATGCAATACTTATTTCATTAGTCTTTTGATTGTTCAGAATAAAAATACGAATCTTTTTTAATACGAATCTTTCAAGTGTCATTTATTCATCTGTTAAAAGCAGATTTTTGCATTTAATTTACTGGATGTGTCTTTTTTACAATGTCTTTATACGTTTAGGCTGCACAAAGTGAAAAGTCATCAAACTGTGATTCAGATAACCAAGAAGATATTACATGGATCACTTGTGCAGGACAGTTAAGAGTTCTATCACAACTTTTTCATCAGTGTGAGAATATTCTTAATGAAGCGATAATAGAAGCGAAAACTGCCATTAAAGATATAATAGTACGCTAAAGTGCGTTCTGCCACAAAAATACAACATGTATTCCAAAAATATATAGTGTAAATACTGTTCCATATGATCTGCAGGGCATCTTATGTCCTTGCAGGGCAATTTCATCCCCAACCCCCCCATTTAAAAGGTGCTAGTTTCGCCCCTGCGACCAATTGCATCTACTAGCACCGATTTTGAAGTAAATAGCATGCTTAGTAACAATTTAATGGAGAAATCATCTGCGCATGCGCTTGAGCATGCGCAATCCACTCGAATAATTGTTCATAGTCATGGCAACGACTAACTATATGTACTTGCACTACATTTGTCGTAATTAATTAACTTAGTCGCAAATTATTAAAGAAATCATCTGGGCATGCGCAGTAGTGACTTTAATAATACCACAACTTTCGTAAGCCTTTGAATTTTTGTATATATATATAAAGCCAATACTAGGTATAGTAGATGTCAACTAGCAGTGGAAGCTGGGTGCGATATAGTATGCAGTGGCTTAGGGGCCCACACTTCGGTGGCGACCGCACTCTCCCTGCGTACCCCGAGCAAAGCCTATTGCAGGTGATCTCGGGGTCTGATGGGCGGAAGCTTGCTATTGGCATCTCCCAAGTAGGATAGCGTGGAGGGGCCGAAATCTCCAACCGAAACGTTAACATGCGGCGTTCTAGTGCCTCGGCTTAAGAAGGTATCGGGAAGCATGGCCCGAAAACGGGGTTTTTTGCTTTCAAATTTTATCTTTTTAAAATAAAATAAACCAAGCAATGCTTCAACTAAACTTTTTTGAAACTGTGCCTTTTTATGACAGTTATAATTTAAAACATCTTTAAACATGTTTTATACATTTTTTTTGGTTTATCTTTCTGATTGAACTCTCACATTTCCTGTTTCTCATGTATCACGAACAAATCATCCATGGGCTTCATGGCAGACATGATTATCTAGTTCTCTTAATAAACATGAGACGCTCTATTGCTTAACTATCTCGGGGTATCGGGAGGCATGGATCGAAAGCGGGATTTTTTGTTTTCAAAATTTGTCTTTTTTCTTTGTAAAAACTCTTCTCATAAAAGAAACTAGACCATCTAAGGATACTGCAAAGGTTCAAACAACTTCTGCCTTTTTGACTTATAACTTAAACTAACTCTAAGCATGTTTATACGTTTTTTACTTGTTACCTTTTACAATGTAACTTTCTCATAACTCTCTCGTGATGAACGAGAGTCTCCTTATAAAATATGACGCTCTCATTATGAACGAAAGCAATAATGGGCTCCATGGAAGAAAGGGATTATCTACTTTGTTATAATAGTTTCTACAAAGATAACATTTAATAAGCCAAACAATTTGTATCGTCTAAATTTAAAATACGCTTTAAACCATTGTGTTAAAAAATATTGATTCATTTTGGATAGTAAATTTCTTTTTACGTACCTTGAAATATTTTCATGATTCAATCTAGAAAGTAACTTCTCTTCTCGAGTAATTTTGCGATTAAATAGCACACTTTTCGTATTCAAAGAAACTCTTTTGATCGCATAGAGACAGCCTTCCAATTTATCACGTACCTAAGCGTATATAAAGCATTTCCAAATTACGTACAAAGTTTCCTTTACATGACCAAATTACCGTCTATTTAAACGATGAATGTAATAAAAAGTTACCTTGATAAGCAAACTCTCCTTTTTCCAAGCATTTTCAACAACACAAATTCATTCTGAACTCTTGAATTTCTCGCAGTATAGCCGAAGGAATGGGCATCAAATCAGGAGACTCATCTCCATCATCACAGCCATTTTGATTTCTTTCTTGATCTTTTTCAGCATCAAGCTTATCTGAAGTGATGCTATTTGCTTAAACCGTGCAACATGGGATTTGGAGAGATAAAAGGATGTCCAAGAATCTGTAGATGTCAACAAGTCATTGTGTAGTCAACATGTCAACAAGTCATTGTGTAGTCAACATGTCAACAAGTCATTGTGTAGTCAACATGTCAACAAGTCATTGTGTAGTCAACATGTCAACAAGTCATTGTGAAGTCAACATGTCAACAAGTCATTGTGTATTCAACATGTCAACAAGTCATTGTGTAGTCAACATGTCAACAAGTCATTGTGTAGTCAACATGTCAACAAGTCATTGTGTAGTCAACATGTCAACAAGTCATTGTGTAGTCAACATGTCAACAAGTCATTGTGTATTCAACATGTCAACAAGTCATTGTGTAGTCAACATGTCAACAAGTCATTGTGTAGTCAACATGTCAACAAGTCATTGTGTAGTCAACATGTCAACAAGTCATTGTGTAGTCAACATGTCAACAAGTCATTGTGTTATATGTTTGTAAATGATGATCGTCCAGGTTAATAAAGTCCTGAGAAGGACTGTTTTTGATGTTGTTGACTGACGTTTCGACAACCTTAGCGGTAGTCATCTTCAGAGTCAAATGAGGAGTAAACGTCAGGTTAGCCGTATTTATTGTCTGGTTCTTACGTCATTGTATTGTGTGTACAGGAAATGTGTATTGTCATTGTGGATTAGTGTGAAGTGAAATATTTTATTTTTAGTTGTGATGTGTGATTTAGGTGTGACGTTTTTAGTTGTAATGTGTGGGTGTCAATTGTGTATTGTCATTGTGAATTAGTTTTAAGTGTAATGTTTTTATTTGATCGTTTGTTTGTATTGTGAATAAGTCGTTTGTAAGGTGCCGGTAATTGCTGTGATCTGTTCAGGGGGGTTTGTTCCAAGTTGGTATACCAACTTTCTAATGTAAGCCGTTGTCTATAGTCAGTACTGTAAGTGATGCATTTTGCCGAGTCCCAGTCAATGTTGTGCTTTGTGATTCGGTGATGTTCGGCAATGTGATTAGTTTTGTCTTGTTTCTTAGTAGCTCGTTTGTGCTCAGTAAGTCTTATGTTTAAGTTCCTGCCAGTTTCCCCGATATAGGAGGCGTGGCAGTCGGAGCAGTTTATTTTGTAAACTGCACCTTGTCGTTCGTTGGGTTGTTCTTTGTCCTTTATGTTCGTTAGTACTTGTCGTAATGTTGTGATTGGTTTATGTGCGACACGTATGTTGTATGGTCGTAAGATACGCGAGATAGTCTCAGACGTACCTTTGATGTAAGGTATCGTTGCTGTTGTCACTGAGTTGTTCGTTTCGTTGGGTTCGTTGGGTTTGTAAGTGTTGCGTTTGATAAAGTCAGAGTTATAGTTGTTTTGTCAAAACACGTTTGAGATAGTTGTTTTCGTTTTGTAGAGCGTCCGGTGAATCACATATGATTTGTGCACGTCTTGTTAATGTTCTGATTGTGGTGGCTTTGTGTGATGTAGGGTTGTAAGATGATTGGTCTAGTAGTCGGTCAGTATGTGTTGGCTTGCGATAAACTGTTGTTCCTAGTTTTTGATTGTCATGTTTTACCAAACAGTCGAGAAAAGGAAGAGTTCCGTTTTCTTCGACATCTTTGGTAAATTGTATGTGGCTGTTCTGTTTGTTGATGTGAGTATGGAAGTCATCAATCTCGTCTGCATGTAGTGCTGTGATCTTCACACTAATCCACAATGACAATACACATTTCCTGTACACACAATACAATGACGTAAGAACCAGACAATAAATACGGCTAACCTGACGTTTACTCCTCATTTGACTCTGAAGATGACTACCGCTAAGGTTGTCAAAACGTCAGTCAACAACATCAAAAACAGTCCTTCTCAGGACTTTATTAACCTGGACGATCATCATTTACAAACATATAACGATACTCCCGGGTTCAAACCATTTACCTTAAGTCATTGTGTATTCAACATGTCAACAAGTCATTGTGTAGTCCACATGTCAACAAGTCATTGTGTAGTCCACATGTCAACAAGTCATTGTGTAGTCAACATGTCAACAAGTCATTGTGTAGTCAACATGTCAACAAGTCATTGTGTAGTCAACATGTCAACAAGTCATTGTGTAGTCAACATGTCAACAAGTCATTGTCAACATGTCAACAAGTCATTGTGTAGTCAACATGTCAACAAGTCATTGTGTAGTCAACATGTCAACAAGTCATTGTGTAGTCCACATGTCAACAAGTCATTGTGTAGTCAACATGTCAACAAGTCATTGTGTAGTCAACATGTCAACAAGTCATTGTGTAGTCAACATGTCAACAAGTCATTGTGAAGTCAACATGTCAACAAGTCATTGTGTAGTCAACATGTCAACAAGTCATTGTGTAGTCAACATGTCAACAAGTCATTGTGTAGTCAACATGTCAACAAGTCATTGTGTAGTCAACATGTCAACAAGTCATTGTGTAGTCAACATGTCAACAAGTCATTGTGTAGTCAACATGTCAACAAGTCATTGTGTAGTCAACATGTCAACAAGTCATTGTGTAGTCAACATGTCAACAAGTCATTGTGTAGTCAACATGTCAACAAGTCATTGTGTAGTCAACATGTCAACAAGTCATTGTGTAGTCAACATGTCAACAAGTCATTGTGTAGTCAACATGTCAACAAGTCATTGTGTAGTCAACATGTCAACAAGTCATTGTGTAGTCAACATGTCAACAAGTCATTGTGTAGTCAACATGTCAACAAGTCATTGTGTAGTCAACATGTCAACAAGTCATTGTGTAGTCAACATGTCAACAAGTCATTGTGTAGTCAACATGTCAACAAGTCATTGTGTAGTCAACATGTCAACAAGTCATTGTGTAGTCAACATGTCAACAAGTCATTGTGTAGTCCATATGTCAACAAGTCATTGTGTAGTCAACATGTCAACAAGTCATTGTGTAGTCAACATGTCAACAAGTTATCTTCGTAAAGTGCTTCAATTAAGCAAGCATAATGCATGGACATTTAACAACACTTTTAAGATATATGTACTAAACTCCCACAGTGACATTCATCATGACCATGTTAAACTTACTTGAGCAGTAATTTCTACATCAGCATACAAATGATACTTGACGAATCCAACATCTCTCATGGGCACTGACATGTTTCTATAAAAAGACAACATTTGTGAAGCAAGTATTCAGTTGTCAGGTATTTGATGGCCGTACTGTATTTTTTGCAATCTGCTTCATTTATATGTTGCATCTAAGACTTAGATAAGCATTTTTTTCAAACATAATTCAAAAAGTAACTGCAGCAAGTATGATCTATAGTATAAGTCTTGCAAGTCTTACCTTAACGCCTCAATACAAATCTCGCTAACTTTCTACCTACCCTCCACCTCTATCAGCACAAACCTCACAGGCCATCTTTACTCTCTACCTACCCTCTCCCCCTTATTTTAAGCACAAACCTTGCATGCCATATTTAGTCTACCATATTTAGTATAACAGCACTAATATCACTAGCTTTGTACTCACTCTTAGAGCACTTTCAGTATCTCACTATATCATTACAACATTACCTACCCGGCTACAACATTATGAACACCAGAGTTTAATCGAGCAAACAAGTTTCAAATCCAACAAACAGTTTACAAAGTTAGAGTTCATTTCGTCGATAATAAATGCCTTCCCTCATAGGAACAGACAGACTGGCAACCACAGTTTAATTTGCTATCACGAATTTTAAATTTTTCCTTGATTTTCATCATAAAATTGCTTGCCAAATGCTAAATATATACATACTTCTTTTGCAATTTATCTGCCATTTTGATAAATAATTCCTGCAAAGCAGTCCATTTTGGTAAAACTCAGCGGTAGTTGACGGGTTTCCCGCCATTTTTGACACGTTTATTAATCATTAAATTATTAAAGTGGTAAATATTACTAATCTTCTAAACTGTTTTTTCACCCCAATATGTTGAAACATCATGTCTTTTTGCAGAATTGGAAATGGTTTTATACCCGATAAACCTTACTTCGATAGCGTGTCTTTGACTAACAATTCGTAGTGATTTTCAAAGAAATATCTATTACCACACACTATTATCCAAAATAAACATTACCTAAAAAAAATATACAACACCAACCCCTATTATCCATCACGAACATTACCTAACAAAAATAGTTCATTATCGATCTCTTTCATTAAAAATAATTCTTTTCTCTAATCTTTTAAACTTAGTATATTGTTCATTGCAGCATCTGCGTTATTTTTATACAACATGAAGTATCCCTGAATTTGAGCAATGCTTTTCGCTTCTCCAAAATCACAAACATTGCGAGCAAATCTGCTTGCATTTTTTGGCGACTCTTGGGGGAAAAATCGTGCGAAAAGGCGCTCTATTTGGTCAGCATCCGCATAACCTATTTCCTGTTTGATATCGACACGACCGGGTCTAATGAGGGCTGGGTCTAGTCTTTCGAGATAGTTAGTTGTCATGAAAACAATCCTTTCTTCCGTTGATGCGACGCCATCCAGAGTGTTGAGAAGACCACTGAAAGTGACCTGATATAGATAAAAAATTTAATGTTTAGATCTTTAGTAAAATCAATCCATATTGAGACATGAAAGAAACTAGAACTGTGTTTTAAAATATCATAGTTCACAGTTGATCTTATAGTTTAGTTGGTAGAACATTGAAGACAATGATTATCTTGTTACTATACCTGAGTACATCACAACAACGTAATGTTACTATCTAAGATTTTAAAATATGAAAGAAACTAGAAATGTGTTTTAAAATATCATCATAGTTCACAGTTGATCTTGTAGTTTAGTTGGTAGAACATTGAAGACAATGATTATCTTGTTACTATACCTGAGTACATCACAACAACGTGATGTTATTACCAATGATACTAGAACTGTGCACAAACCCATAAAATCTAAGTTATAAGTTACTAATTGCGCAGAGCACTCACCCTGTTCATATACATGTTTTGTCCAGCTTTTTCCACATCGTCTCTCTTCACGAACGCTGCATCAATATCCTCCAACAATATGATACTTTGCTGCGGAGCGATGCTCATCAAATGATTTAAACGTTCGTCAGAAAGACTACGATCGCTCAAATTCATCACACAAATGCTGTACTCCAGTTCACCTGCGAGAGCCTGGCTGAGAAAAAAAGATTTAAGCACATTGAACACGTGCAACATTCATAGAAAATACTGCCTGTATTTCCTATTAGATTTGCATCTTATACAAGTGAAAACCGTTGCTTTTCCGTCTTTTAAAACAAAGTCTTTAAACACGCGCAACATTCATAGAAAATACTGTCTGTATTTCCTACTACATTTGCATCTTATTCAAGTGGAAAGCGTTGTTTTTCCGTCTTTTATAACAAAGTCTTTAAACACGCGCAACATTCATAGAAAATACTGTCTGTATTTCCTACTACATTTGCATCTTATTCAAGTGGAAAGCGTTGTTTTTCCGTCTTTTATAACAAAGTCTTTAAACACGCGCAACATTCATAGAAAATACTGTCTGTATTTCCTACTACATTTGCATCTTATTCAAGTGGAAACCGTTGTTTTTCCGTCTTTTATAACAAAGTCTTTAAACACGCGCAACATTCATAGAAAATACTGTCTGTATTTCCTACTACATTTGCATCTTATTCAAGTTGAAACCGTTGTTTTTCCGTCTTTTAAAACAAAGTCCTTAAACACGCGCAACATTCAAAGAAAATACTGTCTGTATTTCCTTCCAAATTTGCATCTTATTCAAGTTGAAACCGTTGTTTTTCCGTCTTTTAAAACAAAGTCCTTAAACACGCGCAACATTCATAGAAAATACTGTCTGTATTTCCTACTAGATTTGCATCTCATTCAAGTTGAAACCTTTGTTTTTCCGTCTTTTAAAACAAAGTCCTTAAACACCTACATGAAACTAGTTTTCCCACAGCCAGGAGGTCCGTAGAGTAGATAGCCTCTCCGATAGGGAATTCCTGTAATTGAAATCATACAAAAGATAATATAAGTATAGGCACACGGGGCCAGTATCAATTAATAGGGGGGAAGGGGAGGTTGAGGCTACTTTCCCCAAAGATTCTTTCACCCAGCGTCTTCCAACGTACGATGAAGTCAATAAACGTGTTTTTCACGAAGCTACAAATGTTTATTTTAAAATAATTATAATATTTGCAAGAAAACAGCTTAACGTTGTCCTCAATAGGAATAGCAAATCGGAATTGATGAAGTCTTCCAGATGCAGTCTGAGAGTCTAGTCAAACTCAGTCTCGATTGTTAAAATAACATTTCCGCTCATGAAAAATGTTCATCATTTATCCCTGTCTTATTTTATAACCTCATTTGCGTGAACAAAAGCAGCGAGGGAGGACAAAGTCGAGGAAAGTGGAAAAGTTTTGTTTTGTTATAAGAGAAGAGTTAAAACAGGCTCCAGGCGATGAAGATCTGCTTCCAGATGACTGGGCGACGGTAGTAAATTTGATGAGGGAGACCGGCATATAAATACTTTGTACGTTGTCTGAAACGAGAGGAGATAAGGAGATTTGGCAGTGGAAAGAAGAAGCCAAATATGGCGAAAATAATCAGCAAAGAAGATAAGAGATGGCAAGTGGATCGAAGAGAGTAAACAGGAGTATTGGAATATAAATCATAAGGCTAAATTAGAGTGGCTTCAGAATCGAAAGATGACTACCGCTAAGGTTGTCGAAACTTCAGTCAACAACAACAAAAACAGTCCTTCTGAGGACTATACCAACCTGGACAATCTACATTTACAAACATGTAGATCAAACATTTGATGAAAAAGTTTATGAGAGAGAGCTGGGAGTAAAGGATGACACGGAGAACGGAGGCCGTCGACACGGAGGACGGAGATTGCATGGATGAAGTTAGAAAAATCTTGAGAAGAAAGAAGAGTTTAATGGCAGTCAGTCCTGACGACATGCATGTGAAAGTGTCAAGGAGAAGTGTAGGTTGAGTTTTTAACAAAGTTGTTTTATAAAATATTACAAAGTGAAAAGATGCATAAGGAATGGAGGAGAGGTGTGTTTATACCAATGTTGAAACTAGAAAGATCAACTCCTCCTCTTCCCTCAGCTCATATGTACAACTACAAATGCAACTATCTATTGAATCACATTGAACAGGATACTTCATGTAAATCAGACATACCTCGATCCATATACCATCTAGGTGAACCAATAAAGTCCTTGATATCATGTAAAATTCTTTCCACAATACCATCAGCCAGGACGACTGAATCCAGAGGTCGTCTTCGCCTAGGAAAGCCAAATTGTCTCCATTCTGCACCCATTGGAATATACATCACAGTCTTTCCCTCCTCTCGTGATAACGCCATTTTCTGAGCCTCAGCTAGGATCTCAAAAAATAGCTCACGATTCCATCCTAATGATGTCAAAGTGACAGTCTCCCAAGGTGTGCCCATGTGCAGGTCAAGCATACCTTTCTCTCTCGATCTTTCTACTCTTATCCAATGATTCTTGTAACTAAAATCGAACAATGGCTTCAGTGGCAGATTACTAATTAGAGGGGGGGGGCTGTAGGCTAAGTCAAAATTAAGGGCCTTTAAGCGATACCTATTCCTTTCACTAAGTTCAGTTTTCCTTAGCTTTGCATTTCCTGTTAGTAACTCCATAGGGTATAAAATGAGAGAAGTTCATTTTAAAGTTGAATCGAAATTTCAAATATCATCAACAAGAACAGGGAAATAGGAAAAGTTAATCCTTTATGAGTTCTGAGCATTTAACATTTGAATAGTAGATAGTAGAAAAGCCATTTTTCCCTTGCATTCAATTGCTCGTAAGGATTCAACAGCTTAAATTACCTAAGTTAAGCACATTTACCTAGCCACCTGGCCTGGAAAGCAAAAACGTTCAAATCCTAATTGTATCCAAATACAACAAGCCTTTCAAAAGCCCTTGCCTGTAGGCTTCAGCGTACTCAACCTTCTGGATAATCCGCCTCTGAATGGATTGTCAATTTGAGGCCTTCCAATAAGGTATATATTAGTTGAATCCCGGATTATAAGCTCTGGATTCAGATTCTAAGGATTCAATAATCAACATTCCAATATCAATCCAAAGACCCATGATAAGAGATGATAGTTTTAAGATGACTAAGATATAGAACATATTTTGAATGTACATTTAAAGTTTGGATTTCAGATTAAGCAATATAAAACTAGATTCCCCGTTTTCATTGCAATACAATCACTAATTCCGAATACCAGAAGCATATGTTCCTAGAATACATTTGTCTATCCTCTACCCCTTCCCCAAGGAATGACTTACTTGAAAAAATGCGTACCAGGACTTGGTATGAAATCAAATTTGGTGTTGATTTTTCCAGTGTCGTTTTGATGAAAAGTCGTTTCGACGCTAAGATGTTGAGCTTTTCTAGCGTTCAAAGTGATCCACTGTAGCAACCATTGAAAACTACGATCTTTGCTGGGAACTTCCAATGTTATCATGGCATGCCTTCTGAACGCAATGAACGCGTACTGGCTACCTTTTCGAAGAGCTGCGAGCGCCGTTCCCACGCCGACCAGGCCAAAACCGGCAGAGAAGTAAGGATTATCTGCCAAAGAAGCGAGTAATGCACTTTCTGGCATTATCTGCGAAGCTCTTGGATTAATATCTTAGACGAAAAATGATATTAAAAGAATCGCAAGAACTTCAGGTTTCGCCATCTTGTATTTTATTTCGGGGAGGGGTGCTGGGTAAATTTCGCCACTTCACAATCCAGGTGGACTAAAATCGTTTATTGACGTCAAATTAGTGTAAAATGTAAATGGTAGTTTATTCAGATGAAAATAATTTTTTACAATTAGATTATGAACATTGAGTTTAAATTAAATAGTGTGTGGCTAGGTTTTACTTTACAGATTACAAAACAATTCTTTTACATTATTAGCCATTCAAAATAATTCATAATCTATACAGTTAATATCATTGCTTATCAACAACTACGACGCACGTGGCATATGATGTATGTTTACATTCAACTTTAAACATAAGCAGATTTCATACATACTTTGCAAATAAGAGTTTTTCCTTTAAACATGTAGGTAATGGAAGACGCGATGCATTTCTGTGTGCGTTTTTGGGAGGAAAATTTTACGGATGGCCTGAAGACAGAGCTCCTCCAAAACATCCGGCTGCGTTCTTCTGGTTTGTAGCCTTGTCCAAAGAGTTTTACTACACATGCCTTTGAGGGTGGCGTTTTGTGAACCATCAGTCAGATTGGCTTTGAATGCCAGTAGAATCGGAACAACATCGTAATGACCTCGTATCATTGCATAATGCAGCGGCGTGTAGCCATTATAAAACTCCTTCAAGTTGACATCGGCGCCATTTAAGCAAAGCCATCTAACGGCGTCATATTTGCCTTTCATGGCGGCCAAATGAAGCGGCGTACAACCAGTAAATGTCCGAGAGTTCAATTTGGCGCCAAATGTAACAAGACTATCGATAATCATCCCATCCTCTTGTTCAGCTGCATAATGTAAAGGACAATAGCCATAAACTTGATCTGAGGTATAGTTCACGTTGGCACCCAGTTTACACAACAACTTTACGCTATCAAGTTTGTTATTTTTGATAGCTATAATCAGTGGTGTTTGACTGCTATAATTGGGAGCGTTTATGTCTGCTTGTTGCATCCTTACAAGATGTTTAATTTTGTAAAGTGACCCGTATTTTGACGCGAATCTCAGTTGACATTCAAGGCTCTGATCAGTAAGATCAAATCGTACTCTTTTGTAAATGTTTTCTACAAAGAAATTAGATAGTATTGGTGTTTAATAAACAGTTATATATCAAACACAGAAGTTTCGATATAACCATGCTTTATTCCTCATGACTCGCAATATACACCTGATGAAGACTAAGTTCTAAAATACAACGTCATAGTCTAATCACCTAGCAACTTTACATCAGTTCTTTCAATATGAACATAATAGCCCAACATAAGACTTTTAAAAAAGCCATCACAATAATAAAATAAAGAAAGATTTATTAATAACGTTTCGTCTTTAACTTAAGACATCTTCAGATTATTTGAGATAAATTATATACACGAGGTTTTAAATACAAGCATATATTACAGGGTGTTAAATTACATGTGAGGTGAGTAAGAAGTTTAGATGACGGAATTAAGTGAGAATGGCGGTATATTAAAGAAGATGAAGGGGGATTGAGTTGCCTTGTGTGTTAAGAGAGGGTTTGAGTTTGGATATAAGAAGGCTTTCATGAATCATAAGGTTATAATTGTCGGAGGAGGAAGAGAGAATTGAGAAGTCATTAAAATCGGCAGACTGATATGTATTTCTTACATGGGAAAGAACTGCAGATGGTGGTGAACATAAGGAAGGTTTCCCTGTTAAGAAAGAGATTCCCGAGTGTTCCGATATTCTGGTGTGTAAACCTGGGTCATACCACGCGTCATTTACTTTACGATTACTATTGTGATGGCTTTTTTAAAAGTCTTATGTTGGGCTATTATGTTCATATTGAAAATTGGCTTTCCGCCTGGTAAATCTCTGGCCACATCAGTTCTTCATCAGCTCGCCGTACATGATTGTGGTTTTTTTTCTGATTGCCGGCTTTTGTTGAGTTTTTTCTATTGATTTAACGACTTTGGAACCAAGTTATACTAAGAAAGGGGAAACGCTAGCCCTTAATCTAGCGCCGCTAGTAGTTTGTGAGGAAATGCAGCGGTGAAGAAGCGAAAGAGCACGTGGAACCCTCGACCTTCGGTCTCAGGCTTGCACTGATCTGCTCTCGAATTCTCCCAAAGTCTCCTCGGTTTGCATAAGCCTGTGGCGCAAACACAGTAAACATCTTTTGTTTCTCTTTCAGAATAGGGCAAAACGCTGACATTCCTAATAAGCTTTTGATTAGTTACCCCAAACCTCACCGTTCAGTCCTGCCGATTGCCAGCAGTAGCGAATCACTAATTACGGGGCCTGTAAGCTAAGGCAAAGTTGTTGGCTCTATTTCTCTCACTAAGTTCAGTTTTTCTTTGCTTTGGAATTTCCTTGTGCATTTGAACAATAGATAGTACGAAAGCCATTTTTCTCTGCACTCAATTGATTGTGAGATTTTTAACAGCATAAATGATCTAAGTTAAACACATTTAGCTAGAAAGAAATAGCAAAAACGTCCAAATCCCACTTATGTCTAGATGCAACGGGCCTCTTGAAAGTCCGGTTCCGTGGGCTCAAGCCTACTTAGCCCATTGGATATTCAGCCTCTATAGCTGATTACCAGATGGATCAAATCGGTTTTAAATTGCGCTGGTATAGATGGCTATATTTAAAGGTCATTCAAAGAAGTCGGCGTCAACCTCCAAGACTATAGAGTAGCTGGGGTGTCTCTAGAAGAGATCATGAAAATGGTAAACTGGTCGGGTATACCTCTACCTTCACTCGTTTCTACTATCGACCAAACTTTGACCGTTCACACGCTAGAGCAGTGCCGTCCTGGGCACTGTAATCATCGCATAAAGTTTGGGCAGATTGCTTTAAACAAGCATTGTTATATCGAAACTTCTGTGTTTGATATAAAATTGAAAATTTTGCAAGGGTGCGCAGCGCCCGCAGTAAAGTTGAGATTATACGAAAACACAGAAGTGAGATATAGAAGCCCTCCCTCTCCCTCCCATTACGTTACGTTATGTTTTCTTTTCAAGTATATGGTTGAGCCCGCGAGTATCGTTACATGTTTGTAGATTTAAATCGTCCAGGTGAGTAGAGTCCTGAGAAGGACTGTGGATGTTTATATGTTTGTAAATGTAGATTGTCCAGGTTGGTATAGTCCTGAGAAGGACTGTTTTTGTTGTTGTTGACTGACGTTTCGACGACCTTAGCGGTAGTCATCTTCAGAGTCAAATCAACCTGGACGATCTACATTTACAAACATGTAACGATACTCCCGGGTTCAAACCATTTACTTTAGATAGTCATTTTTCAGTTGTGGTTCTGCTCACAGGAGTCTCTGTCGTGGACATATGGTGGCCTGGAAGAACATTTTTATAATGTTCCTTTCTTATGGGCCATTATATTGGTTTTCTATTGTAGTCATTTTAGTCTAGCTATATTACTTTTATCATGTTTATTATTACTAGCTTATAGTAATTTGGTCGCTGATTACGAACTGTTTTCATATAATCTCAACTTAACTGCGGGCGCTGCTCGCAGTATCACATATCCTAGATATCTATCATACATGTTTGTACACGTTCATTGAGAAAATATAGATTTTTCTCAATTATTTTCGTCGTGAGAAGAGAAACAAAGGAAAATTTTAGTGAACTGTCACAGTGATTCTAAATACCACAAAAGCTTTAATTTTCATTGAGTTACTCACCTTTTGTCGACATGTTATATAAATCGAGTTACATGTAGCGTCTTGCTTTTCTGATATGCCGTTAATGTACACTTCAAGTGTTAAAAATTGACGCCTTTGTTATAAAACACGAATTCTTATGTCTTCAATGCCCATCATAGATATATAACTTGTTCTTTGCAATATTAACTGCTTCATTTCTTCTAAAGCGTTTCTTTCAAAGTGACGTGGACTCACAACGACCACAGCTGGTGGCGTAGTAAGTCAACTCAATCGTAATTGTTTACGCTAGAAATTTACTTTCACAATTACATCCTTCCTTTGCGGCTTTCACAGTCAGTTGAAAATATCAGAGCTTAATATCTGATGCTTTAAACGAAAGACATAACCATGGAAATAATGCCGATTAATCCCCGAAAACTAAGAACAACACACAATATTTTTACACGTCAAAACTTTTTGTTATTGCTTTGAAATTTCACTTCCGCAATACTTGGACTTTAAGTCGCTCGTGCCAGTCCTTTTCGTGCAAGAACGCGGACGACGGCTAAACAAGATGGTTGCCGTTTGCGAGATTCATTCCTGTGGCGATAATGCCGTTGAAATTGTCTTTAAACTAAGCAAACCCGATAAAAACGAACTCTGCTTGAAGAAGGAGAAGAATGTTCCAAAATATAAGGTATTTTTTGACAACCTGACAACTGTGGTGCCCAGACTGAGAATTCCTGGTTGGTACTGTGGTACTAGTACCATAATGGTATTGACCGTACTGTCATTTAGTTAGGCTGTCTGCCGTTATTTTTCTTCAGTTCAAATTTGATATAGAGCTTTTCATGATTTCATATTGTTGCGTTCGTTTTATAACGTTTGGCCATTTTTCTAAAATCTTCATTTAACATCAGGAACCGTACATCAAACTGCCTGATGGTAATTTGTTACATGGAACGATGACGACGATGAAGGCTATTGCAAGGACTACAAAATGTGATATTCTGGGGAAAGATGCTTTGGAAGAAGCGGAAGTTCAACAATGGATGGAGTATTGTCTTACGAAAATTGATGCATCTCAAAATGATAAGTCAGAAATGAAAGAAATAATTAAGGTTCGTTTAAACACACTGGAATGTTTTTTTGTTCACCCAGATTTATTTCTTTTCTTTTGTGTTCTCTCTAGAGGAACTGTGAGGTGTTCATTTTTTATGAATCTTACCACAACCTACAATTTTTAACTTTAAAATTTGTTATTTTTAGTTGCTGAATACATTTCTTGTTGACAAAGTATACTTTGTTGGTTATTCATTGACTCTTGCGGATCTTTTGATCTTTTCAATGTTGTTCAACGTCTATGTAAGCATTTAAAACAGCAATTTATAGTTGAACATGGAATATGTGTTTGTGAAAGAAAAGCAGAATAACTCAATGCTCTTTTTTTTTAGGAAAATCTGACATATGAAGAAAAAGAGAAAGTTATCAATGTATCAAGGTGGTTTAATGAGGTATGTAGAGTAATCAAAACATCACATGCAATATGTAATGGATCTTTTCAATGTTGTCGTAGTATAGAAACAAACAGTAGTTCCACTCTATTGAAATTTTTTGTGTAGCGCATATCTTATTACGCATGTGATTAGCATAGTGGTAGCCGGTCAATTGCTTTTTTTTGACCAATGGGAGCACTGAGATGGCTAGCCGCAGCCCGTAATCTAATTAAATATGCAGCACCAAGTTGCACAGAGGAGTGAGACTACTGTATGTTTCTATACTGTGATGTTGTTATATAATATTGCATGCTTTATTCCTGACTTGGGTACATGGCTCCGATGAAAGAGCATGGGTACAAGGTTGATTAGAGAGAGCCTGGGTCCAAGGTCCCTTGGGTTCCTATGAGAGAGCCTGGGTACAATGTTTGAGGTGTTATTTTTTATCATTCCTATAGGTTCAGAATGTTTTGTGTGCTTCCGATAAACGTAGAGGAAAGGTAGCATTTGTTCGTAATTTACTCTATTGAATGATATGAAATGTTCAGAGTTTGTATCGATAAATACTCCTCCAGAAGAAATTGATAAATGCTCCTCCAGAAGAAATTGATAAATACTCCTCCAGAAGAAATTGATAAATACTCCTCCAGAAGAAATTGATAAATACTCCTCCAGAAGAAATTGATAAATCCTCCAGAAGAAATTGATAAATGCTCCTCCAGAAGAAATTGATAAATACTCCTCCAGAAGAAATTGATAAATACTCCTCCAGAAGAAATTGATAAATACTCCTCCAGAAGAAATTGATAAATACTCCTCCAGAAGAAATTGATAAATACTCCTCCAGAAGAAATTGATAAATACTCCTCCAGAAGAAATTGATAAATACTCCTCCAGAAGAAATTGATAAATACTCCTCCAGAAGAAATTGATAAATACTCGGAGGGAAGGAACAAGGAGTTATTATAGACTTCTGTATATTTATTGTACATATCATGTATCATACCCATCTTAAATGATAAATTTCTCATTTTATTTGTCTCCCCAACAAACTTACAGTTGAACTGGGGGTTTTTTTTCAACATATTTGTTGACTTCATGAATTATTTTAATGTATTTTTCATACATTCAATTGTCAGAAGTCGTATTTCTACATTATTTGCTGACTTATTCATAATTTTGTGTGATTTCCATCCATCTCAACTTCGCAATCCATTAACATTTTCCGCTTGCAAAATTTGCGCTCTGACTGAACTTTAATCTATAATTCCTTCGAGATTGAAGAAATCACGAAATACACTACCAGAAAAAAGGCTAAAACTGTCTTTTTCAACCAATTACAGCTTACTTGATCAAATTCGAAAGAAATAAAACGTCAAAGTTCTATGCCATGAGATGGAAGAAAAGTTTATAAATAACGTACAAGAAAGACTATTTTATAGCTTCCCGACATTTACCAAGCAGAGACGACATTCATTTGGCATTTAAAAATAATTCAATTCATTCTACTCACAAACAAATTCTTTAAGCCGCACAAACAGTACACAATGACATCGGATTAATACAGTCTGAATGACAAAACGCCCCGCAACGAAGACATTTAACCATTGGTTTCAAAATACACAAACACGGCAAATTTAAGGCATGCGCACTGTTTATCGTTTTCGATGGTTCGTCTTTCTTTTTCTTACTGTTACTTGACTTTTTGTTCGGTTTTTCTTTCGCTGTTGTGCGCTGACCAGTGTCCAAAAACGTTGTCGGTGTCGGCTCTGATACGTCGCTCGCCTCAGAAAGTGAAGGTTGAATAGGTTCCGTATCTACAAGGAATGGAAACATCGGTCTTAAACGCATCTGTATAACTTTCAGTAAACTTGGCATGCACAGTTTTTATGTACGACATACACAATGTAATTCTGTAGTTATTCTAAGCATTGACAATGATCAAGACCTTACAAAGAATAACATTTTTCTTGTGTCCAAATGAATGAATGAATGAATAATTTTATTTCAACACGCTAACCATTGCCAACAAGTGAGTTGTTTTCCACATGGAGCGTGCGCAAAGTTTACAGAAATGAATTTTAACAAGAATACTAAATTAACAAAGTACAGTTCCTAAAACATTAAATTACGTTCTATAGACTAGAAAGTTAGTAATTACAATTAAATATCACGAAATTATTTGGGAAAGTCAGCAGCGATTCTGTTTTGAAAAGACTTTAGAGAGCATGATTCTCTGAGATCAATAGGTAATAAGTTCCAGATTAGTGGACCATTAAATGCGAGGCTTTTTTCATGGTATTTGTTCATGGCTGGGGTAAGCTTAAATCACTGTATATGATAACGTATGCTTTTATAGTTTCTCACTATCCTTCTCAGAGATATAAACGCAAGTGTGGGAGCCACTAAACGGAAATGTGCAAAGACTTCTACGCCTCTACCTAACATTGTGAACCGTTAAAAACGTAAACCTTAAATCCAATAATCCTAATTTAAACTGAATCCGACTATCATATCATAACATTTTATACAAGTAGTTTTGAATCTTCCCCATGCAGGCTCTGTTTCAAATAATTACCCAACTATAGAACTTAGGCTTTTGAGCGCTATGTAAAATTCGTCATACCTGCTAATGATTTGTCGTTTTCAACCAAGCTGGTAGTTTCCTCACTTGTTACCTCCGAGGATTCGTCGTTTGCATTTATCTCGCTTTTCCCTTTGGTCTGTTTTGCTTTAGGTCGTGACTTCCCCTTACCGTTTTGCTCGGTCCCATTCTTCGCTACGCTCTTCGCGGTACCTTTCAACGACTTGGTATCTTTGAGAGCTTTATTCGAAACACTTTTCGCCTTAGCGAGTTTCTGTTGGCGTACTAAGGCTGCATTTTGTTTGGATGGAACATTTTTTCCCGTTGCGTTTTTCTGTATTTTATTCGGAGCGCTTAAATCCGTGTTTTCTCGCGACTCTTTTGATTCTTTCTCCTTCTCCTCGGCAAGTCTTTCTTTTTCTTCCTTTTCCTTGGCAATTAATTCTTGTTCTTTGTCCCATTCAACTCTTACCTGTTCCATGATGTGATGGCTCCTTACAACTGGTGATGTGTATCTTGTACTTTCCTGTAACCTTCAAAGAGATACATCGAGCTATCACATATTTGACACACGCGAAAAATACTTTAAATTCATGAAACTATCTTCACTCAAACAAATCAATCCAATTTTGATCCAGGTTCGTTTAATTTAAACACCCGCAAACGGGTGTAGGCCGTATTACGCCATATAATGGCGCGCTTTGATTGGCTTAGAAACATTTTTGACGGTCCATAATTTTCCCGTAATCGACCACTGTCCAAAACGCATAATTTTACAGTCAAATATAAACAAACTTCGTAAAGCAAACAGCAAAACGCAAAAAAAAACATTTGAGAACGCGATTCGAAAGAAAAACACTTGGAAAGCAGTTTAACTATCCAGACGATACAATTTGAAACGATTTATTTTTTTATGGACGAAAAGTAGAAAAGTCAAAATCGACCCGTAAAACAGCATGGACGAGAAAGAAAGCAAGCTTCGTTTAAGGTCAAATAATGCCATATAATAAACCTTTTAATAACCACGCTTTCTCGGTCTTTACTGAGAAATATCATAAATTTCCCCGTAAAGACTTCGAGCTCGGTTATTAAGGCCTTGATGCTATAATCTAAATATAAATGTAAATATGATCTTCGCACTTTGTTGGACAATTTAAGCAATTGTCTCATGAACCTGAAAAATTCAGGTGACTCAACGGGATAAGTCTTCATGAGACAATTGCTTAAATTGTCCAACAAAGTGCGAAGATCATATCTACATTTATATTGAAAACACCGCACTGCATAAAACATTCTTTCGGATGCTATAATCTCTCAAACACCAAATCTCAATCTCGGTTTATTCAAGGCACCCTCTTTCGACAAACCAATGTTCTTAAATAATTATGGCGCTTAAATAACCACACATTAATTATACGTTAACTATTCACTTGTATAATTTTACACAGGAGCAACGAATTTACTAGAAAAATAATATGTATATAAATTCTTACTTTTCTCCCCATACTGACTCAAAATGCTTTATCTAAAAAGTAATAAAAAAAGATTAGCATTGAGTTTCAGACTGGTTCAATTGATGCGATGTAAACTGATTTGTTGTACAGTATGTAAGATAAAAACTACGATGGACAAAATTTTATGAACTTCAGCATGTAAAAGAACGCGTGAGTGTTCCTTTCACCATTAAATATAGCTACCTTCCAAGGATCTTGGTTAAATTTTCTATCTTGTTCCAGTTGTATCTTCTGATTCATTTCTTGAGTAAACTCGCCTGAATTTCGCAGAGAGAACACGCTCAAGTATATTACATAAAACATTAACAAAATACTATCTTAAAAGATGAATTGAGAGGTTTCGAGCACTTTGCGCTTCGTTCAGATTGGAGTTATCGCAAAGAAAAGCACTTCACTAAAACTTGCCTTCGCTCAGACGTTCCTTCCAAGAATCAAAAGCACTAGTGAAAAATTCGTTGCTGAATGCTGTGTTGGTTGGTCTGAAATAGAAAATCAGTGAAAATATATTTAAGAATACAACAAATTTAGAATGAAAGCAAACTATTTTATGTCCATGAAGACAAAGGCGAAGATTTCCACCTCGTAAACGTAATGACTTATGAAACAACCATTTTTATAGTTTGAATTCTGTGTGAGTGTTTTTTTTTCGTGGAATATATATCTTCATCAGTATTGTGGACTTACTTCAATTCACCCTTTTCGTCAGTTTCTTGATCGATTTGTGGTAAAAGTTTCACCAAATGATACTGGTAAAGTTTCGGGAGAAGATTAAATGTTTCGAAGTTGAACAGCGTCTAAAAAAAAAAGAACGGCAAAGACTTTCAACTATCGCTGTAGTTTTCGTTTAAAGTGTGGTTTAGAACGTCTTACTCTGCCGTTTATTTTGGATAAAATAGAGTCGGGCGACACGAGGTCGACTTGACCTTCTTTCGAGCGTTTCATTTGAGCAGCTGAATAACAAAAAGAAAAGATTTCAAAGTCGGTTTTTTTGAGTTCATCACAGAATAAAATATACCAACCGACACTCATTTTCTTGTAGCGTTTTTGCTGTAAGAGAAACATGCGAATTCATTATGGTTGTCGAAAATTTGTGCTCGTTCAAGAAAATGGAAATCGTGTCTTACTCCGAAATATCCTGATGACGAGTTCTTGACCACGGTATGTGTGGGGTACATGGGTGGTCGTAGGATAGGAGGGATAAAGTTTTGAGATACACCAGAATTGTCATCACCCATGTATTTTAACTGGAAAGATATAATGAAACTACAATGACTGTTCTCGTTCTCTGTTGTTCATTCATCACTACCTACACTGACACACGTTATCTTATTTCTTATATATTTTAGATAGTGTAAAGACTGTTCTTGTTCTCTGTTGTTCATTCATCACTATCTACACTGACATACGTTATCTTATTGCTTACATATTTTAGATAGTGTAAAGACTGTTCTTGTTCTCTGTTGTTCATTCATCACTATCTACACTGACACACGTTATCTTATTTCTTATATATTTTAGATAGTGTAAAGACTGTTCTTGTTCTCTGTTGTTCATTCATCACTATCTACACTGACATACGTTATCTTATTTCTTATATATTTTAGATAGTGTAAAGACTGTTCTCGTTCTCTGTTGTTCATTCATCACTACTTACACTGACAAACGTTATCTTATTTCTTATATATTTTAGATAGTGTAAAGACTGTTCTCGTTCTTTGTTGTTCATTCATTACTACCTTCGCTGACAGACGTTATCTTATTTCTTATATATTTTAGATAGTGTAAAGACTGTTCTTGTTCTCTGTTGTTCATTCATCACTACATACATAGACTAACGGGAAACCTACTTCAGCTTTGGTTTTCACAGGTATTCGTTCCCTAGAATTCTCACTATCTTTCTTTTCATCATCCAATTTAAAAGTGACCCTTCCTTTCTTTGAAGATGAGCCATCTCGAAAACAAGGTTTAATCCGTCTTTTCTTGGCCATTGAAGAGCCAGCGGGAGGACTATCAGACGATGGCGCTATCAGGCTACTTAGACGTGAATTGGCAATCGCACATTCGAGGGATGAGGCAACTGAAGTTGAACCCGTCCTGTTTTGGTAAGATCCCAACATAACTGTAAAGAAAATTATTGTTTCGTGAATTGAAGTATTCAAATGAAATATCAGACTTAACGAAGATGCTGTTAATCCACAATAAACAACAACACGTCCAACAAAATAATTATAATTATAATAAATTATAATTAATTATAATTTATAATAATTCATTATCACAAATTATAATTTATTATAATTTATTATCACGAATTATAATTAATTATAATTAATTATATTGTGGCAAACCTACATTCAATCATTGGTGGATGCGAAGAGTGGGTTCAATGGGGTGCCAACCCTTCTAACTTTGTTTAGGGGAGGGTGGAATGCAGGGGGGTTTCTGTAAATTATCACAATGCTGAACAAACAGTCAAACAAAAGCAATGGTGATTTGTGTTTGATGGAGCACACTTCCAATTAATAACTCTCAGTCATGATGTAGAATGAACAGAATGTAATAAAATAAGGCATGGAAAAATTTTCCTGGATCCATCCTTGCAGTCAACCCATCTAATCCTCAGCAATCCTGGCCAATCCATCATTTATCCAACTAATAAAACCAACCACTCCAAAAACAAGTCTAGCCAATCCACAATAATCTTAACCAATCCACAACCAATGTCCATAATCAATCCAATCAACACTTTCTCTTTGAAAACAGTGTTTTTAACACTGAATGTCTTATCCTCCGTAAAGATTGATAATAAGAATAATAATTATAACAATTTTCCCCTAAAATCATTGCATATTCATCAGCCAACATCGTTCATGCTCATGCTCATGGCAACCGTCACACATGCTCATGCTCATGCTAACCATTACACATGCTCATGGTAACCGTCACACATGCTCAAGGTAACAGTCACACATGCTCATGCTAACCATTACACATGCTCGTGCTCACCATTACACATGCTAACCATTACACATGCTCATGCTAACCATTACACATGCTTATGCTAACCATTACACATGCTCATGCTAACCATTACACATGCTCATGCTCATGGTAACCGTCACACATGCTCATGGTAACCATTACACATGCTCATGCTCATGGTAACCGATCACATGCTCATGCTCATGGTGGCAGCCACACATGCTCATGCTAACCATTACACATGCTCATGGTAACCATTACACATGCTCATGCTCATGGTAAAATCACATGCTCATGCTCATGGTAACATCACATGCTCAGGTAACAGTCACACATGCTCATGCAACCATTACACGCTCATGGTAACCATTACATGCTCATGCTAACCATTACATGCTCATGCTAACCATTACACATGCTCATGCTCATGGTAACAGTCACACATGCTCATGCTAACCATTACACATGCTCATGGTAACCATTACACATGCTCATGCTAACCATTACACATGCTCATGCTAACCATTACACATGCTCATGATAACCATTACACATGCTCATGCTAACCATTACACATGCTCATGCTCATGGTAACCATTACATATGCTCATGGTAACCATTACACATGCTCATGCTAACCATTACACATGCTCATGCTAACCATTACACATGCTCATGCTAACCATTACACATGCTCATGGTAACCATTACACATGCTCATGCTAACCATTACACATGCTCATGCTAACCATTACACATGCTCATGCTAACCATTACATGCTCATAACCATTACATTATGCTCATAACCATTAACATGCTCATGCTCATGGTAATCACACATGATCATGCTAACCATTACACGCTCATGCTAACCATTACACATGCTCATGATAACCATTACATGCTCATGCTAACCATTACACATGCTCATGCTCATGGTAATCACACATGCTCATGCTAACCATTACATATGCTCATGCATTACACATGCTCATGGTAACCATTACACATCATGCTAACCATTACATGCATGCTAACCATTACACATGCTCATGCTAACCATTACACATGCTCATGCTAACCATTACACATGCTCATGCTCATGGTAACCGTCACACATGCTCAAGGTAACAGTCACACATGCTCATGCTAACCATTACACATGCTCATGGTAACCATTACACATGCTCATGGTAACCACACATGCTCAAGGTAACAGTCACACATGCTCATGCTAACCATTACACATGCTCATGCTAACCATTACACATGCTCATGCTCATGGTAACAAACACATGATCATGCTAACCATTACACATGCTCATGGTAACCATTACACATGCTCATGGTAACCTTAAGAAAACTCTGAATTACTATGTTTAAAAAAGTAATCTGAAGTAACAACATTACTGCTAATTGGTGGCAATGATCCTGATGGTGAAATGTTACTGTTTTGGGACGAGCTTTCTGATGAAACTTGGGAAGGACTTTCTTCCTTTTCTTCGACCTTAATATCACCCTCGTTGGAACTTGAATCTAAATAGAACATTCAACAATCAAGTATCAATAGTTTTTGAGTGAGTTTGAAGCGTTAGCAAGTGGTGAAATGATTTGTGCAACACACCTGGGGAATCAGTCTCGGATTCTGAAGATTCAACACTATCTTGGTGCTTTTTCTAGAAATTTGGTAGAGTTAATGAGCTTACTTATACAGGTCAGTTAACAGCATTGAACTAAAACACATGGAATGCTAACTGTAATAGAAAAGCCTGATAATTTTTTGAAGCCAAATCTCACACCCAGCCATGTGAGATTACACCTAGATACATGTGTGTATTTCAATCAATTTTCACTCCGTCCACGAGGTAATCTCGAAACACACCACATGCTTGTCTGGGTGTAATCTTTCGTGTATTTTAGTCGCATTCCATGTATTTTAGTTAAATGGTTAATAGCACTACATCATGTGACTTACATTTAGTTGATAACAAGTTCCTCTTCCATTAGTTTTACCCGTTACTTTGGCAAAAAGAGAAGCTGGTGTCCTCGAGTTCGCATGAAGCATTGCATTAAGACAGGCCAGAGCTTGCGAAAATCTACATCATAGTAGGATGTCAGTCGGTTGCGTCAAGCCATCCATGTCATTTTCTATTCATAATTTATATGAATTGCTCTTCAAACTGACTTACTTTAAAGAGACCTCTTTCAGCTTTTGATCGAGGATTGCATTTAGTATCTCCTTATGATTCAAGGGTTTCTTTGCATTCTCCAGAACCTTAAAAGCAAAGAATTCAAGTTTATGTACATCAACTCCTGGAAATTCAACGTAGATATAAGATGTTGTTATTTACAATTTTCGCCGCTTCGCCCCAAGTAATTCCTTTCTTTTTAGACTTATCCATCCCTAATTTTTCCATTGACTGGCTCAGTTCGCATGCAGTAAAGTATTATTAGACATTTCCCATAAAAATAGATAAAAGTAAGGATACAAAATTAACATCGTTCCGGTTTATGATAATATTATACATAGATGAAGCCTGATTGACTTTCACTTGCTTCCATCCCTCAAACTGACATGACGGTAGTCATCCACCCCAATAGTTCTAGAGTTTTAGTACACATAATGCTTCAAAATGTGATAGTTTTTGCTTAATAAGGTATACTCATTCACAAAAGCACAAATAAAATTTTTTTAGTAGTAAAAGACGAATACACTTGGTATAGCAGTCAATACTAGAACTGTATGAATTCAGGAGATATTTTACATCAAAGCTTTTAACCCAAGGATAGATCAGAAAATTCATCCAACATCACAAAATAACTGGGCAAAAACTCATAAATGTAGATATTTTGCTTTTTGATGTCTTTCGTCCATTTTCTAAATATGAGCCCACTACTTTGATATTTACTGACCAGCGGCGTTAGAGTATGCGCTCTTTCCCCATGCAAATGCAAGCCACCAACAATTAATAAAATATTTTTCATTACAGAAATCGTTAATTTCTTCAGGTATTTTTATTAATTTTTTCTTTGCAGCTCTATAACATATTAAAGAATGTTTGATTTTCCAATTTAGTTCATGGTCTACGTCATAAATGCTGATAATTTGTATTATATGTCGCGTTAACTTTTGCCTTTGAAGTTGTAATTAAAGTTTTCGACGAATTGAGCAAACGGAAATAGAAATAATTTTACTTCTGCTGGCATTCAAACTGTATGAAACAATTTAAACATTCGGTATTTCAGATTTTGACAAGGTCTATTCATGGCACCACAGTTACGAGGATTTGTTCAGACCAGAATTAGGAATGACCTTATTGTTGGCATTGTCTTGGGTATAGCTGCCGGATTCATGTGGAAGTTTGGTTATGCTGATCCTTTGAGAAAGAAATACGCTCGATATTATAGCAACTTTAACCCAGAAAAGGCTGCATTGGAGATTGAACAGGAATGAATTCTGTCGCGTTATTTAATAGGTTTGTATGAATTAATACATAAAATATTCTTGCACAATCTTTACTCTTATGATCATTGGTCTGTAGTAAATGAACTTTGATGAAAGTGTAATACCAAACAATGAACAATTCATTGGCATATTTGAGAAATATCAGAAATATTAAAAACTTTTACATAAGGACTCACTCTGTAGAAAAAGACTTGTTGACTTTTTTGTCATCTTACAGTATCGGTAGGAACTTTTCAATTTTAGAAAAGAAGGGGTCCAACACCCCATCCCCACACCAAAATATGTGCCCCCTTGTGTCCCCTCATTCATGAGTTGTAAACGTTGATGTCATATGATGACATCATGACATGCTGTACTGTGATCTACTTCACTATGAGTCTTCCCTAAGGAAATTTTAGTTTTTACATCACCGGTGTTTGGTTAATGCTAAAGTTTTTTGTTACATTTTTCTAGATTTCAGTTCAAACTGTGTGATGATGGGATGTGTTGTTGATGTTTCTAAATATTTCTCTTGAGAACTACTCAATGTTTATTGATGAATTTCTATAAGTGTGATGTAATAAAGATTTGTTGGAAAAACAGTATATGCTTTTTATATGAAGTTTGTCAAATTTTGTCTAAAGAAAGATCTAGTCTTGTTCATAGTTTATGAAGAAGTTTTGAAGGTATAAATATGTTGATATCACAAGTCTAAAGTCATCCCCAAAAGGAAATTTGAATATTTTGGGCTGTGGAGAGGTTTCACACATATTTTAAAATCTCAATTGACTATGACATCGGAATGGGGACATCTGTTTTGAGAACTTCAGGTTTTAAAGCTCTCTTTCTAAACTGCATTAAATGTGGTTTGCTTTGTTATAATTTTTGGCATTGCTTTAACCTTGCCATCATCCAGTTTAGTTAAAGCGATGTCTTGTGGTCCGTTAATTTCCACCAATGATACAGTTCTATCTAGAGGTGAACCTATAATGAAATATGATAAGAGTTAGACCTGTTTCAAACATCAAATTAAACTTTCATGTGACCAATTAATCCTCATTGATCTCTCATTATCCCCATCAATCCCTATTATCCCACATTGATCCCTTATTATCCCTCATTATCCTTTATTATCCCTTATTGATTCCTTATTATCCCTTATTGATTCCTTATTATCCCTCATTGATCCCTTAATATCCCAAGAAAACTTAAGACATTTTAAACAGACCTAACTTGAACATACTAGGACAACTATTATAGTATAGTTTTGCAATAGTTTCATGTATGTAAGAACACATTCCTTTGCTATCATTTTCTATGAATACCTTTTTACCTTGTGGTGAATTTGTAAAATCCTCTAGCAACTGTGACGTCAGTGGTACAGGTGACCCAAGTCGTTTGTTGTTGTTACTGATTTTTTTCTGCAGCAGTTTAGATCTCAGTTCCCCATCACGTGACATCTCTCTTGTTTCTTGAACTTTAAACTTCATGTTTTCAACGGAATCAGTATCGTCGTATTTCGAACTATGACGTCCTTTATTCCCAGGGTCTAATCTCCTGGATAGAGCATTTTCCGTAGGTACATTAGGCAGCAACAGCAACTCGTTATTGGTGAATACTTGCTTTGATTTTTCTTTGTCTCTGTTCTTTGAAAGTTTACTTTTTCTTCCTTGAGGTAGCCTCGTATCATCGTTCGAGATATTTTCTTGTCTTTTCACGTTTCGTTCTGAATGGTTCGTTGTCCTTGCAAGTGAAGTATACGATGCACTTGTATTCGATTGTTTCAATGTCGGTTTTTCGCTTATTAGTCTGCGCGCAATCTGATTGGTGGATTTTGTACCAACGCTCCTCTCATTGGTCAGTTCTACCATAACTGACGTAATGTGTTGCGAATACTTCCATATCAAAACATCGTTTTCGTCGCCTTCCCATTGTGTTGAATTACTGTCAGCCATTAAACTAAAGACAGGATTAATAATGTCGATGCATTGGTCTTTTATTTTATGTCTTTGGTCTGGCTGTGTTATCAAATTTAAGACATACAACGTGGACGGTTTTTGAAATCAATGAAACGAAAGATTTAAGAACTATTTCAAGCTTTATAGCAACTTGGAAACTTTGTTTTTTAAACGTCCGCGTTTCGTTGCATCCTTGTCTGTCCACTCGGGAGGAAAATGTAGTTAAAACAAATTTTACATCGATGAAAAAAGAAAAATTTTCCTTCATTTTCAGGCTTTTCGGCAAAAATTGCTAGGTTAGACCGGGACATGCAGGGTTATAATAGGACATACACGAATACATTGGAATGTACTGAGACACACTAGGATATATCAGGACACATTGTGACCCATTAGGATATGCTGAGATGTAAAGGGATATAGATATACATACTTCACCAGTTGATCCACTGATCTCAATTCTCGTTTTTCTTTTTCTTCTTTTTCTTTTTTCTTCTTGTCCGCTTCCATTTTTGCTATTTTCTTTCGTTCCTGCGCATCTCTCTTTGCCTTCGTCTCCACTCGATGACGTTGCAGTCGTTCTTCTAAAATCTCCAGTAAGTTGTCGCCGTCCATTGAATTACGAAAACTAATGTATTCCTTCCACATATTGAAGAGAACGCGAAAAACGGTTATCTGATAAAGAAAAATTTTACTATTACTCTTACATTTCTTTGTTAAGAAACATTTAGTCGACTCATACTAGAAAATATTTCTCTTTACACATTGAACTAAAACACATAGAACGCTACATGTAATAAAAAGCCTATAATATTTTAGAATGACACCCACACACGCGAGATTACACCCAGACACGCGTGTAGTTCAATCAATTTTCACCGTGAGACAAAACACTAAACGCGTGTGTCTGGGTGTAATCTCGCGTGTTGGCGTGTTAAATTTGGCTTCAGTTATTTGCTTCAGATACCGTTCCATGCAGTGCTTTAGGGGGGTGGGGTGGGGGTGGGGCACTTTGGGAAGAGCCCCTTCACTTTGAAATGGGTAATTTTTCATAATTTCATGGCTTCAGCTTCGTCAAGAGAGCCACCCATCTGATAAATTTAGTTCTACAGTACTGGTTCCATGTATTTACCTGAACCTCCCTGAATAAATAAGGCCCGATATTTGGGTTTCTACACGTGATCCTCTCCAATAATTTTTCTGCCATTTCGATGGGTACGTCAACCTGCAACTCGGGTGGAATGGATGACGTAATGAAGCAGTCTGTTATTGCTTGAACCTTTTTCCTGACGCAATCTTCAGATGCGTGACGATGACACAAATCCTAGAGAACATTTTAAATTGTCATCGTCTTTAGCTGCAGTTGTAGTTTAGTTGGTAGAACATTGAAGACAATGATTATCTTGTTACTATACCTGAGTACATCACAACAACGTGATGTTATTATCTATAATATTAAGTTATGAAAGAAACTAGAATTGTGTTTTAAAATATCATCATAGTTTACAGTTGATCTTGTAGTTTAGTTGATAGAACATTGAAGACAATGATTATCTTGTTACCATACCTGAGTACATCATAACAACGTGATGTTATTATCTATGATATTAAGATATGAAAGAAACTAGAACTGTGTTTTAAAATATCATCATAGTCCACAGTTGATCTTGTAGTTTAGTTGGTAGAACATTGAAGACAATGATTATCTTGTTACTATACCTGAGTACATCACAACAACGTGATGTTCTTATCTATGATATTAAGATATGAAAGAAACTAGGAACAGTGTGTTTTCAAATTTCATCATAGTTCACAGTTGGATCAATAAATTTATGGAGTGTTAAAAGCCATGAAATTATAGACTTACTCACTTTATATTTCTGTATCTCGATCCAAAATAAAATATCATTCTCGTAAGTCTCCCCTTTTAACGCCACAAACTTCCTGAACGCTATACATAACTCTGGATTGTTCAACGTCTGACGTAATGCGACTATATCACGTGATGAGGAGACCCAACGACTATTGAGAATCTGTAAGGCACAATAAAGATCATGTTAAGTAAGCTGCAAAAACAGCAACACACTTCTATTGTTGAAAACGTTCTTGCTCGTTTAATAGAGTATCAAAGCTTGCTTTAGTTTTGCATATTCTAGAATACGTTCTTGTAAACCTTTGTCTTCACCGTTGTTTGCCTCGTTCACGTCTTAAAATATCTTATTTCCATGGAAACCTTCCTTTACAATGTCCATAGTTGTCAACTTTGAATTAGAATTACGAGAAACCTTCTCCATTTTGAACTACGGGCAATCTTCTTCCTTTGAACTACGGGCAATCTTCTTCCTTATGAGCTACAGGCAATCTTCTTCCTTGTGAGCTACGGGCAATCTTCTTCCTTATGAGCTACGGGCAATCTTCTTCCTCTTGAACTACGGGCAATCTTCTTCCTTGTGAACTACGGGCAATCCTCTTTCTTACGAACTACGGGCAATCTTCTTCCTTTGAACTACGGGCAATCTTCTTCCTTATGAACTACGGGCAATCCTTCTTATGAACTACGGGCAATCTTCTTCCTCTTGAACTACGGGCAATCTTCTTCCTTATGAACTACGGGCAATCTTCTTCTTATGAACTACGGGCAATCTTCTTCCTTTGAACTACGGGCAATCTTCTTTTATGAACTACGGGCAATCTTCTTCCTATGAACTACGGGCAATCTTCTTCCTTATGAACTACGGGCAATCTTCTTCCTTATGAACTACGGGCAATCTTCTTCCTTATGAACTACGGGCAATCTTCTTCCTTATGAACTACGGGCAATCTTCTTCCTTATGAACTACGGGCAATCTTCTTCCTTATGAACTACGGGCAATCCTCTTTCCTTATGAACTACGGGCAATCTTCTTCCTTATGAACTACGCGCAATCACTCACTTTTTTGCTGGCAAGATTTTCTCAATCAAACCATATAGAAACCTTTCCCACTCACACTCCAGATAGCTTCACTTCCGCCCCTAGCCCTAACGAAAACTAACACAAAGTTCCCAAGTAGCTCCCCTCTCCCCTCAACCCGTGCGTAAAACCACCCCCTTGACCTTTAGTCACCCTTCTATCCCAATCATAACATAAAACCACATACGTACCCTCCATGTAGCTTCACTTTTCTGCAATCTTCGCCTAAGCATCATATCTTCAACAACATCAGATATTTTTGGTTTAGGATTCTGTCTTTCTTTGTACTCATTGCTTTTCTTATACATCAATAACCACAGTCGTTCTATACGACATCGTACGTATTTCTGACATTCTACAATGACGGACGATGATGGACGTTCTTTGATGCGATGAGCACCGTTCATTGATAATATCTATAAAATAAATTCAAGATATTGCACTTTATTGTACTTTATAGTACTTTGTTGTACATTATAGTACTTTAAAGTAAATGGTTTGAACCCGGCAGTATCGTTACATGTTTGTAGATGTAGATCGTCCAGGTTGGTATAGTCCTGAGAAGGACTGTTTTTGTTGTTGTTGACTGACGTTTCGACAACCTTAGCGGTGGTCATCTTCAGAGTCAAAAGAAGGTATCGGAGGATTCAAGGAGGTATTGCGATAAATTTTCAAAATATATCCGTCATTTGTTTGTTTTTAAAAAAATGAAATTTTCTGTGACGTCAATTCCGTTCGTCTATCCTCTTATACATCACAGCTCTCGACCAATGAAATTGCTCAAATTCTTCTGGTTATAATATAATTCTTTATAGTACATTGAACTTTGATGTTCATATACAACATGGGAACCAATCGCATTTTTGCAATGTGTTTAAACTAACAAAATTTAACTGAATCCAGGGGTTAATTACCCAATGATCTAGAACCCAATCTAGTAGATATCTGACTCCGCCGAAATTGTATAGTAATGAGTGAGGCAAGCCGCCATCTTAAAAGGTGGCAAAACTAACGATATTTACGATTTATATATTCTTTTCCTGAGTTGATATAGAGTTGCCAAGTTGATAGTTTAGGGTTTAATTTTTAAAATGTTTAATATGATGGGTTTTTGAAACTTTGTTCTAACTTATTTTTCGTTTTGAGTTTTACTTTTTGCCATCTTTCAAGATGGCGTCCTTGCCTCACCACCTTGACACGGTTAGTTAGACATCTAGAAGACTGGGTTCTAAATCATTTTAATTACCACGCTCTGAGCTTGCTTTGTAGCTGGACTGTCTGGACCAAAGAAGTATCTTGAACTAAGATAAGCGTGTCCTATTTCCTTCGCTTTTTTGTTTCGTTTCTCTTGGACAGTTCTCGGCATTCGTTGAAAAGTTTCCATGTCCGTCCACGCCATTAAATCCATCTTACCTTACGAAAATAAAAGTTAAAAAGACTAGTTGATTTAGATTCATTCAGATGTTGTGGTTCACAGACAAGAGAGAGAGATTAGCATTATAGGGTGTTTGCATCAGTCGCCATGTTGGAGGAAAATCCCATAAAGTGAAAGGAATTTTGTTAATTTCTTGGTCTGTCGAGCATCGGTACTTTGATGTGACCCTCCAACATGGCCGCTATGACGTCATATGAAAACACCATATATGGAAGGGAGGTCCTGGGAACATTGGAGCTGGAGCAATAACTCCACAAGATGGCGTCCCATTTCAACTTGATTATGTTAAAATATTTAGGCTGCGCGTAAACGTCTCAAACACACGTACTAAATGACTAGGATAAGAAGGGGTACAGGGATACACGATTTGCTAAAGTCGTATTAAGCCCTCCAAACAGTGAAAGGTGATATTAAGGGGAAGCCTACCTAAAATTTTCGGGAAAAAAGTTCATGGTAATACTTCCTATGTTGTCATGAGATATCTATAAAAGTTTTAGATTTATTGCAACAAGCTATATTCTTACTAATTGTATGGTAAAACTTAAATGTATCAGTGGAATAGGTAGCTTTAAATTTTTACAACAAAGTAAGTCGATAATTACTTAGAGTAGGAAAATGTAACATGCAACAAATTTTTCTGAAGCCATTATCTGATTTCATTTTATGATAGAGCTCTTTTTCAGTTTTAATTTGATATGTTGATACCCAGCAGGTGTTGAACAGTTAGCAAAAGCATTCGAATGTAGAAAACTGTCTTTGACGAAGGTAGGCTGCTCTTTAAGATCAGTGGACATTGTTGTGTAGTTTTATTTTGAGTTTGAACGAGGGAGCAAGGATTTGCACATGCGCAGACACTTTAATAGACTCAGCACCACTAGATACAGGGTAAGGCTTTTCTCCTATGCACTTTGATAGGCTCTGCCAACCCCAAAAACGATAAAAACAGATATCTCGTCAAGATATTAACCATTGAACTACATACATGGAACGCCATCTGAAGCAAATAATTGAAGCCAACTCTACACCCAGACACGTGAGAACAAGACACGTGAGATTTACACCAGAACGCGAGATTTTACCCCAGACAGCGAGATTTTACTTAGACACGCGAGATTTTACCCCAGACACGCGAGATTTTACCCCAGACACGCGTGTTTAGTGTTTCAAGATTCTCTCGCGGAGTAATAATTGATTGACTACACACGCGTGTCTGAGGTGAAATCACGGCTTCAAAAAATTATTAGGGTTTTGTATTACAGGTAGCGTTCCATAAATTTTAGTTCAATTATATTGACACAGCTTTCACGTTTACGAAACGACTGATCGACGAACAATTTTGTCTTTTGGGATATTGAGTTTTACTGATTGGCTGCTGTTGGTGGACCAGATTGAAGTGCCTATGACACGAATTTTTGTGTTTGCAATGACCAGAACTTTTGAAATGACAGAGTACTTTCTGAAACAGTTCATGCATATCTCTTTTCCTTCGCGAGATATTGAAGTTTTTGTTTTTTTTCCATTTTATCTAACTTGTGACGCCATATTGCGTAATGAGTTCCCACAATGCTTCAAATACTCTTCAGTTTCCGGGCAACTTTATATCTTATACCATTAAACATGCCACAACAAAGGGAACTCTGTCCTTGTGAAGTAAACTATCGTTAAATATACCTGATACTCTAACTCTCATTATGCAATGTGACGTCTTAAGTTAGATAAATCGGACATAGGATAAACCTCAATATCTCAAGAATTAAAAGTGATCTGCATAAAATGTTTTAGAAAGTACACTGTCATTTTAAAAATTCTGGTCATTGCAAACATAAAAATTTTCGCGTCATAGGCACTTTAAAAATACCTTCAGTACGCTTCAAAATCTTCCCAATGCATTCCTTAATTATCTCTCATAGCTATCACCTATTGCATGACTTCTCAAATTAGAAATGACTTTTTTATGACTTAAACCGCTCTCAGTTTAACCACAGAATAGACATCTAACAGAAGGCCAACTCGGCTAAAATCGTGGCCTATTTTTCCACTACGCATGCGTGACTTCCCAGCAAGATACTTTCACAAAATCAATATGGAATAGTATTGCACGAGAATTCTATTTTACAAATAATTCACCTTAAAGCAAAACTATTGCGTTCTTAGAGGAAGTATCTTGCTGGAAGGTGCGTCTTCTTAGAATTTGCTTCAGAATGTTGGGGCCATGAACATCAGAGGCTCCGACACGAGTGGATCTTCTGTTAAGATATCTATTCTGTGGTTTAACTGTACTGGTTACTTCCTGTGTTGTAAACAAGGCGTTCTTCCTGGTCAACACGTGTATCATAAGCATAAACAACAAAACTTTTGTCATTTTTTTGCTCAAGAGGATTACAAAGACAAAGAAATCGAGTTTTTTTTATTTAAATGTTCTTTCGTTTTTCTTTTAGCTAATGCTTATTTCTTTTTCTTATGCTTGCGCTTATGTCAATGCTTCGTTGAATGTCTTTGTATGTTTAATCTTTCCTAGCTGTGCTAACGTTTAAATTCACTCTTGTGAAGCGAGCTTCAGTAGTCGCGAGGTCAAGTTTAGTGCGTTAAAGTGGAGCAAGAATTCGTTGGCGAAACATCGACTGATTTTTATCCGAATTTAAAGTAAAAATGGACCAAACGTACACAATCCCAAAGCATTTACAAATAGAAACAGTCGATCTTCCTCAGAAGCATGTTGTTGTATATGGTGAAAAAGAAATTGTGAGCCAACTTGAATTACGTCTTCATACTCGATTAGGCATTCCCGAAAACTCCTATTCTTTGACTTCTCGAGAGCAATCTCAGGCGTTAAAAATAATTGGAGGAGAATCATACACATCTCTTCAACTCGTGAAGATGGATATTGTTCAAGTGTTAGAAAAGTATGGATTTCAGATGACGAGCATTTGTTATGATGCCCCACGTCAAACAGAAAAGATTATAATGATGAAACCAGCCAATACATCACCGACATTAGTATCAGCTACTGAAATGTTACGATAGAAGAGATGATAGAAACTATAGAGAGAAACTGAACGTCTTCTTTAATATTCGATGTCCTTAGATTAGAAAAATTCGCAATTGTGATCAATAAAAATCTTCATGTAAAACTTCACGCGATTGCATTTAAGTCAATGATGATTGTATTTAATCATTGCGGGTTTAAAATGAGATTTTGTTATTGATATTGAAAGCCGTGCATTAAGTTTTAAAGATACAAAGTAATTGCTAGGATTGACATTGTGAAACAAAACGATCTACGTTGATCATTGTCGAAACCAGGGGCAGGTTGTTGTACGAAAGGCGTATGAACTATTAAAAACGACGTTTAAAGTTTAAACGCCATAAACGTCACATAACACTTGAAAATCGCATTTTACGAAGCCCGTTTAACCAAAAATTGGTACGCACTTGTTATTCAAACCTACGGAAATTGTTATTCGCGTCTATAAGTCTTGTCAAAGACAAATTAGTCTGTCAAATGACAAATCGTCGACAGTCAGTTCTGTGAGAAAATATTAAAGGACTCATTGATAACGCTGTGATTTTTTGCATTAAGGTTTAAACGTATCCGGATACTTTTGAAAACGAAGGTTTTTTCCTGCGTTTCGGCCTTCTGTCCACACGTAAATGGCGTTTACGGTACCCGGAAAAACGATATTTTTCTTCGAATGCGCTCTTCAGAGGGAAGATTTTTGAAAACGCCGGTTTTGTGTTTTCGTGAGGACGGGCGACAACGAAGGTTTTCAAAAACGATTAACGTTACAATCGAGTTGAGTCCATTGATAATTGATAAGTCGATCAACTGCGTCTGAAAATGACGGATCTAAAGTGCCTGGCTTCTTTACTTTGAATGATTTCAACATTATCGTAGGTTTGTTTTCTTTTATCTTACACTCCTTCATAATCTTAAGGAGAAGCTCAAGCACATTTGATCAGTTCATAATGTCACTTCTCAAATTAGAAATAACTGTTTTCTCCCACTAATTAAACACAGTATAGGCAATATGGCTACAGTAGGGCCACTTCGCTGTGCAACTGGCTGCTGTATATTTAATTAGTTTACTGGCTGCCGTAAGCCATTTCATCATTCTTATTGGTCAGAAATTGCAATTGACTAGCTGCCACGATGATAATCACATGCGTAATGAGATATCCGTGGCACAAAAAAATTTATGGAGTGGCTCTACTATATTTTATCTATATATGCTGGTTTAACTATGCTGGTTACTTCCTGTTTTGCAAACAAGGCGTTATTCTTGGTCAACACGTCTATCATAAGCATAAACAACAAAACTTTTGTTATTTTTGCTCAAGAGGATTACAAAGACAAAGAAATCGAGTTTTTTTTATTTAAATGTTCTTTCGTACTTCTTTTAGCTAATGCTTAGGCCCGTTTCAAACGTCGCATTTCACATGCGCCGAATGCATTTTGAACAATAGAAAATGAGATAAAATTCCCATTATCTTTTGTTTTAATTGCATTCGACTCATGTGAAATACGACGTTTGAAACAGGCCTTATTCTTTTCCTTATGCTTGCGCTTATGTCAAGGCTTGTGTCACATGCTTCGTTGAATGTCTTTGTATGTTTATGCTTGTTTCATACGATTAAAAACAAAAGAAAATGAGATAAAATGCTTCATTATCTTTTGTTTTAAATGCATTCGGCTCCTGTAGAATGCGACGTATGAAACAGGCATTACTCTTTTGTCCTTGATGATGTTTACGTTTAAATTCACTCTTTTGGAGCAGGCCTCAATAATCGAGAGATCACGTTTAGTGCGTTAAAGTAAAGCAAGAATTCCTTGGCGAAATATCGACTGATGATTATCCGAATTCAAAGTAAAAATGGACAAAATGAATGCAGTTGCAAAACATTTACAAATAGAAGTAATGAATACTAGTCCTTGCAAGCATGTCGTTGTATATGGTGAAAAAGAAATTGTGAGCCACCT